AAATCGCTTTACATACCATGGAATATATTTTGAGCCGCGTCATGACAAAACCAACATAGTGCGTTTGCAACCAGCATGGATCCAGACCAGCCTGCGCATCCGCGCAGTCTGATCAGGATCCATGCTGTTCGCTTACAAAGTCTATAACAAGTAGAGAAACTGATAGCGAACAGCATGGATCCTGATCAGACTGCGCGGATGCGCAGACTGGTCTGGATCCATGCTGGTCGCAAACCCATTATGTTGGTTTTGTCATGACGCGGCTCATTTTGACCTGACGTCATTTGCGTTATACAAGCATAGTGTAAAGACGCACTAAATGTTAGCGTTACACTATGGACGCGCCAATTAAAATGATTATTTTGTACTTTATACAGTCTTTATGTGATAAATAAGATATTATAGTCGTGTAGGTTCATTACTGAATTTATTGAACTCGTTGAATCAATATTTTGCTCGCCATAGGCTCGCATTCAACTCATTCAATAAACTCAGTATTGAACCTATACTCATTTAAAATCCTTTCTATACCACACTGTAAATAAGTTAACAAATCTGAAGCCTGATATCAAACATTATCACTCCTCCTCATTTCTTTTTCTTTCCCATTTGAGTATAGTTTACTATGATAAGAAATTAAAGTGTAAAGAATGCAGGAAAAAAAATGAAACTTTTGTTTCATCAAGGACACTACCAGGACTAATGTTAATTCATTTTCTGATTTTGCAAAAAAAAGATAATTGATAATAAATTATCTTATTCCTCTATTACAGGACTCGAATTCATACCGGAATTTGCTTGCAGGTATTGTTATGGTCTAAATTATTTCTTTGTAGTAAATTCCATATCTTATTGACGATATTGATGCTTAACGATTTGTCGAAAGAATTTAACTAGCCCGTATATGTCGCTTAGTGCCGCTATACATTTTGTTTGCGTTATTCAAAGTTGTAATCACACTTAAGTGAAATTTTATATATGTATATAATTATGCTTCTAAAACAATTTTCAAATATCAAGGAATATGTAAAATACGTATTGCAAATATTTGTTCACAATATATGTAATCATTAAAATATATGCATTCATTTCTTATTGAAAAAATTGGCTTAGACTTTATAGAAAATAAATTTCTAATTACCTCCCTTTATTAACATGAAATTTAAATTCGGTAAGATCTTTACAATTATGCTTTTTAAACTTATAATATTGATTAATCATCATTTGAGCATTACATTTATGATATAAAACCATACAAAATGAGTTACAGGATCTTTAAAAAGAAAATGGATAGTTGTTTTACTCGCCAAACACCTATTGTAAAGTGAATCATGAAGTACAGTAAATAGACTTTTGTACGAACATATTTGTACAGTAAATATCGTAGTGTACTTTTCTTTTTCCCTACGGAATTTATTTCAAACATTTAATACTAGTTTTATTTTCATATTCACCTTTTGCCACAGCACGTGCCGGTGCTGACTTTGATGAAGACCTTGCTGTAACCCGTCATTCCCGTTTGGTGACGCCGGTACCAGAGGTAATTAAATGTCTTATAATAATATCAATTGTTTTTGATATGTACACTTGTTTGAGTCGAGTCAAAGTTTAAAATATGATTGTGATCGTTATGAACGAGCAATTTCAAACCATATACAATTGTTATTTCAAAACTCTGATATATGTATGAATTATTGTGTGCCATCATTACCAGATTCATTAATCGAATTTTACTTTTATTATACGACTATCACAATTTGGGCAATTGCCATTTTGCGCCTGACTAAGCGTTACTTAATTCAGCATGCTTCTTTTACCACATTGTCAATAAACAAATTTTGTTTATTTCGATAAGAAATTAGTGTACAGAATGCAGGAGAACGTAAAACATTTGTTTCATCGAAGGACACAACCAGGACGAATCTCATTTCCTGTTCTCAAATTTTGCAAAAGGAAAACCGATACTTGCATTTGATAATAAATTACCTTATTTCTCTATTACAGGATTCTTACCGGGATTTGCTTGCAGGTATTTTTATGCTCTTAATTAGTTCTTTTATTAAGTCATAGACGCTATTTGATGCTTTACGAATAGTCCCGTATATTTCGATTAATGCCACTGAACATTTTGTTTGCATTTGATTGACAGAGGTCCTACTCGGCCAACACCCATGCCAAGATTTGATTTTTATGTTCTCCGAAAAATTTCGGGGGAGCATATAGTCGTCGGGTTGTCCGTCCGTCCGTCAGTCCGAACGTCCGTTCGTACGTACGTCCCGAATTCGGTTTCCGATCAATAACTTAAGAACGCTTAGGCCTAGGAACTTCAAACTTGGTATGTTGATTGGTCAAGACCAGCAGATGACCCCTATTGATTTTAGGGTCAAGGGGTCAAAGGTCAAGGTCACATTGACCTTGTAGGTAAAAACGGTTTCCGATCAATAACTAAAGAACGCTTAGGCCTAGGAACTTCAAACATGGTATGGTGATTGGTCATGACCAGTAGATGACCCCTATTGATTTTGGGGTCAAGGGCACATTGACCTTGTAGGTAAAAAAAACGGATTCGTGTCCGGCCCATAACTTTATTTGAAGTCGGATTTTAAAACTATTTCACAGAAATGTTCACCATATTGAGACAATGTGTCGTGCACAACGTTTGGGTTGTTTTTACACTTTGAACTTTGTCTGTGACATAACTCTGACACTACAAGAGGTATATACCTTCCTGTGTCCAAAACCTATTCGGGGAGCATCACCCGGTTCAACCGGCACTTGTTTTTCTTTGGCAGCAATTAACCTATTTTACTCTTCCTATTACTTATGGAATTTATTTCAAACATTTAATACTAGTTTCATTTTCATATTCACCTTTTGCCACAGCACGTGCCGGTGCTGACTTTGATGAAGACCTTGCTGTAACCCGTCATTCCCCTTTGGTGACGCCGGTACCAGAGGTAATTAAATGTCTTATTATAATATCAATTGTTTGTTGATATGTACAAATGTTTGAGTCAAGTCAAAGTTTAAAATATGATTGTGATCGTTATTAACGAGCAATTTCAAACCATATACAATTGTTATTATTCAAAACTCTGATAAATGTATGAATTATTGTGTGCCATCATCACTAGATTCATTAAGTTATATTAACTGACACAATTTGGGTAATTTTAAATTTGACCCTAACCAAGCGTTATTTCGAATTCTGCATGTCCCATAAAAATGTCATAAGTCGCTGCCTATCTGTTCATATATTCTTAAGATATTGTAAGATTACTTAAGCATATTCAAACAAAATTTTCTGTTTTTCATAAAAAACAGATACTTGTATTTGATAATAAATTATCTTATTATTGTATTACAGGACTCAAATTCATACCGGGATTTGCTTGCAGGTATTGTTACGGTCTTAATTAGTTCCTATGAGTAAATTCCAAGTAAAAATTGACGCTATTCATGTTTACGAATAGTCGTAAGAAAAAACAATAAGGACGCCCGTATATTTCGATAAGTACCAGAATACATTTTGTTTAGTTTCTATTAAAAACAGATGGATAGATGTTCTTCTCGCCCAACACCCATTACAAGATTTGATATGTACAGTAATTAACCTATCTTACTCTTCCTATTGCTCTTCCTATTGTTTAAAGATTTTACTTAAAAAAATGATACTGGTTTAATTCTGAAATATACTTTTTGTCACAGCACGTGCAGGTGCTGACTTTGATGAAGATTTTGCTATGACCCGGCATTCGCCATTGGTGACGCCGGTACCAGCATACCGTACTGAGAACCTAGATGAGAGCCCGAAATCTTCATTGGTGGATACAATATTTAAAAAGGTAACAATATATCTGCTAAGCTTAATCTGATTTGAATGTTCATGTATCGACAAAAAAGTTTGGGAAGGGCAGACTATTCAAAAAAAGTTGTTTTCCATAAATGCGTGTTTTCTTTATGTATAGTAATATTATATAATGTTCTACTGGTACCATTTTTGTGTCGTCTGCTACAGTGTTGCGACGACATAAAGGGACCCCTTCTCTGTCGTCTGTCAGTCTGGCCGTCCGTAACAAAACTTGTCCGGACTACTCCTCAAATAGTCTCATGAAATTTCAACCAAACTTTATAGAAATGATCTGTACCAAATCTTGGTGTGCATTGATTTTTAGCTCGACTATTCGCAGAATAATCGAGCTAATGCAGTCACCCATTTGTCGGCGTCGGCGTCGGTGTCGGCGTCGGCGTCCCTGTGGTTAAGTTTTTGCGTGCAAGCTGGTATCTCCATAACTACTGAAGGGAATGAATTGAAACTTCACACTTTTTCTCTCTGTGATTATCTAACATGATTGGCACAAGTCCAATAACTCTAATTTGCTTTTTCACATAATTATGCCCCTTTTTCGACTTAGAAATTCTTGGTTAAGTTTTTGCGTGTAAGCTGGTATCTCCATAACTACTGAAGCGAATGGCTTGAAACTTCACACACTTGTTCTCTGTGAGAATCAAACATGATTGGCACAAGTCCCATAACTCTTATTTGCTTTTTTTGCATAATTATGCCCCCTTTTCAACTTAGAAATTATTGGTTAATTTGTTGCGTGCAAGCTGGTTATCTCCATAACTACTGAAGGGAATACACACTTGTTCTCTGTGATTATCTAACATGATTGGCACAAGTCCCATAACTCTGATTTGCTTTTTGTGCCCCCACTTTAGTGGCAGGCATTTAGATTTACCCTTGTCCGTCCGTCCGTCCTTCCGTCCGTCCGTCCGTTCTCTTTTGTGTCGCATGTAACTCAAAAAGTATTTGACCTAGAGTCATGAAACTTTACAGGAATGTTGATCAGCATGTGTAGTTGTGCACCTGGGTATTTTCGTCTGGATATTTTTAATATTTAAGCATTATTGCCCTTGACTAAGTAAAAGTTTGCAATTTTCAACTTGTGTCGCATGTAACTCAAAAAGTATTTGACCAAGAGTCATGAAATTTTACAGGAATGTTGATCAGCATGTGTAGTTGTGCACCTGGGTATTTTCGTCTGGATATTTTTAGTATTTTTAGAGTAATTGCCCTTGACTTTTTAAAATTTTGCAATTTTCAACTTGTGTCGCATGCTACTCAAAAGGTATTTGACCTAGAGTCATGAAACTTTACAGGAATGTTGATCAGCATGTGTAGTTGTGCACCTGCGTATTTTCGTCAGGATATTTTTAGTATTTTTTTAGTTATTGCCCTAGACTAAGTAAAATTCTGCAATTTTCAACTTGTGTCGCATATGTAACTCAAAAAGTATTTGACCTATAGTCATGAAACTTTACAGGAATGTTGATCAGCATGTGTAGTTGTGCACCTGGGTATTTTCTTTTGGATATTTTTAGTATTTTTAGAGTTATTGCCCTTGACTTTTTAAAATTTTGCGATTTTCAACTTGTGTTGCTGTTTCGGGGATTTAAAGGGGGCGACAGCCCCTCTCATCGCCAAGAAGATTTTGGACAAGTGACAGGCTTAAAATAGCCCCCGGTCGATCGTAAGGTAACTTGTAACCAACGCTAGAAAGCCTTTTACTCTGTCTCAATCCATTGAGAAGTTGCAACATTTTGAAATCAATTTTGATGGTGGAAAATAGTGATTTTAAGGCAATTTTGAGAGGTTCCCCCGTTGGCATGGTAACAGGAAATTGAAGATTGAGCATGCTGTTATAGAGGCTATGGTCCAGTCAACATTTTTGCCAAGTTTCATCAGTACTGAGGCATTTTTCATAGTTTCATAGCAGTTTGAACTTGCAACAGAAGGCTTTCTTTTTAATGAAAACGGCCATTTTTCTTATGCGATAAAGGGTTTATTGTCTGTAATTAGGCAACTCTTAAGGAAGAAGTCCAGGATTAGTCATGTAGATGGGAGATTTCCCATAAATCGCCTAAGAAACGAAAGGATGGAGATAGTGTGATGTATTAGGGATAGAGACAGGTTTGTTGGAGGCAGAAAATTGGTTTGGGGTTGGATAATGGGGAACCAGAAAACTGGTTTTGTCATTATCAAATGTAAACACTGATCCTCTTGTTACATTTTTCTGAGACTTTATTGTTCGTTAATTTTCAATTTGTTTCAAGTTTTTGTTTTGTGATTTATGGATAATCAATAAAAAAAATGAAAATATTTTCAAGAAAAGTATATGTAATGATTTCTTTTTATTTATTACAGGATTCAAATTCATACCGAGATTTGACTGCAGGTATTTATATGTCAAAATATTTTTTCGACCCTTTAAAGAAAAAACAATAGGTGTATTATGGGATCACATAATATACAATATGAAAAAGAATTTCAAAGAGAAGGCAGCCCTAAAAATAATATATTGCAAAATAAGGTCTGTCTAAATTTTTGTTAAGATTTTCTCAGAATTTACCGGATATTTACTTTATAATTGATACATGTACTATTGTTTACTAGTTCACTATTGAAAATAACCATGAAAAAAAGAGTAATCCATTTTACTAAGTTTTTTTACTTGACTTCATTGTTAAGATAACTTTCGCAAAAAAATGTCAAAGATATTTAATTTCGAAACTGAGATGAATTCAAAAGAGTTGATAGCCCTGAAGTATCTTTTTTTGCTTAATTATTTTATTTCAAATAAGAAATACTAACTTTGTTTCTGTAATTTGCTTTGATCCGATTATCTCATATACAGACCCTTCCCAAATATTTCCATGCTCTTGTTCATCTTGCAATTTGGACAACAAGACCATTTATCATTTTAGGGAAATTTCAAAATATGTACCGACTCGAAAGCGAACAGTAGAGAGAATTAATGGTCAGGTGCATTGATGTTAACGAATTCGGAATCTTTCCTAACTCGATAATATATGAAGTTCAAAATCTAGTTTTGTAATATTTGGTATGTTGATAAAGTCTCATATATATATAATGCGCGTCATCTTATTTTTCTCATCTGTTCGTTCATGGTTTAACTCTTACAGTACAAATGGTAGGATATTGATGACCATATGGAGATTATGCATTTCAGTTTGATTTGGAGCAAAATATGGATGCAATGATTATGGAGATAGTAACAATAAATTTCGATACATTCTGTGATTTCTCAGAGTTACAGATTAATCTCTATGTAAAAATTATGTCAATTTCCTTAACATTTCACAAGCATTATTCTTGCCTAGTGGCTAGAAATTTCAAGTCAGTGTGGGATGAGGTAGGGTATCGGATAACATAACACTGGCTGGGGGTTGCTGTATTATCTGTGACAGTCTGCTTTGAGTACGCACCATGTCCTTGTCCATAGTTAGTATACTTTACTGTCCATCATAAACTAGTGTAGCAATTTGTCTCCTCTTGTAAGCAACGATCTTAACATTTAACTGCTGAACTTATGAAATGGATTCGCCCTGCTTTGAATTTGGAAAAGTCCATAAAAGTTTAAGGGATTTCAATTATACATTATTGGCTTACGGAGCCATTTTCATGGGTCGGTCGGAGCACTATATACAAACAAACAATTTTTTATGGATGGCCTTATGCACTGTGTATTTTTTTTTCTACCTTCAATGTACAATGAACATTATTTCTGCTGTTGTATTGTGTATAAATTTTTGTGACATAATATGATGTGCATCTATTTCATTTTGCATTGTCTATTTGGGTCATTGGCCTAGAATGATGTAACAAAGTCAAAATACATAATTGACCTTCCGATAGTGTCGAGCCTTGGTGTGCATTCTGACCACGATCCATACTGGGGACAGGGCTAGCAAAAATGAACTATTTGCTACATCCAAATAATAAAATAATCAAAATTTAAACACTATTAGTTTTATTATTATATTCTTAGGAAATTTCATATTCATTTAGTTATGTAACTAATTGGTATTATCACGGTATTTTATGTTGAGCATCTGTTCATGTTTATAAATGAAAACAAAAGTTTTTCATAGAAAAAGCATGTGATTAAAAATTTGAATCGCTTAAACATTTGGATTCTTTCTTAAAAGTTTATATCCAATGACAACTGCCATATCTTAAAGTCATTTCTTTAAGTCATTCTGACGTTGTACATGATTTGAGTTATTATTAGTACCTACCATTTCATATGTGATAATATTTTGCTTCTACAAAAAATCATAATGAAATAAAAAACGTAATGTCTCTTTTCAGCTCATGATAAAGACACAGAACTGGTTAATATAACAGATGTGACGCCATATAGAAGGCGAGGCTTTCCAGCTCGTCTCTCTTTTCTCGTAAATAGAGGTGAACAGAACATCAGCTTAAACCTTACTAGGAACAGACAGTCCCCGAAAATAAAACGATTATATGGAAAGGTAAGTTAAAACCCATCTTTTAGAGGTTTGAGAAACTATATTGTCAACTATGCAACATACTCGTATATTCGTACGGAACACATAACAATTACAAACTATGATTGAATGTATATATAAGAATAGCATAAAGTAGGGAGTGTGACACAAATCTCTGGTAATAATTAAAACATTGTAAACAAATGTCGCCACGTGTTGGATGTCACTACTATACGGAATTGGTTCCTGCATTTGAAATTTTCCAATTACTTGTATATAACTATAGGCTATATGCATAAAAATAAATAGTACAAATATGAAAATAATTTCAATCGAATTTTGACGTCTGAAAGCAAATGTTCGTTTACCGATTTGTTTCTCTCATTACCTCGGCTTCCGAAAGAAAAATTGTCTTCGTTTCAAATTTCCTTTAGGTTCTGCGAACAAATCACAGCTTTTAAAGATACTGTTTCAGTATTGCTAAACAGCAAAAACATCCGCCACATTGAATTGCAGTCCGAATAATTGTACTTCGCGGTGAGATATTGTGCTAACTTGTGTATGGACAAGACCCATAACAAAAATATCTTTGAATGACACGTCAAAATATTCTGACTTCATTAAATTGAAGAAATAGAATATGGACAATTATCGAGAGATAATAGAGAATATTTACCTTCAAATACATCCTGGACAAGGTTGTAAATAAATTTGTTTTCCGAAATGAATTTGTTTTCCTTTGTAGAACATAAAAGTATACCGAGATTCACTCCATGGAGGGGAGTACTTAGTTAATTTGACTCGGAGTAATAATGGACGCTATCTAAGGACACTGGTAGGTTTTAACCATTTTAACCATTGATTTTCGTATGTTACAAGTAATACATAGTCATGCTTTTGACTGGTTTCTAAGTCACGGTCAAACTGAAAGATCAGATAAAAATTAATGGATCGAAAATTTGGCTGTTTTATAAAAAAAATGTTCGCAATCACGAGATTATATACATGTATGTCAGTCACAAGAGACGATGAAATGTTCAGATTTTGTCCCGAACATATCTTTTACATATATGGAATTAAAGTTTTACTTAAACTTTTATCTAGGTCAAACATAAAGACCACACTTGGATGTCCGAAGAAAACTTGTTCATTATGTTTCTGCTAGATACATAGGATTGTAATATACCTTGGCACAAATAGTATTTCGCACAGGACAAGTTATGTCGCATACAGTGGTCAAATTAGTTTAGAAAATAAAAATGTTAGTCTAATCATTAAGTCCTCATGTATTGTAGAATTTAAGTAAATGTTTTCTTTTATGCAACTCAACGTTTGTGACGGGTGTATTTTGTGACAAATTGGCACTCTTGTTATTTGTTGTTGCAGTTCGTCTTGTTAAATACTTTGCATGAAGTGAACTGGTGTTCGTATTTGTATTTGTACCTAGATATATTCATATTCTTAAATTGCTTCGTATAATAATTAAGAGTTTGTAACTGTCATGCGTCTACTGTGCAAGAGGGCGAATTCCGTACCAGGGCTTATGGGTTTTCATTGGTACATCAGTAATCGTCAGTAAGAAAATTGATTAATATAAGTTGCAAGAACTTCTTTCAAATTCGAACTAAAATGTGGTTAAATAAAAATTCTGTATATTACCCATATTAGTAGAACAAAGGTAAACTATGCAGTAGAACAGAAATCTGCGTTACTGATGGTAATAGTTACAATATTTGTATACATATTAATTCCTTTGAGCCCTCCGTAGGAATGCAGCTGTAGGAATAACTGATCTGGTGCACGACAGATTCCAGGAAATAAAAGCAAAATGATTGATGAAGAACAAATGAATGTAAATTGTAAAAAACAAAACATTGTTTAAAATGAATAATACAGCAGTTTTCTAAAATTTCAGAATGGACTTTTCAATACTAGTGGAGAAAATGTTCTCTTAAGACCTCTTCCATTGAATGCTTCGGTCGTCAAACGAAAAATGAGACTGTTTCGAAAGAAAGTTTCTGTACCATATATCTTGAAGAGAGTAAATAAAAAAGAAACAAAGAAAGGCATTGTTAAAGGTAAATTTAAATAATTTTATATTACATATAATTGGACATGAATTGTAAAATCTTTATTGCAAATTTATATTACACTGAAATTCCTTTTTTAATGTAACATGTCCGATAAATAACTTAAAAAGGAACAATCTTTTCTTGCTTTTATATATATTTGATTAACTACCATTGGTAAGTTGAATGTTTCAATATTGGGTCGGGGGCTTTTATGTTTACCAAAAATATATATATATATAAGGTTATGAACGTAATTTTGTCACCCCATCCGTCTGTGTGCATGTTAGTCCCTCTGTTAATAAATCTTAAATCCTCTGGTCAAGGTCACACGTAGTCATTTTTGTATCAATTTCAGAATTGTGTCTTTTAATCAATTAGAAAGAAATTAATATGTTTTGGCACAAAAATTTACTGATAACCATACGATGCGCAGAATAGTTTTGGACACCCTGACGCCCCGGGGAAAACATGATTTACATAGACTTATAAGAAAACGCATTTTAGTTTCATTGTGTGAAACAATATGTCTAGAGCTTAAATAATTAAGCATGTAGCATTGCTTTATTGACCTTTACAAAACTAATGTGAGTCAATATTGGCCCCCAGCCAGAGGTACTTGATTTTTATTAACTGATTAAGGAAAACAAATGTAAGTCAACCAAGCTTAGAAATTTGGCATGCAGCTTCGATTTGTAGATTCTACACATATACAGTACATATATTACTAATGGCTCTCATATCAAATTTGGTCCTGTGCCGGGAGTCACTTCCTTTATGTAGACTAAGGTATAAAGAAACACAGTCTTCTCCATGCGGATAAATACCTCGCCGCTAATTTTGGCTTACTACATTGCCTACTAGACATCTATAAAGTTTCATAAATAATGCACTTGGGGTATAAATGCCTCGAGCTTTGTCTCGGAGGTCATAATATTATCATAAGAATTATTAAGATTACAAGTTTCTTGATTTGGTTATCCTAATTGAAAGTCACTCAAACAAATTTACATTCGGGTGTATATTGCCCCGCCTTTGTGCTCTAATACATTTTTGTCTTTCAGGTAAACATGCACGAAGAATCAACATACTAAAGATGTTGGAACGGGCAGGCAATACGAATTTTCCCCTGCCTACGATTAACCTTCCCACAGTCAACTTGCCAACTTCTCAAAAACCAGAGGAAACGACTTCGGTATCGCCGACGACAACTGAGGTATATCCTACTGACTCTCCAGATCAGTGTACAGATCATTATAGGCAATGTCCAACATGGCTCGAACAACATTATTACAATGATTATAAGAAATTCTGTGACCGAGATGGCTACGATTCGTGGTGTTGTGAAACATGTCTTGAGTGGGAGTCCGGGTCAGGGTCAGGTGGATGTCCAGATACAGGATACAGTGATTCCATGTGTGAAGATCTTCTCAGATGGGGTGTAAATAACGATAAAGAATTATTGTGCGATCTCTTTAGTACAGAATGCTGTCGCACATGTACTGATGAAGACAATGATGACAATGATAAACAGGAACCAGGCAACTGTGTAGATAAAGGGTATGGAAGCTCCACATGTGCCGATCTCCTAGATTATGGTACAGATGGTGATTTGGATGAACTGTGCAGATATTTTTCAGAAGAATGTTGTAACACATGCTCTGGTAAGTAGACATAATTAATTGATAAGTTTAGGTTTAAGTTTACGTAATTATTCTTCTTATTCGGGTTTAAGCTCACCTGAGCTAGCTCAGGGTGAGCTTTATGGATCGTTGAATGTCCGTCGTGCGTTCGTTAACACTCCAGCGGTCACATTTTTTGACTCAATCATCATCAAACTTTGTCAGAATGCTTATCTAGGTAATTGCTCGGATGAGTTCGAACATGGGTCATCTCGGGTGAAAAACTAGGTCACAGGAGCTAAAAATATTTAAAAAAAATCTTGTTAACACTCTAGTGGCTACTGTTTTGCTCCAAATATCCTGGAAATTGGTCTGATAGTATGTTTTGGTGATTACTAGGTCAAGTTCAAATATGGGTCACCTGGGGTCAAAAACTAGGTCACACCGTCCAAATATTGAAAAACTTTGTTTACACTCGACTGGTCACTTTTTAGCTCGACTATTCGATAAGAATAAGTAGAGCTATTGTAGTCACCCGAGCGTCGGCGTCTGCGTCGGCGTCGGCTTAACCACTTATGTTAAAGTTTTTGTAATAGTTCAAATATTTTTAAAGTCCATTGACATATGGCTTTGAAACTTTGCACACTTGTTCACCATCATGACCCCAACCTGTAGACAGGAGGAGGTAACTCTATCAAGCATTTTGACAGAATTATGCCACTTTTTCAATTTAGAATTTACGTTAAAGTTTTTGTAATACCTCGAATATTTTCAAAGTCCATTGACATATGGCTTTGAAACTTTGCACACTTGTTCACCATCATGAACCCAACCTGTAAACAGGAGGAGGTAACTCTATCAAGCATTTTGACAGAATTATGCCCCTTTTTCGACTTAGAATTTACGTTAAAGTTTTTGTCATAGTTCATATATTTTCGAAGTCCATAGACATATGGCTTTGAAACTTTGCACACTTGTTCACCATCATGACCCCAACCTGTAGACAGGAGGAGGTAACTCTATCAAGCATTATTACAGAATTATGCCCCTTTTTCGACTTAGAATTTACATTAAAGTTTTTGTAATACATGTAGTTCAATATTTCAAAGTCCATTGACATATGGCTTTGAAACTTTGCACACTTGTTCACCATCATGACCCCAACCTGTAAACAGGAGAAGGTAACTGTATCAAGCATTTTTTTTACTATCAAGCACTAAGAATAGTCGAGCGTTGCTGTCCTACCGACAGCTCTTGTTTGACTCAATTGTCATAAACTTGGTCAGGAGAGGACTACTATGAGCTATTGTAGCTCTCTGTCCAATTCCTTTCTGCTTAAATTGTAAATTATTTACATGTATATATTATCTGATTTAATATGTTTAAACCAAACTTGGTCAGGATGCTTGTCTGAGTAATTGCTCTGAAAAGTTATATTGGTCAGGTGAGCGATCTAGGGCCATCTTGGCCCTCTTGTTTACATATACTTTCAAAATTCAAACAAGGGACTTCGATTTTTAACACCCCTTTATTGCAATTTGGGGAGCAAATAGTCGACGCTTTGTCCTTCCGTATGTAAATCTGTACTTGTGTAGTTCTGTGGCAATTTACTACTGTTTCTTCAAGCATGTTCAGTTTTCTACCATAAATTTGATTTAGATACTAGTAGGTAGAGACCTGTGATAATCTTTTATTTTCGGATTAGTTTGGGATAAGTTGGGTCGATGTTAAGATAGCCAGTGTTGAAAATGTCTTTTGTGGTCCTCTTTGTGTGGTCAGGGATCACTTGGGTCTAGGTCACCGGGGCTTAATCTAAATTGAGTTTTTTTTTGCATAAGAAAGGTATTCATCTAGTTTACGAAAGTTGAAAGTTTGGTCAGGTTCTACTGGGGTTCCTGCCCGTTCCAAAATTAATCTGGACGTTTTCCTTCATCTCTAAAAAATTTGCCACATGATCCTTACAAAATCTTTATGACCCAACCAAAGAGCACAACAAAAAAACACAATTTAGAAAAGAAAATTGCAGATGAAAATTGGTTACTTAATTGTAACTTGGTTTGAATAAAAATTGGGCATTTATTTAAAATACATAACTTGATTTAATAACGTAGTTAGTTAAATGAATATTCCAGGAAGAATCTAACTGGGAGGCAAAATTTACTGCCAATTATTTGTGGTTTTTAATATTTTATTTAGTTTCCTCTTGTACACCTTATTTTATACTGTTCAACTTTTAATTATTTTGTACTGAATTCCTAATACATTTATATATATGTATTAAGTTTGCTGGTATAGAGTTCAATTTGTACATTATGATCTTTTTCAGGAAACCCAAGAAGAAATCTTTGAGTAACAAGTTCACAAGAAAAGTTCATGACATCTTGACTGAGTGGTGTATTCGGGATATACCCTGACTGTTGCTAGAACACCAAGAACCTTATGAAAGATGTTTAATATTGCATTAGGCCTATTTGAAGAAATTCTATTCTTTAAATTAAAACTGGTGTTAATATCATTTAAGATGATCGTTTAATTATAATTTGAACAGTCCTTCGCATTTGTGCCTTAGATTTTTGTCTTTGTTAACCTTAATTTCTCAAAAATTATTAAAGATATTCACTTTAAACTTACTTGTTTACTGAAAAATTGGAATGTATATTTAAAGGGAAGATAGTTCTGATGAGCATTTTGCTTAATGCCCTTTAACTCAAAAACCATCACAGATATATTCAATTTAAACTTGAATTACTTTTTGAACATCAATATGGGGGGATATTCCGAGGTAACTTGGCTTTTATCATACTATCGAGGACTAGAAAAGTGGAGCGTTCTGTTCCTCGGGCAGCTCTTGATTTAATTATTATTTTGTATTGTTTCGCTTTACTTTATGTTGAAAAACAGCATTTATTGTATCAATAAAATATCAAAACTTAGTTTCGAACTTTATTTATGTATGAACAAGACTGATGGAAAGTTATCATTTTTTTCTCTGCATGGTCTGCTAAAAATTCAAACATTGGGTGTCGGAATCATTCCCAGCAAAAATAAATTTAACGTGTGATGCACACTCCAATGAACAGCCAGAATGTCCTTTATTGGCCAAGGCAATAACCAATGTTAAACATCTAATATTGCCTTCTTTACTTGACCTTCGACAAAGCAAGTAACCCTTCATTAATTTTCCAAAAAGTTGCGTAATAAAATTATGAATAACTTTGAATACAAGCAAGGAATACAAGCAAGGAAAGTCAATTCTGCAAATCAAATATGGTAAAGGTATAAGTCGATCTTGTAGACATTGACGGTTTCAAACTATCGCGATGCTTTCCGCATAAAAAAGGTTGATAAACAAATCATTTGAAATACATGTATATGATCTGACAATTCAACAATCTGATTTCAGATGAAACTCTCTTGTAACAAAAATAGTTTGCTGTATGATAAGGATTTTTCTAATTCAAATGATGAGATAAAACAAACTAGAAATGTGTCATTGGACACGTATGCCCTCTCTCCACTGTCAGTTTTTATTAAACCAAGGCATATAATATGCAACTGGTTATAACAAACGAACGAACAGAAAAATAACAGTCAATAAACACTAATATCACAATAAAAGAATACACTTATGACTAGCTAAGTAAACAAAAAAGAGATCATACTGTTCATTTCAACTACTGAATTCAGTACTACATGTATTTTACATTGTAACAATTGGGAACGGAGAATGAGAAGTATTAATTACATGTATCTAAATTTTAACATAATGTTTTTACAAAATATTATAGTTTTAGTAGAATCTTTTTATTACAACTATTCATTAATTTGTTAAATGTATTTACACACGTTGCCAGGCAACTTACCGCGTACATGGTTGAGCGGGGTTATGATTGTCGCCTGTGTTTGATTTTGGCGGGGATGTGCACGTGAAAAGTATGATACATGTATATGTACTATAGGTGTGTAAAATAATCATTCGAGGATTTGCTTTTCGGCTGTTCAGACGAGTTTTATCTTAACTTTTCACTTAAATTCAAGAATGAACTCGGACAGTTTAGATGAGATAAAATCGTATTTTGATGCTAAGTTTGCAGATTTTAAGAAAGAGATATGCAAAGGAAGTGTTGCCAAAACTCACAAATCCACTGTTTTGAAAAACAAAGGGAATCAGATTCAGTTGGATCATAACTGTGAGCTGTTGGATTGCATTGTTCAAATTAGCGGACTGATTGAGTCAGGGGAACACAGTGAGGCGCTCGAGTTGTGTGAGACTGCTAAGAAAAAGATTGAACGTCGCAATAAACTGATAAAACTGGCAGACAAGTCACCTAGTGGTTGGTTGACTGTACACGAATATGAGCAAGACGATTTAGCCAGCGATGATGAGGATTCAAAGAGAATTAAAAAGGCTGAGAAAGCAGCTGCGTCCATTATCAAACAGCGCAATGAAGCAAAGAAAGCGAACAGAAGGTTCATAAATGGTAAGTTTAGTTTAGTCAGTTTAGTCTGCAAAACAATTAAACACGTGATAGAGTGTAAAGCTATGGGTGTCCTGATTGTACTAAGGTGGCAGTCTGCTGCTTACTGGCCTTTATTATTTGAAGATAACAGTTTTACAGGGAAAAACTATGTTAAGGATGTCTTAGAATTTTGTGACAGAAAAATATATGTTCATGGTAAAAACAAAAGATCTCTTTTTGGTTCTAGAAAGTTTAAGGGATTTGTTTTGGCAGTTAAACTTGATTCCAGATCATTAAAATAATTATCACGTTAAATTTGTAATTAAGTATTACCGGAAGGACTATTTAATTTCATGGGTAGACGGTCGGAAGGACCAAAGTCTGGCCGGAAGGGCCTCAGTCTGGCCGGAAGGGCCTAAGTATGGCCGGAAGGGCCCAAGTTTGACCGGAAGGGTCAGGACATTGGCTTATGTGCAAAAAAAAAAAAAAAAAAAAAAAAAAACTTATTTCTGCAGAAATTATTGGAGATATGTTTTTATTACATGAGAAAGATAATTGTTCTTTATATCATTTAAGATCAGTTGCAATTGTAATCATAGGGTTTTCAGGATTTTTGAGGATCGGATAACTGTTAAATTTAAGATGTACTGATGTTACATTCAATGATGATTACTTAAGTTTGTACATACGGTCTAGTAAAACTGATCAGTTAAGTCGTGGTTCTTCAGTTGTTATTTCAAAATCAACTGGTGTTACATGTCCATATACAACATTACAACTTTATTTTTCAAAGGCTGATTTATCAAACGATAGTGAAGAGCATGTTTTTCGGGCTTTATCTTCATGTAAGAAATCTAACTCATTTAGATTAAAGAAAGGAGGTTGCTTATCTTATACTCGAGTTAGGGAACTGTTACGTGAGATGCTTGTCGAAGTAGGCTTAAACCCTAATGATTATGGGACTCGCATTTTAAAACGCGGTGGCTCTACCGCAAGCGCTGTTTATAATGTATGTGATAGACTTTTTAAAAAGCACGTGGATGGAAAAGTGAGCATGCGAAGGACGGTTATGAGTCTGAGGCTATTAATTCGATTCTCAGCGTTTCTAAAAATCTAGGATTGTAATTCAGTTTCGTTTCAGTTAATAGCGTTATTTGTCCCGTACTTTAAAAGTCGACGCTGGAACAATCGCTCTTAGCCAATTGCATATAAAGTGTTTATTTGTTTTGTTGTAGTGTAGTACATGTAAGTTGAAGGGCTTAAGCTTGTAAATGATTTATGCTCGGTTGAAAGAATTGAATTAGAGCATAAATGTATTTACACACGTTGCCAGGCAACTTACCGCGTACATGGTTGAGCGGGGTTATGATTGTCGCCTGTGTTTGATTTTGGCGGGGATGTGCACGTGAAAAGTATGATACATGTATATGTACTTTAGGTGTGTAAAATAATCATTCGAGGATTTGCTTTTCGGCTGTTCAGACGAGTTTTATCTTAACTTTACATTATTTAGAAAATTGCGGTAGTTTATGTAGATTATAATGTCGTAAGATACACGGTTTTTTCAATCATTGTGTATAAATATAGTATTTAAAAATCAATGCATATAAACAATCTTGTTTTTCTAGTTTCAGATTCTGATGTATGATATGCCAGGAATGCTTGTTTAAAAAAAAAAAAAAAAAAGATGTTTCGTGGGACGAGAAGACGTCCATGCTGGTCTTGAGCCACAGGATCTTCCCACCTCCCCCTCCTAAAAATAAGTAAAAGGAGTTAGGGTTGGGTGGCCTGCTCGCAGCATCCCGATTTAAGAGTTCATGAATATATTATATGATTGTATTTTTGTATGCGTATACTTTATTGTAAATTCAAACATTGAATAAAGGAGTGATTATTATTTAAATTTAATAGGCATTTTTCTTTTCTCGTTTTTGTTTTTGTAGAACAATTAAAGTAACAGGGTCATTTTATCAAATTACTAATTATCTTTAATCATGTGCCGAAAACATGTGTCTAACAGTCAAGTTTTCTTTGTGAATTAGATTTTTCAATTAAAGATGTTATGTTATTTGTTGTATGGGTTTCCATTTTTGTTAGTTAACGACCTATATGTCTATCATGAATGACATCTAATGAGTAAATATGTTTGTTGTTTTTTTTGGGGGTTTTTTTGTGTTTTTTTTTTCGTTGAATGATACGAAATCAGTTTAACATGTCATTTGTTAATCTTTTGTGTATAATGTCATAGTGGTTTTGATACGTATAAGTTCTGTTTCTGTGTATAAACTCGTCAAATAAACGGCTGGAACAATCGCTCTTAGCCAATTGCATATAAAGTGTTTATTTGTTTTGTTGTAGTGTAGTACATGTAAGTTGAAGGGCTTAAGCTTGTAAATGATTTATGCTCGGTTGAAAGAATTGAATTAGAGCATAAGTTTAAAAATATTGGGTTGAACATAAAAAACTGGGAAGAAGAGATTTACGTCTTAAGTCATTAAAGTATGAAAATTCAAATAAGTAGTGAAATTCATCATCAATAGCTTGATACGGACATAAGGAACAGAGAGCCAATTATTATGATCATTTGCCAATTAATGTCTACTTTTTTCAATTGGTAATAAGTGATATCATTGTTCTAAATTTACATAAACATTTGCCTATGGCAAATGGAAGTTGGAAGTACATCTAGATATTTTTCAAAACAATGACTATTTTATATGTCTACTGACGTACATCAAGATAGAGGGACAAAGAAATTTCTTCTCCACTTACTCCAAACTGGTTTACGAATTCCAATTTTTTTCAATGTCGACATCTTGATTTTCCCCAAACGCATATGCACAACTTCACGTGCCGACCAACAGTCTTGTAAAGTTTCATGACTCTAGGTTAAACACTTTTTGAATTACACAAAACACAGGTTGAAAATTGCAAATCTATTACTCAGTCGAGGGTAATAACTACAACACAGGAACCCAAAATTATTTCCAAAACAAAAAAAACGATTTTAAAAAATCCCATATATATACTATAAAGTGTTTTTTACAGTTTATATATATAATCTGTATTTTTTTCATTTTGGAAAGAATTTCGGGTTCCTGTGCTTTACAAATACTGTATTAATCCTAGCTAGGAGCACAACTACAAATGCTGATCAACATTTCGGTTAAGTTTCAAATATCTTTAGCATGTTTATGTTTAGGGCTACGTGCGACACAAGTTGAAAATAGCAAATGTTTACTAAGACAATGGCAATTACTCTGGCAAAACTGGATGAATGCACAGCGAAACCCAAGGTGCACAACTTCACATGCTGATCAACATCTGTAAAGTTTGTTGAATCTAGCTAGAGCACTTTTAGAGGTACATGCGACCCATGAGTACGGACGGACGCATGGATGGACATACAGACAGCCGGACGAGGGGCAAATCTAAAGCCAACCCGCCCCAAAGTTAGGGCACAACAATCTTATTTCAAGTTAAACTATTTTATATCCCGCGTTTTCCACAAATTTAAATAGTAGATTTATCGCCTTTTAATGAACAATTTTGCGAGAGTAATCTCCCTTACAGCAACAATTCAACTACCAGCTATTTTTAAAATATTGTCAAACTTAAATCTAATCTATTCTAAAAGGATTAAGAATGTGAACCTTGTATATTAAATAATCATAAGATGTTTAGCATTTTGTAACTGAAATCCTTTAAACTTTTAAAGGACTGCTCTTACATTTAAAGCTGGGCGGATCCATTACACAATCAGCCGGTCTAGTTTTTGGTACTCGCGCAACATGTTAACAATAAGAACAATTTATAAAGTTTCCTATCAAAATTCATAGAACGATTGGGGGAAATGGCTTGAGGAATTTTTCCTCTCAATTTTTATGTTCACACGTTTAAAGCTCGGGAAGATATCAATTTATTAATAGGTATACAGTAGATCACTTTCTTTATACACACCATGCATATGGAGTAATATATAGTTATACATATTCTAAACATATATATTTATTTACGTATATATATATATATATATATATATATATATATATATATATATATATATATATATATATATATATATATATATATATATATATATATATATATATATATATATATATATCTAAACGTATATATTCTAAACACAATGCTAATATAATATTTCTTAAAACCATGGCTAGCTACAGATATCCTAATGAATTTCAACAGTTGGTTCCGTAAAATGACCATTATCATGGGACCAAAAAAAACTTAGTTTGTAAAGATGATTCCTCTGTGCACCATGGGAGTCTCGATGGGCATGTAGGACTCCGACTTCATAGACATTTCTGTTTGAAATCACTCGAAATACAGTTCCCTCTCAAACATATAAATTATCTTGCCTTTCTCGCCAAAGTAGTTTGCATAATCCCAGGCTCGGCCATTTTATGCTTGTGAAATCATTTTTATGACGCCTGTGAGAGTTTCTGTTTCTTCTGAGCGTTTATCTACGACATATAGGGGGTATATTTCGCATATTATCGTTAATAGTGATAGAATTTCAAGTTCCTGTGATTCAACTAAAACTTAAGTAAGCGTTCAAAATTATCCTAATTTGATCAAAACTTAACGATTAATCAATTCTCAACGACTTATCAACATTTCAAGCAGGGTCAATTCTTAACTTAGAAAAGTGACCCAGGTTCATTAGTAAACATTGAAAAATGATCCATGGTGCAAATTTTCAACAGGGTCAAAGTTTAATGTTACCCCGGCATCTTAACGCTTCCTCAATTAAGCTATCTACTAGTAATTGGACTAATTCGGGATTGATTTTATTTCCCTGACTTGTGTAGTCTTCAATTTTAATATCCTCACATTGGATATTTTATTTCAGACAGCTAAATTTGGAGATCAAAATAAAAAAGAAACGATGTAAAAGGAGTTAAAGATATTGCAATCTCGGGATATTTTGAAGTTACTTTTGTGAAATAACGCTGTTGTTATCTTTAACTTCCAGATAACTTACATAATGTATACTGCAAAATAACCGATCCATGCCAACCTAATCTAACCCATCTAAATTAACAACAGGCGCAACATAGCTGAGCATAATATTATGTTGCTCATATTTTTCTTGCTTTTTGTGTAAACTCATCCCACGTGTTCAATTAGCAAGCTTCATGGGCTACGGTGCATTCAGTTATCTCATTTGTATTGTGTATGGGAAACTGTAGATGAATATACAATACTTGGCTTATGGGATATAATATTAATGTTTAACAACCAACTCTAAAAACAAAAACATGTATTTCATATTTTCAATGTTTTTATTGAAATAACAATAACAAAAATAATATATCAACAAGGAAAGAAACTAACATAAAAAATCTCATGAACATGTACATGATGATTATAATTAAACTCTATATACAAGTGGAAAATGGCACTCCGAGACACTTGTGCACTACAAGTTAATCAAACACAAAGCACTAATCTTACAATGTATTCGAATAACAATAGCAATATAAATGTGGTAGTTTTATGTACACAATGTGCTCATTGATAACTGCGCGCAGCCTACCTTAAATTTGCACTCAGCAGATTTAAAGCGGATTTTTTCACTGGAGTGGTTCTTGCAAACCAAATAGATAGTTAGTTCAAGGGTCGCTATGAAGCGTGCAATTTCCGATTGAACTGAAGTGGACGTCGTTGATACATCTCACAACAGCTTCTTTGGACCCTTTTTCTTTCACTAATTGTGCAGTGCCTTCGACCACTTCAAAATCTTGTGTGTTTACATTCATCAAGTTTTGACTGTGATGGTTAAACATTTTCAAAAAGCATGCGAAGCGTACTTTTACGTTCTTTACGACGGCATTATCATCAATAAAAGTGTCTTTTTCAATCTGAGGAAAGTCCACTTTCTGGACTTCAACAGAGCCAACTTCTTGTTGATCAGCATCCACGATAATGAAAACATCTCCCTCCTTTAATGCCTGTATATTGAGAGCGTAACCGTTTGGAATGCTGTCTGACCAGAAAAAGCAGTCATTAAAGTTCAAGCTGTTCCCCTGGAATGTCATTCGTCGACCATAACCAAGACCTATTGAATTGAGTCTTCTCGCTTCTCCGTTGAAGAGGTACTCATTGGTCCCAATATAACGCACGTTGTAGCGGAAACCCGGGGCTATGCGACTGTCAATTTCAAATCCTGTTGAGAGAACGGTATTATTAAAGTACATATAAATATAAACAAAATATCGAATAAAACGGCCGACTTAATTACGCAAAAGGAGAAAAATAACTTTCATAAATGACATTATATTACTTTTGTAAGGAAAGCTATTGAAATGTATTAAAGGGATGAAAAATACAGCCGAAAAATTAGAATATTGATTTTTATTTATTTTGAAAAAAAACACTCACATTAGTACTTTTTGATTTTCAAATCATATTGGACCATAATAAATTATAATTATATGTCAATTTGAACAGAATGTAACAAATGTGCCTTCATGTAAATTTTAAAAAATGCGGCACACTCAATACACAGAACGAACAACATTTTTTTGCAACATAACGATTTAAAAAGAATAGTAGTAACGTTTTCGTAAAATCATTAACCTCTCACAGCCAATAAGAACTCGAGGATTAAATCCATGCTCCTTTTAGTTGCTAAGCAACTGAACCTGACTCTTCATTGGATTGGCTCATAGATCTGAAAGAATTACTGTGTAACAAGCGTGTTCCTGACAAGGCATTGAGATCTCTTTAAATTTAATTCTTAAAACTTTTTTTCATTTATTTTTCTTATTCATCTTTTGATTTGCATTGTCCAAATGTTATTTTTTTAGGTAAAAGAGATTTCAAACAACTTGAAACCTCTGATACTCAAAAAGTGACCAAAACAAAAATGTTTGAAAGCCAAAAGATTGCCAAAAATATGAGATAGTAAAAGAGACCTCTTATATCAAATTGGCGAGCATGAAACAAAATATAATTATTTATTCAAATGAAATGTTTATGAAGGGCACCTTTCTCTCATTATGTAATTATTTGGACAGCAGTTAAAATTCAAAACCATAGTCCAAACTTAGTTGTCTATTTTCTTTTCAATTATATTTTGATATACATAAGTCCGTTTTATCAAGTAAGCTACAAAATGTATATTTATATATCCCGTACACATACATAATGGTCATTTCCGTCGTCATTTCGTCAGTATTTGTTATCAAATTGTCAATAAAGCAACTCTTAACGAATGTTCTTTTTTTAATTCATCACTTCGACTAGTGTTTAATAAACAATTTTGCTAATAATCTATTAATATTTTTGACAACTGTTTAATGAAATTCTCTCGTTCTTGTAGAAGCGATACTTACTAAATCGTTCTACATATGTACTTCTATCTCACCACTTTCTAGCGATACTCTTACATACATTTGCCCATAAAACAACGCTTTTGAAAAAATGTTTGTGGTTCAATGCTGCTATCTGAATACTTTTTAAAAAGAAAAACAGCACCTGTACATTATTTTCGTCTTCAGGTTTAAAATAATTTCGTGACCATCTTTCAGACAAAATAAATTGCTTCTTACGGGGTTTTCTTTGTTTCGTTCTTTTCCTTTAAATTCATATCTTGATTTTGGATTTTTTTTTAAATTATTAATGTTTTCAAAAGCGTTGTTTTGATGAAATGATGCATCATTTTTCTTTTTGAAGAAAAATTGGAATTCCATATTTACCTTTAACAAGTAATTCGTGTTCTCTCATCTCCAACTGTTCGGGCAAAGGATGGTCGTGATCATTTTCATCACAATCAAGCTCAGCCTGTTCCTTGATATCCCACACTTTGAAGAGGTCCGCCAGAGATTTGTGGCCGTCTGTCCGTCTGTTTGAAACGTCGTTCTTTAGGTCGCCTGACCTAATGGTCGCATAGACTGAGAGTCTTCTAAGAAACATCTCATCTGCGTCATTATGAAAGATTCCAAGTTCCATGTCCAATGGAGTATGCGTGTTTACGTTAACCATAGACATTATGTTTCTAGAAAAATATATACACTCAGGTTAATTACATTTTATCCTGTTACGCAACATAATTTCTTTAATGTCGTTTTTTTTTTTATATAAAATTCATTATGCAAACAATAAATTGAAGAAAAAAACATTGAAACGCTGTACAGTGCTTCAAATGATTTTTGTCAATTAATTTAAACGACCTATGGTCAATTAATGTAAGTCATATGTTTCAGCATTAGATTTATCTTACTATAGTTTAATAGATCTATAGTTAAACTGTTAAATATCTCTGGATCTAATTTATTAATATCTAAACTTAAACCAGTATTTTTTATCGGAAAATGTACTTACGTTTTTGGAATATAATTTAAATCCGCAGATAAATTTGTAAATAAAATCGTTTAAATCGTAGTGTATCGCAAGGTGTTGCTTTGTGCGCAGCGTTGTAGGTTCTGGAGTAAAGAGCGGAATGTCAGCGGAATATATATTATGCATAATGAAAACACGATTGTCGATTTCTGATTGGTTGGTTGCCAGACATCAATGAAAACTCATGTACCATGCGTTCAGCACGCATTAAGGTCGTGCAGTATTTTTACCCGAAGTTCGGCGAGAAATTCCGATATCGGTTAATGCGATATTTTGATTCACTAATTTCGCAACGCTTTGATGACTCAACTGGCCGTAGTACTATTATGTTTACGTTATTTTCCGTTTGTACATGTATTAAATTATTTGAAAACCGGCGGAAGATTCAAGGTGCGTACAGTCGTTATTAATTATGACCCTTATACTGGGCTTCGGGCGGTTTGTTAAAACCACACGTGTGTATGGACCTAGGGTCAATTTAGACTTTTGTTATAAAAAAGACAAATAATACATAAGCCAGTTTAAACCAGCCTGAGAGACTGTTGTAAAATATGGGAAACATGTTATATAAAGAAAAACCAGTTTATACTGGTTTGAACTGTTTTAAGTAGGTCTGTATGTTAATAGAATCATTGATTTTCAAAATGCAATTTCTGTAAATAGATATGTAATAGCTGTATTTGATACATCTGAATAAATAAAGCGCAACGGATTTTTGGTACATGTACTTGAAGAGAAGGGTCTTAAAATTCTATTTGAAAGACCCCGTTGAAGGTTAAAAATATGCGTTTTCAAGCCCGGGAGAAGAGTCGACCACAGCCGTTCTGCAATTAAACTAGACCTATAAAAATTTTATAATTTCTCAAACACGATTTATCTATCTATCTAAATAATGATTATAATATATATGGCCAATACGTACCTATACACTGGCACTACGACCTCAGTTGAGCCTATACAAATCGAGTTAAGTAATTAATTAGACATTCATTTAGTTCAGATTCTATTTGAAAAACTCTGTTTAGTTACATTTGAGGCTCCTGTCAAACGATTCTGAAGGAATATGTACAATATATTCCATTGATAGAGGCAATTTTTTAAATGGCTGTACACATTATATTATTTTTTTTTAAATAACTAAAAGTCCTCAAATTGGTTAGGCATATAGAATGATAAGTTGATTAATTGGTTTACTTGAATTTATTTATACATGTACTATATAAAACCCAGCAGTAGATTTCTAAAAACAAATCTCTGTGCAGGTAGAATATATCTAGATCTACTATTTTTTCAAATATCTAAAGGTCCATTTTTGTACTGTAGCGTTCGTATATTAAAAATTCCTTCGTTCCATTCATTATCATAATACATGTAGATGAATTGGTAAATACCATTTTGAACAACCCCCAGGAAAATAATCATGCGTTTCGCGCATGTTAACAAATACCGGGTTTTCGGATAGACTTTGATACTTAGGTAAAGAGAATATGTCCGAAATATTGTGTACTGTGAGATCGACTATAAGGATATTTTTGGTAACGCACCGCATTTAATTCATCAGTTTTAACCTCCAAAACGGATAAATCTCATCGTGAAAGGTCACAATTGAATAATAAAGGTAAAATACATCATGTTATTTTTAAATAAATTTCTTATGTGATTTTAATTTTATAACAGGCGCTGCATAAATTAGAAAAGTCAATTAGCAGACGCTTTTACAGAGAAGCTGAGTTTATCAGACCAAGGGGAGCAACTCTACAATAGTAGACAAGGTTTTTAAGGTCAATTTGTTGATTTCGCGTGATTTTGACAGTTCTGGTTGAAAAAAATCATATTTGAAGGACAGGCAAAATTTATTTCACCTAAATTAAGACTATGTTTGCATTTATACTAAGCATTGAATTATGATATGATTTTGTGACAATGATAGTCAGCGACAGGAGGCTCAGTCAGGTGTTACATCTAAACAGAATCATGTAAACATGATTCAAAGCATGTAGATTTGCCCTTGTCCGTCCTGTTGTTTCAGTACGAAAATTATATAGTGTTTTGTTTGATAAATGTAGATCAAATTTCAGTAGTAAACTATTTTTGCTACATTTTAAGTTGTATTTCAAATTTTCAATCATAAGTGGGTAATAATGATAACATTTGTATTTCATGCAATATAAAGTCTGTTAATTGTACCTATAGTATGTTTCTACAATCAGTTTTTGTCATAAAAGCTGTAGTGTTGGGGTCGAACTTTCAGTCACATTTACGCTGTCACTGCAATTAATATTTATTCTTTATTAGTGGAGATACATTGTAGAGCCCGGATGTCAACCTGCGCATTATTTAAGCCCTCGCACTAGCATCCAGATTTAACTATCAACCAAAGACAAATTGCAATATTCCTACACACAGCCAGAATATGACATAATTCAAAAGGCAAACAGATTTGCCCTTATCTATCCTGCTGCCAGGCTGTTACATCTACATCTGTACATTAAACTGTCAAACTTAACATTTCTTTAAAAGTGTGCAAGAAAAAAGACAAAAAGAGAAATAAAATAGGATAGAAAGAAAAAAGGACATGGACACAGTTTTTGCTAAATAGCAGTTAAAAGAAATGTAGTAGCAGAAAGTAGTTGTACACAGTTACTTTTCATCCATCTAGGCAAGACCAATCCAGCTTCTGTGGCGGTGCCCAGGTCCAGGACCCTGCTGGCATAGCTTAAGCCCTTCAATTGGTGGTTCTTTGTAACTGTGCATGTAAGTCCCCTTTAGAAGGTTAGATTAGATGGCTCATTCTTGAAGGATGCCAGAGAATGAGCCTCAGCAACAGGTGCTGGCAGGTTGTTCCACAGAGGAATACAAGTAGGGTCAGTGGACGTTGAATATTGTAGGAATCGGGTACTGTGTGGCAACCTTGTTCTGGGTTTACATACATGTGAACTCTCCCATTTTTAGCGGGAGACTCCCACTTTCTGCAGCCATATTTTCAAAGATTTTTCTTAAAATAAGGGGTATTTTCACAAATTTTAGAAATCTCCCTATTTTTGATGTCAGAACTTCCTTCTTTGTTTATTGCAAATTATAAAATCTCCCTCTTTTTGAAGTAAAATCTCCCACTTGATCATCAAAAAAAGTTCACATGTATGGGTTTAGTTGGTGTTAAGAAGTGGCCTGGAATTCTATCTCCACAAGTTAATGGATGATTTTGTAAGCATAATGAGTTGGAGCTTTTGACGGCGTATTTCCAGTGTTTCCCAATTTAGATGATGAAGCATATCTGAGACACTGTTGGTGTTATGGTACCTGTTTGTAGTGAAGTGTGCTGCTCTTAGCTGTACCATTTCCACTTTATATATAAGGTTTTTATGATGGGAGTTCCAAACAGTGCAGCAGTATTTTAAGTTAGATCAAACAAGAGATACATGTATGTAGGCGTTGGTTTTAGTTTCATAGCTTGTGTGTCTCGAATTACGTTTTAGGAACTCTAGCATGTTGTTAGCTTCTTTAGTGATCTTGTCAAATGTGTTGTTTGTCTGAAGACTAATGCAAAACAATGTCCTATGCACATGAGAGTTATATTCAGAGTCAGTGTTATCCTTATTCATAATCTACCAAATTTTTTTGTTTAAAAATCAGTATTAAATGATCTGAAAATGGTCACCTTTTACAGTGAGGTACCTATATGGACCACATGATATGCAGCAGCATTCCAATAATATTAATAACCTTAGTAGGAGAAGTTTCAAACATTTTTATTTTTGTTAGATTAAGATATTATGTACTGGAGTATAAATTGAAAGATAGTATTTGAAATATTTTGATTTCGTTACAGACTTCAGTTGAAATTGTCAGCACAATGCCTGTAACTGAGGGGACGCAGTTTGGCTTGCCACCAGCCACTGGGTTGTATGATCCCAGGTATGAGTCAGATGCTTGCGGTGTTGGTTATGTTGTCAGCATTGATGGAGTACGGTCACATAAGGTAACACAAATTTGTTTTGATTATTAATAAAAATTAATATACCAAATATAATATTGATTGTGTAAAAACATACAGCTTGAATTACTTCTTGCATGTTTTAGTTTGTGACAATGGAAACTCTTCGCCAAATGTCCCTTGAGTCTTGCCAATTCCAATGTCTACTGGATACAACCTATGTAAATCTTAATAAAAGAAACAAAAATATGTATTGTCTGGTGGTATTTTATTTTTGGCGCACAGAATTTTGAAATCAATCTTCCATATACTGATGGCAGTATTTTGTTAGTGGAAAGTTAAAACTACATTTTATGTCATTTTTTTCCCATACCCCTACTCCTTGCTGCCGAGTGTCTTCATTTCACTATTATAATTACCTAGATTAGGCCTATGCTTCTCTGCATTTTGTTGGCATTTTCCCTATTTTTTGAAAAATTATATAAAGTTATTTATGTATGGATTTGATTTAAACTTGAACAAAACAAGACTTGCTACAAAACTAATATAACTTATAACTTGAATAATTTATATATGACCTTTACCTTTTATTGACCTTGACTGTAAAGGTCAATTAATGAAATGCTTTTTTTTCCTTGTAACTGGCTATAACTTTATTATCTATGAACGGATTAACTTTATATTAAGACATAATATCTTTTAGGTCAGGACCATCATGTATATCAAAGTCAGAAGATTGATCATGATTCATGTATGACCTTGAAGGTCAAATAATTTTGTTTTCACTGATTATTGCTATAATTGGCTGTAACTTTGTAATTAATTAATGGATTATTTTCATGTTTAGACAAAACAACCTTTTAGACAAGACATTATTAAAGGTTGAACTGACTTTGAGCTTTAAATGACCTTAACCGTCAAGGTCAAAGTATTGATTTTTTTTATTTATGTACAGATTTGATTAATATGTGGACAAAACAACACTTGTGACAAAATAGACATCTGGAATAATTAAGATATGTCCTTGACCTTTAAATGACCGTGACTGTCAAATGATAGAATTTTGATAATATTTTCTTAAAGTCAGAAATTGGGAAATTTTCCATCTATTTTTGTTTGGGAACAGTGCCATTTTCAGGTATCAGTGCTATAAGGGGGAGGAGAACCGCTTTCTTCCTATCATGAAAGCATGTTTGATTGCAGATAATAATGACAAACTTTCATATTATGGCTGAAATGCTAAGAACAATTTTCAATGAGATGGGTTTTCCAGTTGGTTTTCCAGTTAAATTATTTTTGTTAAGTTATGGCCCTTGAATATTGCATTCATTTTGGCCTGTTAACAATATTTGTGTATCCTGCTACAATGTACACAGTAGCTACAACATACATGTTATTATCAGGTGACACATGTGATCAGTATTGGCTATTATTAAGCTGAAAAGCTTAATTTAAAGGAGATATTTTTGAATTGAGTATTCCCTATTTTGTTGTAAGATAATATCTTAAAGCCACAGTTTGTATGTTGCTGCAAATTTTCCCCAATTAACTGAAAACATTTCAAATTGGGAGGAACCATTGTAAAACTTTTAGATTGAAAAAAACAAAACAACAACAACAAAAAACATTGCAATACTGCATTGATATACATACAATACAATACATTGATATAGAACTAATAAAGATTTGAATTAAGAGCCTGTGATAATTCCTCAACTTTTCAATACTGTCAACTTAGATCATTTTCAATTAGTAAAACAATTTTCAATTAGTATAACAATTTGTATTGTCAAAAATTCTTGGAAATTGTATGAATACAAGTGTTATTATACTAACGTTTGATGGTTGTTAATTGTTTTGGAAGGAGGAAGTAAATTTTGTGCAAGCTGACCGGATAAAAGCTCTTTCATCAAGCTAAACAATAACATCCCATAAAGAGAATATCTTTTAGACATGTTGCTGACGCAGATATATTCCTATAGGAGTTTTATGTAGCAGCTATAATTCCATAATTTTCTACTTCCAGAGGTTTTATTGATTGATTTCTTCTAATAGCCTTCTATATATGGATTCCAATGATTTGAACGAGATATATTAAGTAGTCTGAGCAGGCAATGATGTACCAAAAACTCCCACATACAATGATTTGTTATTACAAAAAAGAAACAGGAGTGGCTCATCTCCTTGTATAATATTGTTACAGTCCAGTGATTGATTTTGAATTATCTCCTTATACAATAATGTTGCTGTCATTTTGAATTATTTAAACTGATTATATTTCTGAATATATTGTTCATCCAGTTCAATACATACAAATTTAGAATTTAGACTCGCTAGCATTTGAAACTGGAGGGGATTGAACCTTGTTCCTTTTGAGTTGAATACCATTTGAGTTAGAGATTTTTTTTTTTTAAAAAAGCACTTTTTATCTGTGGTGTTCATGAACACAGAAGTTTGAGGAAAGAAATGTCTTGCCATGGCATTTTTCAAAAGAAAAATAGTATTATTTTTACACTTCTAAGTATGGATTTCTGATTTCTACAGTGTCTTTAAAGGAAAAGAAAGATTTTCCATTATTGTGATTTACATTAGGCCAACACCAGTCTTTTAACCAGTAAATTTTATGAGGTCTTATCATCATAGATCCAAGTCTGAAGAACATGTAGAGCCTCATTGATACCTGTATAAAACATTTTGTTATTAACATGTACAAACTTCATCATATGTATTATAAGTGTGGTACTTACCGAGAAATATTAATGCCAGTAGAACAGTAGTTTACTGGAACTCTTGTACAGTCATACCTGTGTTAGAAGAACAACTTTTCAAGAAAGACACTGTCAGTACACTGTCAGTAACTGATAGCTTTTCAGACTACAGTATATAATAAAATTGAAAAATAAAGTCAAATTTTTTTGTTGCAAACAAATTTTGATAATATTTTATTGAAATTTAATTTATCAACTGTTATGAAGGTATATCAGGAAGAATAGCATCATCCCATGTTTTAAACTTATCAGTATGATCTATATTTTATTCTGCATTTTTTTTTTAAGCATTATTGTTCTAAAAACAAACCCAATTATTATCATACACTTCTTTAACTTGCATAGCAAACATTTATTATTTTGTATGGAGGTCTCACTCTGTGGCCCAGTGGTTAAGGTAGTTGACTTCAAACCACTTGCCCCCCACTGCTGTGGGTTTGAATCCCGCCAGGGACTTTGGATTCTTTCGTGTGAGGAAGCTCTCCAGCTAGCTTATGGAATGTTTGTGGTTCAACTCAGATGCCCATTCGTGCCTGAAATAATTTTAGGAAGGGGCACCTGAGGTCTTTATCTACCAGTAAAGCTGGAAAGTCGCCATATGACCTTTACAGTGTTGGTGCCATGTTAAAACAAAAAGAGACGAAAGAAAATCATTTTGTATGCTGAGGCAGCATAAATTGACAGTTTTGTACAGCTGTTATATGTATGAAAAGGTTTTGTTTTCTATAAATATTTCCTATGCAGAAAGTACCTTACATTGCATATTTCTACATAGGTAAAAAAACCCACCGTGTTGATTAGTATACCAATAAGCCCCACATGCAGACTGTCTGACACACTGACATTATAAAACTGTGACACTGATTTCAAAGAGGTGCATGACTTAGCTACACTAACACTTTTGAAATAGATTTCAACATTTCAGGCTTTGTAACTCATGTTATTTATTAGATAATTTTTTAGAATTGTTCAATAAAATTAATTACAAGGATTATAATATAAAAACTATTTTTTGACAAAATTAGCTGGTCTGCATGCAGTTGCCATAATTAACGTTACACTTAAATGGTGCCCTAGGATCACCTTCAACATTGTATTTAATAATGTTTCATACTTTATTTAAAAGAAAATTTTAAAAAGTTTAAACAAGTTTTTCATGTTTTATACCCAGATTGAATCATAATTAATATGCCATTAATTTGTGTTAATTATAGAGCCATTTGATTAGTTGCAATATTTCACTTTTTAATTGAAAATAGGTTTTTAGAAATAAACAAATTTCCAAAAAATAATAAAAACTATTAAAAACAAGAAAAAGGGATTAGAAAAAAGCATCTGATGATTAAAATCTGTTAAAATAAAGATTTTTTGTGTGTAATTTTTAAATAACATAAAATTATGTTAAAAAAAAGAGCTCATGATTTCCTTTGTAAAAGGATACTACAATGTGTTCCAGGGCAATATTTGAATTATGGAAATATATGTTTCAGATATTGCGGGACTCTGAGGTGATGTTACGGAGGATGGAGCATAGGGGAGCTTGTGGGTGTGATAATGACAGTGGTGACGGGGCTGGCGTACTCACAGGAATACCACACAAACTGTATGCAAGGATTATGAAGTATGTTGCTGGTGTATAGACTAATGTCATAATCTGTTTCAGGTTTATAACCTTATAGTTATGATAATCTTACTGTAATGCTTTCCACGCCAAAAAAATCTAACATTAGCTAATATTGGAATATCCAGACTGTTATAATTTCAAAATCTGGGGCATTAGATTATTTACAATCACTCACCCTTTATCGCTATGCACTAAATACCGGTTATTAAAGGTTAAAAATGATTAAATACCGAAGATTATGAAAAATAACATTCCGAAAATGACCAGTTATTATGATTTTGGCCGATGTTAGAATTTTTTTTGGGGGGGAAATCATTATAGTAAGACTACCTTAATGTCAGGAAATAGGCTGGTATATCAGTATGTGAATCATGGAAGTGTTTGAAATAATACATTTCAATGTTAATTACTTTCACATAATAATCAGGCTAGAAATGTTAATGCATATACCTGTAAGTATATTTAGAATCATCTAGGGAGAACATGTTTGAAAAACACCTGCAATACCTGTAGAAACGGTTTCTCGGAATTACTGTCATTACCTGTCAATTTATAATATCACTACATTGAATTTGTGTAATGAACTTGTCTTGTTACATTGTACATGTATCAAAAAGCTGAACTTGTGCTGCCTATGTTAATGGAGGCTATTATGGAGAGATTTAAAAAGACAACAACAAAAAAAAATCTAAAAAAAAACCCGCTTTTCTACGCAATCTATAAAAACTATTTTTATATAATTTATTACGTAAATGAAAAAATTATAACTAAAAGATTGGCCAGTGAAAATTAGTTCAAACCAGTGAAAATTAGTTAAGAAAATTTAGTTACATATATAGTAGAATAAATTCAAAACTGGAATTCGAGCTAGTAAATTCAAAATCTTAAATTCATTGACTGACTAATGCAGACTGATCAGACTGCACATGTGTAAACCAGTCAGGTTATTTTGCTCATATCATGTGTTACAGGGAATCACACTAGTGTTTGAAAAAAAAATTAACACCTGTGTGATATGTTTTATAAGTTACATTAAAACCTGGTGATGTATTTTACTTGACAGGGCACAAGGTGTGAGTCTACCTGATGAAGGAACTTATGCCACAGGAATGATGTTTATTGAGAAAGTAGACCAGGCAGAAATACAAGAACTCTTCACTGGCATAGCTACTAAGTTTGGTATACAGGTATAACCAGTGCAATTATTTCTGTGATATATAAAAGAAATTAAATACCACATTAATGTAAGAATTCATAAGCCTATGATTGGTTAAACAGACCAGGGAAATAGTGAAGCATCAGTAGATTTATACATGTATATAAATCCCATCCAAGCAATGGTAGAAAAAAATAATTTTTATTAAGATGCCAAAAAAGACTTTTAAAAAGTTAAAAAATGTTCTGGCTAGGAAATAGCCTTTGTGCATTTGAAATTAGGAAGGTTTAGGACTTATTTGAAATATCACTTGTCCTACAAGGAAAATAGACAGAATCATTTTGGCTTTTTATTTAAGATGCACAACTTTTAATATCTTGTTAAAAACAGAGATTATCATTTTGAAAAAGATATATTTCATTAACTCTTATATAATGGATATGTTCAGTTTAATTTGGAACAGTCCATTCAGAATGTAAGGGATTTCAAAATTAGAGTAAAGAAAATTGAGCTACCATTAGTTAAGTGGCAAAGGCTTACCACTTTCTTCCAGAGGTTAATGGCTAATAAAAAAATATAAGAAAATGGTTAAGGATTAATATTATAATGATAATAATTATCATAATAATTAAAAGAGTAAAAATAAGAAATCACATGATTTTATTACAAACATCCCTGTATGGGAACATGTCAGAATGGTATTTTGCCTGAAAACTTGATGACAGATTGTGCACATGTAACATTTGTTCACATGACATATTGATTTGGGATGATTCAGCCTTAGGAGATGAAGTATTTGATTATTTCCAGTGATGATTTATACAAGTCTGCTGTGTGCCTGTGTTTTACATATCTGTGTATTCTGATAAACAGCTGAGCTGTCTCAGTAGGCCTTCTAAATACCTTATCACTCCTAATAATCTACATGAGAGTGGTCATACATTTTTAATTAACTTTCATCTGAGGAAGAATGTACATGAATATTGACTTATTTATTCAGAGATGTTTATCCAATGTTATCAAAGGGATTTTTGTTTTTATGTTTTTCTGATGAATGAACTAAGTTGAAAGAACTGTGTGGTTTTTCCACAGGGTAAAACAAACAAGTATAAAAAAATACCTTTTTTGAGAAGTAAAAGGAAAATGTTTTGAGACACCTGCAAATTATGTGATAAATCCAAACCTATGTAACACTTGATATAATATGCCTTTTAAGATATAATACTGCATGTTTGTAATGTCACTTTTCATTGGATAATCTTGACTTTTATATAGTTTTATATACATGGCTACCGTCAATTTATGCAGAAATCTCACTTTTTTCTCTAAGAGAGAAAGTTTTACTGTATTATAAATTTGTTATAAATATTCCTGACAGGTTATATGACCATATATAAATGGTTGTTTGCAACATAACTCTAGCAGCTATATTCCAAACAACGGCTTATATAGGGCCATATAACCTGTCAAAAATCTTTATAACTAATACTACTTTGACTTAATTTATACATGTATATAAATAAATGATCTGTAATATAAAACAATGACTAGATGGAACACTTTTGGGAAGTAAAACTTCAGAAATAGCCTGATAGTATTTAACTGTGCAAATTCTTTGCTTAAAGATTTACATTTCTCTTAAAGATAGACATGTGGTAATGTTGCCATTGCCTTGGAAATATGTTTTATAATATAAAGTAATGTTTTCAATACTTGTTAATGTGTATGTTAATTAATAAATTGTGATCACAAATATTGCCTCAATCCCTAGAGACATTTGACATTTCAAGTTGAATCAATAACGTTAGGTAAGCAAGAGCTATTAATGCATATTTATATAAGACTTCAGTCAATGACTTCGGTAAATCTGTTTGACAAACGTGACTGGAAAACAATCCCCTAGGACATAGAAATGGCATTATCTGACCCTTTGTTTCTGAAATACTTTTTAGCTCGACTTTTCTATGAAAAGGGGAGCTATCCTACTCGCCCCGGCGTCGGCATCGGCGTCGGCGTTAGCGTTGGCGTCACACCTTGGTTAAGTTTTTCGTACCACCCCACTTTATTTCAGAAGTATTACAAGTATGGCTTTGAAACTTACCATACTTGTTCACCATCATAACCTCCATCTACAGACAAGAGTACATAACTCTGTCAAGGTTTTTGACAGAATTATGGCCCTTTTTTGACTTAGAAAGTGTATTGAGCTTGGTTAAGTTTTTTGTACCACCTCACTTTATTTCAAAACCATTGGAGGTATTGCTTTGAAACTGACCATACTTGTTTACCATCACGACCTTCATCAACAGACAAGAGGACATAACTCTGTCAAGGTTTTTGACAGAATTATGCCCCTTTTTGACTTAGAAAATACATTGAATATGGGTAAAATCCACTTATTGCCTTAACCCTTTGAGATATTGCTTTGAAACTTTTAATGCTATTTCACATCATTACCCCCATCTGTACGCAAGAGAAGGTAACTCTGTCAAGGATTTGTTTTAAAAATTAAGGCCTTTTATCGACTTAGAATCTTGGTTAAGTTTTTAGTACCAGTCCACTTTTTGACTGAACTGTTTGAGATATTAATTTGAAAGTTGGAATACTTGTTTACAATCATGATTCCCAAACATGTCCAGGAGAAGGTAATTCTTTCAAAGATTTTATTTGAATTATGGCCCTTAACTGTCAATGTTTTGTATTATAGGCAAGCACTAAAAAACTTAAAAAATCTAAAAAAATTCATTCCTATCCACTTGTTCACTTTACCATAAATTATGTCATATAAACATTGCTGTAATATTCAAGGGTATCAAAAATACAAGTACAAAAATATACTGCTTCCTTGGCATAGATTTCTTGAAAAATTATGTTATTATGTCATTTACCAAGGTGTTCTGAGTGACGTAAAAATACCTTATTCTCTCAAAGTGGGTTTAATACTATTAAATTTATTTAAGGCTCAACTCAGTTTTTTTTCTTTCTTACCAGCCCTCTTTTGACTTAAACATTTCAAACTTTGCTGCAGTGTTCAAGGGTATCACACAATTCAGTAAAATAATTCTTCACTAAATATCTTAATGCTCATGGCCATTGTTCACTTTAAAAATACAGAGATTCTTGTATTGCCTTTTACTGCAAAAACTTTTTTTATTGGCAAGCAATAAAAAAGTCGAGCGCGCTGTCTTACGGACAGCTCTTGTTATTAAAACTCTTCATTTCATATGTATCCCTGACAACAAAGAGATCTTAAAGATTTTATTATGTTTATTAAAATACATGTTGATTGAACTGTAATTCTCTGTAATATTTTATTTAAAGTGCATAAAACTCTTAGTTTCCTCTTGCAAACCCCTTCATGCAAAAAAAAAAAAATGAGGGAAAGCAAAGAAAACCTTGAGCAAGCAGATTATAGATATGTACATGTACAATATGTTTTATATAATTTCAGATATTAGGCTGGAGGGTTGTAGATGTTGATGATGATTATTGTGGTAGAGTTGCTAAAACACAGGAGCCCCTTATACTTCAGGTTGTATTTTAATTACAGCACCTTATCCACTTTTCATAGTTTTACTCTTTCATAGATGTTTTCTTTTCTTCCTTCCTGTCTCGAAATTCTCAATTTTTGAATTTATTGAATTTATCAGTTGCATAAGCAAATAACATTTGATTTTTTGTTTCAAATTTTGTTTTATTTCTTTATTATTTTTTTTTTAAAGTAAGAAACTTGTCAAATGATGCTTTTGAAGGAAATCATTATTGTCTTGCTTTTTTGGCTCGCAATTCTTTAAGACTACTGTATCCGTCTTTTTGATAGTTTTAGAGAAGATTATTTCTTGACAAATAGGTTGAACTTCATTCTTTAGTAATAATATTGGAAGTAGTTATAAAGTATATCAGAAAAGGAAAAATTGAGACTGACTGCTTGTTTAGTATATATTATATGTATTATTTCATTTCTACAATACATTAGTATCTATATTGGTAACGATCTTGTGACTGTGTAATGTCAAGTTGCAATAAATGTCTATAAATATATCTTATTGCTGGAACAGTGTCTAGAAGCAGTGTCTAGAATATCAGCTGTACAAGCCGATTTTATATATGTAGTCTGGTAAAGCTGATGTATTATCAAGATGTTCTTGAAAATGTCATATGACACTTAAATGATACATTTACTATGTCTGTTTCTAAGGAGATTGTTGTACAATATCCATTATTATACAGTCATCTTTATCAATGTTTTGTTGAAATTCTTTAGATTCAACTTTTCTCATATGGAGAAATATTTTTTTTCTTGATATCACATAAAAAAGACAACTTACAGTGGCAGCTTAAATTCATAACATGGCTGTTGATTCTGTTTTTTTTTTGTACCTGATTTTCTAATTGTTCAAATCATGTATCTGCACTTAAATTGGTGTAAAAATACTGTTTTCATTCATAGTTTTGTGGACCAAATGCATTTCCTTACATTGTCAATGTAAATCCCCTATGCACAATTTGAACGGCTTATATTTTGGTATTTTATGTCTTCATTTCAGAGTATAAAATTTATTGTAAGTTAATAATTTCATCAATGTTGTATTTATTATAATAATCAAATGTATACTATTTGTCTCTTTCAGGTGTTTGTAACAGGCGATAAAGATACAGAGGAGTTTCAAAGACAGGTAATTTGTCTTAATTTTAGTTTATTCTATCATATATTTTAGCCATAAATTTCTTGCCTTATCTTTTGGGAAACAGACAAAAGCCCTCCTGTCCAAATATGACAAGGCAGGCAAAAGCCCACCCAAAAATGACAAGGCGAACAAAAGCCCTCCCTTGAAAATGACTGGGCGCCTCTGAAATTAACAAGGCGGACAATTTATGTTTGTCAGTCTTTATCTTAAACATTTGTGTGCTTAGTTCTCTATATTTCATATGATTTAACACTGATTTGCACTTATCTTGCAGCACATATTATTACATTGATATATACTGAGTTGAATATTTAAGTATTTTCATATTACATAAGCACAATGCCTTCTTATATGGTAAACTTAAGAATATATAGGTAATAGTTGTACATGTCACATGGGTTTTAGAGTCGTAATTGGGAAAATTTTGTTTATATGATTCAAGAATTTAGTGATATTTTAATTCATGAAGTACATAAAGGGTAATTAAATAGTATTCATTACATTTGGTGTGTGAAAAGTCATACATTTAGTGCAGAATGATGTTACATTGAAATGAGGTTATTCTGTTAACTAGGTACATTTTGTTAGGCTATCTAATTACATAACATGAGAATAATGCACTTTAACATAATTGTTATCTAACAGCATGCATGCAACAAGTGCTTTTAACATGATGTCAGTAACATTTTGTGCATGGAGGAGACTTTTCGATTCATGTAGGAAGGGTTAAAATTATCACAGTTGTTGGAAACCTCATTTATTGGAAACATATCAGTTCCGTTATGTGATGAAAATAGTATAAATATTTGAATATTGTCAAGGTTGTTATGAAAAACAAAAACTGTTGGAAATCTAGTTTGAAAACTATTCAAAGATTGCTAGTTATGTATCATAAAGTTAATTAGAATTTTGTCCCAAGTTATATATTTATGCTATTTGTTTATAAAAAAAATAGCTATCTGACATTGTAAATTTTGGCAAGACCAGTTAAAATTTATATAAGTATCAACAAATAAGTTTATAATTCCATCACTGGGCTTTTTTGGCTAAATTTTGATTGTTTTTATTTGGAGGAAAATGAGACAAACACATTCAAGTAATAGAATATTTTCTTAATATAAAGGTTATTCAGTATTAATCAGTTGCATATAATCATAAACTTGGGATTGAAAAAGTATCGTCAAAGACCGTCTTATTATCACTGTTTGTGAATTTCAAGTTGGTTTCCATGGCAGCTATATGAAAGCTATTTGAGGAATTTAACTGAACATGTGTTCCATGTAACACATGTCTCTGGTTGTGATTCATGGTAGTGTCATGTGTATATACATGTGTGTTTGTCTCATGGAAGCTAAAAATAAAATAAAATGGTACCGGTACAGTGTATATCATGTCCAAGGTTTAAGATATGTTCAGACTTACACATTATTCATTGTATTAAATAAGCATTAAAAAAAGATTTAATACATTAATTTCCATGATTTGTTTCTTTAGAATTATTTTTTCTATGGTAGAACACTATATAATAATACATGTAAAAACATAAATTAAGTATTATTTGAATGAGATAAACACCTTATAGTCCCAAGTATACATTATATAGTCCACACTCACAGTGGCTCTTCAATTATTTTTTTATTTTGATATTTAAAAACTCATAGTGGACAACTCAGGACTCTAGTTAAGACAAGATGATGACACATATTTAACAATGTTTAGGTTAAAGATATCATTTTCATGTGAGGAAGTTTTTACCCTTTTGTGGAGACAATAAAAAGTTATCTGGGAATGCTTACTGTCAACCCATGTTTGACATACCAGACTAATATAACTTGTTTGTTTGGTTGCTTTTTACTCTGATTTATTGACATATGTTGGCTGATGGTCACCTCATCAGCTGACCAACAATTACCAATTTCTTCGCAAGAGACAAGCTACTAATCCCACGTGATTTGAGATCAGTTGTTCAACAGAAATTTTGTCTCGCTGGAGACGGATTAAAAATCTTATGCTCTTGCTTTTGAGCTACGCAGGCAACAATCTAGCTTAAAAACAAGTAAAGAATTAAGTTTTAATTTTTCTATGTAAAGATTTTGATGAAATTTTATCCAAATACTAAACTGTTTGTTCCTGTATAATAGTACTTGGCATGTTGCGGTATGTAATTAGACAAGTGGTACTTGACAAAATTACATGTACAGGGAAATAAATAAATTTTTATCTTACTTCCTGTTTAAGTTGAGTTTAATCTGATGACATTTAAATTCCCTTTACCACAGTTTCATGTTTACTTTTTCTGTTTGATAATTTGATGGACAAGATAATAAGAGGTTTTAAAGATGTTGTTTAAACCTTTATCATCCCTCCTTACCAAATGATAGCAATGAACTACCGGTAGTCCTTCTTTTGAATCTGGAGCATCCTATTGTTAATACAAAGGAGATTTTAAAGATATACTATGCGCAAACTTGATATTAGAAAATATTGATAATATCTTCACAGTCTCTTTGAAAATATAAAATAAACATGTTTTGATTTCACTCAAAGTAGATTAGATATGTTGGTGGTCACAATATGAAAATATAGTGTCATTAAAAAAACTGGCAGTCTTTTTTTTTTTTTTTAGAAAAGACCAACTTCACTTGATCTGTAATAGGAAACTCAGCTCCCCATACATAGTGTATTCATTCTTTATTCAAATTACACATAAGAATTTCACAGATTTCAATAAATTTCTGTATTTAGAATATTTTATGCAAGGATGAGCAGAGTATATCTTTAATATCAAAGCATTATAACTGAGTAGAGTGTGGTCAAACTGCTTGTACAGGTTATTAATATTTAATGGTCTGTTGAAGTCTCGGTACATAGGTTCAAGGTATATATAGATATATTTTATGATAAACTGGTATACATGCACATGTGTATTAAATAGTAAATTTGTCAATTATAAGTTTGTTCTAACAAATAATGCCATGCTGACTCTGACCAATATATTATGACCTTTAAACGTTTTTTACATTATAAGTTTGAGTAAAAAAAAAATTACATTGTATTTTAAATGTAATTCACAGGATCTTGCTTTATTGTTTAACAATATTTTTTTAAGTAATACTGAGAAAATTCCCTTAAGAGGTTCTCCTTAAGTGCATAAATTTATAGGAAAACTTTTACATATATAGTGTTACTTAAATAAACAATGAAATTACTTGGAACTTAGTTCACTTTTCTATGTATTAATAAAAGTGATACTTTACAGAGAAAAAAATACAGTATTTTGTAATGTACACTTCATTATGATATGTGGTATAAAGTCTCATAGAGAAAACTGATGTGTAAAGTCTGAAAAATGAACTTTTCATACATTTTGCTTCTTGAATCATAACAAATGGATTTTCTTAAGTTTTAATTTGGAAAAGACTATTAAATGTTTTAGACGTTTTGATATGAAAATGCAAAAAATAAACTGTAGGCAGTATAGGGCCTGTATAGACTGTACATATGGGCAGGCTGGCATGGCTTTATACTGATGGCAAAGACCAATCACTTCAGGTTCTAGCAGGTTAAGGATTAAGATCACCCTCTAGACAGAGGTTTTCATCTGAGTTTTATACCCCATGATTATTATCAGCTATCAACTGTAAATACAGACTACCATTAAATGAATAATACTATATTACTCCAGTCTTCGAAATTACCATTTTGAAGTTACTGGCCATTTGGGCCAGTAACATTTGAGAAGTTACTCGCCTGAAACCAACTTTATTAGCCCGAATAAATTTTTCAAATTTTAATGTTTTTTTTCTTATCTTAAATGCTGAAGGTAAATACAAGTCTTGTGTCATAATTTATTTTATTGTTATTCACTGCTGTACATGAAAATCATTTTTCACGGTTACTACGATACAATACTTGACAATGGAAGACGGAACATAAACAAAGTTGTCTCCCAATAAATTACTCGCTTTATATGGCTAACAGAAGTAAGCCAAGAAACAGTAGTCACGTGGCAAAAAGTGCTCGCCAGGGCAATCGGGCGAGTGCTAATTTAGAAGACTGTTACTCTTTAAACAGTTGATAATTTCAGATAGCTTTGACTACATTTTACTTGCCAAGGTGATTACTAAAAAAAAAAATTTGACAGGTTATATGGCCCAATATAAGCTAGATGAGGGTTATATAGCAAACAACTATAAATGGTTATATAACCTGTAAAAAATCTTTACAATTGATTATAACATGGAAATACTGTCTGTCAAAAGTCTTTATAACAGTTAATAGTAATAGAAAAGTGCTCTTTTTTTTTGGTAAAAAGAGAAAAAGTAACCCATAAATTTGCAGTTGCTGTGAATATGTAAACATTATGAATCTTTGAAGAAATTCACAGTATTATAAATAAACAAATATACATATTGATGACCATTTCATCAAGATATTTTGGAAAGAAACTATAATATAATGTATATTTATTTTTTATCGTTACAGGTGTATTGTCTAAGGAAGTTTTCCACACATAGGATACCTGAGAAAGGTCTACGCTACTACATATGCAGCTTGTCAACACAAACTATTGTTTACAAGGTAAACTTAACCTTATATAAATAGCTTCAAACTAACCTGTATTATAAAAGGAAAAACTACACACAAAAAAACTTAAAGGCTCTCTCCAACAACATTTACTATCCTTAAATGCAAAATATTTTTACTTTGCAATTGTGACTGTATATTTGTTACAGTTAAATTTTTAAATGTCAAGTTAATGATACATGTATTTTGTAAAAGTGACATTATTTTCTTTGTAAACTACATCATGTACAACGACCAATGTCATGGTGAGCCTTTAAGATTCATACTATTATGTTTCTACATTTATTGAAGATATTCTGAGGTTCAAAATCTAGGGCTACTTCAGATGTTGAATAAATGACAAAAGCTACAAATTTACTACTTTACAATACTGCATGAGCAAAGTTTTCCATAGGCTGCCCATTGAGTGTACATTTGTATTTCAATTGGCCAGAGTGAATGTATAAATAAATTACACAGTGAACTTTCTCATGGTCTGGTGACACTGGTAAATATACACGATTTAATTGTTTTAGGACATTTGATTTTTTATTTTGTTAAATGACATTTTTTTCTTCATGCAGTTGTCTGATGTATACACTATATTAATGTATAATCATTTGGGTGCACTTTGATATCTAAATTAAAGTGTCAAAGCAGAAAAAACCCTCAGTTTTTGTTCACAGTGTTCAATTTTCATCCTAAGTTAGTGCAATTACTAAAAATTGCACTAATGAACATACTGTTGAAAATGTCCTTTTGAAAGTCCGCATAAGGCATCTTTGGGTCACTGATAGCAAATCAATTACCCCTCACAGCTGTGGATTTGAATCCTACCTGGGACTTTTAATTCCCACACATGAGGGAGCTGACCAGGTAGCTTAAGGAAAGTCAGTCAGTGGTGGTTCTACTTTGATGCTTACTTCAGCCTTTAATAATGCACTTTAGATTCCTACTTTCACCATAAATATATAAAGAGAGTTAGCATGGGACTTGAACAGTATCAATGTGACTTAAAGCCCAACAAAAAACCTGTAGTGATATAGTAATATACATAAAGGTCATACTATGTGAATAAGTTCAACTACCAAACTTTTAATAATTAATGTAGCCGCACACTACTGGGGTCAAATTATTTGTGTACACATGTAGTATTTATTATATATGTGACTGTCCATTAAGTGAATAATAATTCCATCACCTTTGATGAGACAATATTTTGAGATGATGTCATTCCATTAAATTAAAATTATGAGATACAGTCAGTGTTTCTAATTATTATGCTTAACAGATAAATCTGTAACATCACAAGTTTGACCTTTTTGACAAATTTGTCAGAAGATTATTCAGCTAGCTTGCAGAAGATTGGTGATTCTTCTTGAATACCCACTTTTGACTGAATAATGCACATATGGGCAACAGTGGTCTTCTTTCATTATCAGTAAAACTAAAAAAGTTGCCATATCACCATTACAGTGTTTATGCCACTTAAATGAATTGCATGTATTGAGCCGTTAATGTGCTGATTTTGTGTAAAGCATTTGCCTTGCCTTGAATTTGGAACAGTTCATTTTAATAAAATTTCAGTCATTTTAGTCTCAAAATCCAAAATATGAGCTACCAACAGTATAAAGCTGTGTCAGACTTTGTGGAAGTGCAGGCTGGCCTGGCTCTCTACTGGTGGCAAAGTCTAAACACCTCTGGTTTCATCAGGTTAAAAGAGTTAGTGATGTGTTTCATTTATCTGATATCTTTTTTAACTTATTTTATATTAATTTGATGGTATATTCATTAAAACTTGCTGGAAGATTTTTTGTAAACTGCAATTACCCCATACTTCAGTGACTTTGAGATTAACCGATAAACATGCTGTTAAAAATGTAAAAATTAACATAAAATGCAACAAACTTACGACCTACAAGAAAGAAATTTGAAATCTCAGGTTTTTGGTCTATTTATTTTGTAGACGGAGTTTGTCATATATTTGCATACCTTTAACTGAAAAGCACTTTAATTGATATCTGAAATTAAAAACCTTGGTAAAGTATGTCATCGCTGTAAATGGATTTTTTTATTACATAAATTATCAGTTTTACTTGCTGAAAGCCAGGGAAAAGTTGATTTGAAAAAAAAGTCTTTACATTTTTTACTAAATGTTGAAGTAATTAATGTGCAAAAAGTAAGTCAAGGTTTTAAAAAAAATGCTAGTTTAAATTCCATTGAATCAAAAGTTTATTTGGTGATAAAGTACAGAAAACACTTAAAAAATCAGGTTATGACCTTGATAGTTTATTGAAGTGAAACTTGTGAAGAATTTATAAACAAAATCACTGTACCATGTCTTGCTAGCCTTTTAAATGTGCACCATGTTTTAATAAACATGAAAGCTCCTGCTTCTCCTGGTCACTGAACCTTTCTTGGGGAGGTGAGGGGAAGGGGGCTATTCATTTTGTACATGTCAAGTGATCAAAACAGAAGAAGACTAGTTTGTCCACTTTCTCTGAATAAATGCCTTCAATTATAATGGCTGTTCTTCTATTCAGACCCAAAATTACAATGTACTTGTCTTTCTGTTGACAGAAAATATTTAATTTCTATTTTCAAAATTCGTGTTTTTACATTACATTTTTGTTGACCAAACTTTGAATTGAGTTTAGGTTTAGATAATTACTATTAACTATATGGTAACTGTCACAATATCTTTTGTTTGAGGTGACATATTCCTTTGGTATTGTTTTACAAAATAGATCATCTTGGCTTTTTTTGTAGACAAAAACTGAAACTTAATATGAATATTTGAACAGCTTCTGTCAAAAAAATTTCATACAATGTATGTGATTTAAAAAAATGAATGTAGATCTACTGTGTGTGGACTTAAACTGAAACTTTATACCAGTCTTATGCAAAATTTTCAATTGAGATACCTAAAATTTAACCTTAAATTTAAATAAAGGTGTAGAAGTTCATTTCATATACCTAACATAGGATTGGCGCTAATACAAATACCTGTTCTTAAAACCAAATTTTAAACCATGTGATCTTAGATAACCTTTAACAAAAAAGGACAGATCTAATGTTCATTTGTGCATTTATCTTTTAATATGGAAACACATGAATGTATGAATACAAAGTTTTTGTAATTTTAGTTTTATTTTATCATGCTTTGTTTTCAATGTATCAAAGAAATGTGCATGTTAAATGACATGTAAAAGAGATTTTTTGATATATTTTTTTAAGTTTCTTTTTTCCTTTTATTTAATTCAGTTAAGCATTTTATTTCAAAATTTCTATAAATTTCATATTTACTTTAATGTTTTGTTTTTGTTAGGTATTTAAGTTATCTATAAAGTTGATGAAGCGTTCAAAATATTTTACTAATGTGGAAAATGAACCAAATATGATATATTTATTATAATAATTCCCCCTTCTATACCAATCATAGCTAATATTTGATTGTGTGTACTTGGCACAATTGTACAAACATTTAGTGAACTGTGTGCAATATAACTTGGCAATGCCATAAATACTGTACATGTATATGTTTATACCTCCACTATAGGGGGAATGGGGGCATATAGATTTGTCCTGGTCCTTGTGTCATACTGTCCTACTGTCACACTGTCTATAGATTTACAAAACATTGGAATTAGGGCACATTCATGTCTTGTAAACACATTTTATTAAAACCCTTTAACTTTACAATGGATAGATCCAAATTAAACAAAAACAAAATCTTTTACATTAAATCCAGTTGGTAAAGCTTAAAAGTTTTATTTGACTTAAATGCCCCTTGCTATCTGTTGATATTTACACATGATTTGTCAAGTATGTTTGGGGAAAAAAAGTACACATTTGTCCTCGGCCTGCATTTTTTGGTCTGATAGAAAAGTTGGTGAGCCGAGCGATCACTGATAGAAAAGTTAGTGAGCTGAGCGATCACTCCATATATGCATGATCAATGTTTTCACAAAATGTTTCCCTTTCAGTTTTTAGCAAGGGTAAATTTATTTTTTTAGGTTATTGATAAATGATAAGCTGAAATTCATCAACATAAATAGTTTCATATGACTGACTTTCATTTAATATAGAGGATGTGTGAGATGTCAGGCTAGATGTCTACATTTGAAATACCTGTAACATTATAATTACTGTCAAACAGGTGCACATAGGTGTCTCAAATAATGCATCACAGGTTACTTGTATTTTTTTTTTTCAAAAATCCATCAAACCCAAACAATTTAGTGTTGATAGGACATATCCTGTTGTCACAGTATAGAAAAGTGGATTTTTGTTCACAGTTGAGACAGATAAAATGCCTTGTAGTCTTAAAATTGGAAAATAAAAAACCAATACTTACCAAATACCCCTTACCATGCTTAATTTGTACGGTTTGATGTTACACTAAACTGAGCAACCATAGTTTTTCAAATTACTTGTTATACATAATTTAAAGATTTTTTTAGGGCACAGGTTTAACTTCAATAAGATAAACCTATACACCAAGAAGTTTAATTACCATCTTGTTTTGTTCATTTGATAGATTGTTTAAGCTAGGTTTTATGTTGACAGAATGTGCAGTATGCATTAAGTGTCAACAAAGCTGTTTAACACAGTTTCAGATTTTTATCATGCTAACTATATGATATAATAGAAATACAGTGATTTCACCTATGATTAACCTATGTACTGTGTCATTTACCTATTTGGTCAATTTAGTTTTGGACTGAATTTTGTATACTTGTGATCACCTTAATAGAAATGGTCTAAAAAAAGAGTTGTAAACACTGTTGTATAACATACATGTTGAGGGTTGTTCAAAAAGTGCTAACATGCAAATAAAAAAGTTATTTTTCATATACATTTAATAAATTATGTTTAAACTTGCATACCTACAATTATGTTTTGATAAACAGAAGTTTCTTCATATTTATTTATAGTATGGTACTGACCATTTTCAAGTTAGATAGATAAATGAAATGTTTCACATTCACATGATCAAGTTTCAAATGAAAATAACATCTCACAAAATATAATGCATATAAGTTTGATGGTAATAATTTGGTTAATCACTTGCAGTTTACCTTGGTTAATCTTTTAATGGACTGTGCTTGTATTTTTACACCTGACGAACGGTCTGTTTATCATGCTCAAATTATAAATGTTACTTGCCAAAAAACATTATTAGCATAATTGCCCTGTGGCAATCTTTTGCACTATATTGGTAATAATATCATGTTATCACATAGCAAAGTTTAAGGATTAATTTCTTATCAAAGAAAAAAATCATGATGTTTCATTATCATATTAATTTAATGAATCCTAGTTAAGCACCACTTTTGCTTTATCACTTCACAACATTTTACATTAAAAATTTCGTAAAAAAATGAAAATGAATCTGGAGGAATGCTGCTTTAAATTTCTATTGATTTATTTGTCATATTTTAGGGTCAGTTGAACACTGCCCAGCTGTGGGGTTACTTCAAGGATCTATCAGACCCTGATTATGAGACTCATATTTCTCTGATCCACAGTCGATTCTCTACTAATACATTTCCAAGCTGGGAACGAGCTCACCCTCAGAGGTATGTAACTTCCCTACCATTTATCAATATTTTTTGCAGTATATCCCTATGTTTGGGAAATGTTTATTTAAGCTCCAGTTAATCTAGAATCAGTATTCCTTTTACAGAAATGATTATGATAACTTCCATTTTAAACTAAAAGTAAGAAATAATTAATTTAGTAAAAAATGGTATTCTGATTTAATCAGTGCTGCAATGGTTATGGTTATCTTCCTGTTTCAAGATACACTTCTTTTCATAGCTTACTTAAATACATGAGCCAAGTTTTCTTTTATTGAAATATTTTATATTCTTTATTCATACATGATGTTTTTATTGTAATGTAAATTGTTTATAATAGATACTTGGCTCATAATGGAGAAATCAATACCCTTAGAGGTAATAACAACCTTATGTCTGCAAGAGAAGGGGTCATGCACAGCAAAGTGTTTGGGGAGCATCTCAAGCAACTTTACCCAGTAGTTGAGTCTGGTATGTCCGACTCTGGCTGCGTTGATAATGTGCTAGAGTTCCTCTGCATGGCCGGTGGGCGTGAGTTACCAGAAGCTATCATGACTATGGTACCGGAAGCTTGGCAGAATGACAAGACTATGTCCGCAGAGAAAAAGGCTTATTACCGCTGGAGTGCTTTTGCTATGGAACCCTGGGATGGACCTGGTGAGTTATGTCATTTGATATTGAATAAAATGTCAAATGTAAAAAACAAGATTAGAGGTTTTCGAAAGCTCTGCCCTGTAGATTAATTTAACATTACAAAAAACAAAGTGACAAAAAACCAAAAACGTTTGTTTTAAAATGGTTAATTTTCTTTTTAGGAATTGATTATTATGAAGTTAATGTCTATACAATGACAGAGCTTTCGATACCTATATATCCGCTTTCAGATTAAGTCATAGCATATACGTAGCATTTCCAGAGTAAAAGTGAAATAGATTGGCATGAATCAACGGGAGGCACATCAAAAGTTGCTCTTGAAATTTAATGTATATCTGTTGATTTTCTTGCAGCACTTCTTACTTTCACTGATGGGCGGTACATTGGAGCCATTTTGGATCGTAATGGGCTTCGACCTTCAAGATTTTATGTTACCAAGGACAACCATATGTATATGTCTAGTGAAGTTGGTGTCACCGACTGCAAAAGCCCTGACGTCATTCAGAAGGTAGAGATAAACAGACCACGCCTAGTTACACATTTGTCTGAGCAAAATCAGCTGTAAAACTCTTTAAGCACATATAGGACTGCAATGTCTTATATCTTCTAGAGAATTCTACAGATGGTTTTTCATAAGACAAATTTGTACAAATCATTCTTGCATAAAAACTAATTATCACAAGAAAATATCTTCTCATCATTCATAAAAAATGAATATTTATTTTGAATACTCCAGTACTCATTTAATACAGATAAAGTACCATGTTTGCATGACTGAAACATTGGTTTAATATTTATAGCAGTGTTTCCACTAGTGTTTTAAACTGAGGGGTAGGAACTGTTTTTCCTTGACTATTTTACCCTTTCCTATAGACGGGAAACAAAATTTTTAGAACCTGGTCGAACTTAAGACTTCTAAATTGGGGTTATGTTGAAACACTGACGAGGGACATCACATAGGGACATCACATCTAGTGCAAATTAGAAAAAAAATTCTTACAATATTAAACTTTCATTATAAAAGTTTTTATGCAAGAAAATGAGGTAAGTAAATATTTGTATAATAAATACTGCCTACAATAATCAGTCAGGGTACAATATATTTTTTGTCAATTAACAATGGTATAAGATGTGTAATGTCTAGCAATGGTTCCTCGTTACTGTTGCTTTTGTTACTTGGGCCCATGTTTTATCACAATCAAAATTGAAACTGCTAAATGCTAAATATTCTTTCTTCGGTATTGTAAATATATATAGGTCGGAATGTACTTAATGTGGCTGCAAACAACTGAAGAAAAGTTTATAAAGATACAGGCCAAAAAAAAAGTAGTTCTGTTTCAGGTCTCTTTTAATTGCCAAGCTTACTCTTTATTGACTTGTCAACATTTCAAAATCTTTTCTTTATATAATTTTATAAAAAAAGTATGTTTTTATTAATATATATCTTACCTACCTTATGAATGGAGACCTAAAACGGAAATTTTGTTTTTTTGTTTTTGGCCTTTATTGTACAATAAATTAAGTTTGTATGGCAAAAGAATATTTAGCATTTTCTAGTCAAACATTGATGTTTATGGCCCTCAGCTTTTAATTCAACTTCTTAACAAATCCTATTAACAGTCCTTAATTGGACAAATTGAAATCATCATCTATATACTACAAACAAAATAATCACAGATTTTAAATCCTTATTGGTTTTTGTAGGCAGATTTATTTACATTATGTTATACAGAAATCCCTGCTATTGTTGACATGCCATGTATTACTGTATTTTCAGGGCCGGCTGAAGCCAGGTCGTATGTTGTTGGTCGATACAAAGAAGAAAATATTTCAGAGGGATGAGGATATTAAATCTCACCTGGCCAACCTTAGACCTGTGGGGACCTGGCTTAAAGAGGTTTGTTTGTTTGTTTGTTTGTTTGTTATCTGGCTCCTTGACAATTACCTCTTTATTCTTTACTTTCAAATATTATTTGTTTTAAATGTATTTTCCATCATCTTACACATTATTTGAGTTTAGTTTATTACACTTTCAAAAGCATTAATATTCAGTATATTTATGAAGATAAATTTATGCAACAATTCATGATTACATGCTGTTTACTGTATTCCTAGAAAATATTTCGCACGTTTTAAGTTAGCGCTTTTCGCTGTAGGCATGATTCCGCGAATCTTTATAGCCGCGAATATGTCACTTATAACAAATCCGCGAACATTTCTAGCTTCAACCAAATATCAACATAAACGTGCAGAATATTTATTATAATCTAATTACACAAAAAACATATAAACACAGGTGCTATAGAAATGTGTCAAGAATTGTGTATGTTATAGATACCTGTTTGGATCCTGAAGAAAATAATTGTCAATTATTAGTAATTATCATGCTTATTGACGTTATTCGGTAGTCATGGCATATACAAAAGCATTTACAGTTTGCGTACATTGAATAGCTTGGATTTTGTTTGCTTGGAGTAGGTGTAATCTTTTGTTAAAAGTACAATAGCGATCAAGTGCTACATTGATAATCAGCTGTTATGTTGTATAATGAAAGCGATGTACAGTCCCATACTGTGTAAAATACATATCGAAATTTTGAAGATAAAGTCAGTTCTGATTCAAATGGCTACCGGGTCTAACTATATCTTACTTAATCACATAGTGAAAAGGCAAGGAAATAAAAGTGTTCACGTAACAACTGTGTTTGACCAGTCAATAGATGAAAAGGTTTTGTCAAAACAAAATAATAAAATAATTAAAAGTACCCAACAGGCGAGGACATGCATCAAAACGTAGCCTCTTTAGGCCGTAGCGACTTATTATTCGCTGAATTAGCGGTTACTACAAATCCGCGAAAGTTTGTCTCTGCGAAAATGCCGACGTAAATAACGCGAAATATTGTATCCGCAAACATTTCTAGGAATACAGTATTTAACAGCATTTCAAGTTTCAATTTTCTTTGAAAATAAGATATGAAGAAACTAATTTTGTGTAGATAAAAATAAATAATTAATTAAAAGTTGACATTTTTACCTAGACTAAACTTAGTTTGGCAGACTTGAGCAAAGTATATAATATGGTTGCAGACTTTGTCCATGGCTGAGTTGAGGCAACATTATGATCCAAGCAAGCGCCGTAAGCGGTCTATAGATCGTATGCATGCCCTACATGGTAGTTGTCTGGAGGAAGATAGAAGATTACCTATGTTTGGCTGGACCATCGAGGCCCTCAATATGCTTGTTCTACCTATGATCAGAGACAAGTAAGTCAAGTTTTACATTATTATATACCTTTGAAAATTGCGAAAGGAAAGCTCTGTAGTTCTTCTAGAAATGCTGTGCAATAAGGTACAATGAAGTGTGTGAACCGAGTGACAGCACCTCACCTTGATGTAGCCGACCTTTGATCAGTCGACTGTTTTCATAACTCAACTTATTTAGATGAAAATATGTTGGACTTTTATTGATGGGACCAAAAATTCCTTATGTCTAAACAGGAGTCTAAGTTAGTCAAAATTTGACATAAGCCGAGTAAAAGTATAAAGATTAAGAAGGAAATTTGACTAAACTTTAGAAATTTTTCGAATATGCGGAATTTTGAGTAAGGCGATTTTGACTTATTGAGAGTCAACTTTAGTTTTAAACACCTATAAGTATGCAAAAGTATCCATGGAAATGATATGGTAGTTAAAATAAACAGCAACAAAAATGTTTCTTTTACTATGGAACTTGTAAACATGTAGTTATTATATAAATGTCATATGTTCATAGTCACGTTATTTGTTTCTATATTTGTAGTAAAAGACCAACCTTTCCAGTCACTGACTCTTCCCATTTTTACTTACTGTCTCATAAACAAAACAACAATTTCTCAAAGGCACTTATTGACTTAAAAACAAAACAACACTTTCTCAGAGGAAACATTATGATTAGCCATTACTTAACTAGTCAAGAATCTAATATAAGAATGTTGTAAATTATTGGGAAAAGTTGTTTACCAATATTTTTGATCTTATACAACACAAGGGTGCTAATTGTTGTTTGTTACAATAGACTTACAATGATTTACCAACTTAAAGGTTTTTGTTGTCTGTAAATTGATTTAGCTGGTCATTCTATGAGAAAACGTGACTTCTAGAATTGTAGTATATACTTGTATGTGATGTATTGTTTTTCCTATGTTGTATGTTAACAAAAACAATTGTTAAAATTACTAACCTTCTAGAAATGTCTTAATATAAAGACAACTTTGGGTTCTGTATCAAGTGTTTTGCTTAACATGTATTTGCTTGTAAAATGTAACATCATACACAAGGCAAAATTTGTGTGATTCAGCTAGTCCATCTTAAAATTTTGAACTCTTTTTGTTAGTAAAAAAGATACTGTCGTTAAAATATGAAATTCTTTCAGCCAACACTATGGATCCTTTACAAACAGTAAGATTTGTACAGCTTGACCTTACCTTCTTGTCATAATGTGAAGAAGCTATCCAACTTTTTTGCTGAATGTCTGTGATTCTATTTCATTGCCTACTAGAACCCTCCACCTTCAGTAAAGCTGGAATGTTGCCATATGACCTTAACAGTGATTTTTTTTAAACGAACCTAAAAATAATTTTTTGTATCTCTGTCAGTATCATAGATAAATATTAACATTTCTAGCATTCAGTTAAAGTAAATATATTCTTTATATTACAGGAAAGAAAAAAATATTCTTTATATTACAGGAAAGAAAAATATATTCTTTATATTACAGGAAAGAAAAATATATTTTTTATATTACAGGAAAGAAAAATATATTTTTTATATTACAGGAAAGAAAAATATATTCTTTATATTACAGGAAAGAAGCGCTTGGATCTATGGGTAATGACACACCGTTTGCCTGTCTGTCAAGATATAATCCCCTGGTGTTTGATTACTTTAAACAGTTGTTTGCCCAGGTCACCAACCCTCCCATTGATCCATTCAGAGAGAAGATTGTTATGTCATTGGTAATTTAAATTTTATTTATTTAAGTGAAATCACAATTACAGTAAAGTTCCGCTATTAAGACCACTTGTGGGTCTAGCAAAAAGTGGTCTTATTATCGAGTCGGTCTCTTTATTGAGACCCTAGATTATAGCACACCAGTAAGGCACATATACCTTCAATATCAGTGGTTAATACATAGGAATGATAGGCAGACATGTTTGTCACTGTTTTAAACTGTTTTACTGGCAGATAAATGACACATTGTATAAACAACTAATTAAAGGTATTTGATGTATTTTAATTTTACATAAACACCATTAAAACAACATAACTGGTACATTATTTAAAATGGTAAATATACATTTTATACATGTGAAAGTCAGAAGTGATCGTATGCAGAAGTTAGGAGTATTTTGGAAAAGAAAAATAAATTTCCTTCTGTCATTCTCTTTCCTACACAAACATATACATCTGACTATTCATTTAAGACAAGTTCTACAGAATCATATAATGTTCGGGTAAACTCGATAATGTACATCAATTAAAGAATTTTCCGAGTGTCATTGTCTCAGGATGTACCAATCCGAAATACGTAAACAATAACAAATTGCTGTTACTCCAGTTATCTATCAATTTGCACCTGTGCCGATTCAATACATCAAATAGCTCCCTTTGATTTTCCAATAATTTAATCCACATTAAACGAATAATCGATAGCAATTAAATTGTAAGTGTGCAAATTGTCAAAATTGTTATTCACACATTCTCTTCCGGGTGTAGTAAACCGTTCACAGCTAATGCCGTAAAATATAATGGTCGGTGTTTATCCTTCGACACGTGGTCGCATTTACGGGACATTAATCAACAATATTTAACCTGTCGGTTCTTTTGAAAATGGTCGTAATAAGGAATAGCGGACCGGTCGTAGAATCGGACCTTCCGACCATTGAAATATGTAGAGAAAAAATTGGTTCTTTCAAAAACTGCCCGTATTATCGGATTGGTCGTATTTTCGGACCGGTCGTTAAGCGGAACTTTACTGTACTTACATTTATCAGTTTGTTATTCTTATTTTTAAATGAGTACTTAAATAGTTTCTAAAAAGCACAACTTTTGAAAAGAAGTTACTTTGGAAAAATTTTATAATGTAAGCTGCTTCAAAACATGTTTCATGGTATGATAATCACACAATCAGGGTTGAGGCATCAGAATTGCAGCCACCATAAATGTAGGAGGCGACTAAATAAGTTTGAATTACCTGAGTCTATGTGTCTCGTAGGTGAGATGGTTTTGAACCCTTGTGTTGCTTTAAGTTTGTAACACTTGGGGTTAGCCAAAATTATCCTCCCAGTTTCGGCGCCATATAACTTAAATTGTTAAGGTGTGCTGTAAAATCATACAAATCAAACAAAACACAAAGAATGAATTAAATTAAAAGATTTGAGTAAAGTGATTGATTTCATTGATGTACATATCATTCTCTGAAGTTACTGAAATGTTTTGCTGCTGAAGGTCCTGGAATCTTTTTGCAGCTAAAGCATGTATACTCATAGATAGACTATGAGTGAAATGTTTTGTAAATACATATAAAATTAAATGATTTTAGGCATGTCCTATTGGACCAGAGGCTAACATATTGGAGCCAAGTGCAGAGCAGTGTAGGAGATTATGGCTAGAACAACCTATTCTCTCTCTATCAGATTGTGAGGTCCTGAAATACATTGACTTTAAGGGTTGGAGGGTAAGTCAGTGTTATTGAATGAATGCGTTATTTTCTCTATATTTCAAATGACATCTGATGCATTAAGAGTGCTCTTTTCTCTATTTATATTGTATTCACTAACTTATCAGTAATGCTTAGTGATTATCAGGAACCAATAAATTCAATGTCAGACATAAATAGATGCTAAATTGCTATATTTTTAGTGTATATACACAAATATATTGTTAAAATCTAGAAAAATAGAATTGTTAACAGAATCCTAAAGTATAGTTAGAAAGCTAAAAAGACATTAAAAGGGTATAATCTACTTTGTTCAAAAGTCTCCTGCTAACCCACATTAATAAACCAGCAGGATTATTACTTGTCATTTTGAGATATCATAAATTCTTATACGTGATTTTTGTTGTTTTTTTAGTCAAAGACAATAGATATGGTGTATCCAGCAAAGATGGGACCAGGAGGTTTAGTAAAAACCCTGCACAGTCTATGTGAGCAGTCAGAGAAGGCCGCTGAGGACGGGTACCAGCTGATTATCCTGTCAGACAGGGGAGCTAATAAAAACTTTGTTCCTGTCAGGTTAGTACAGTCTTGTTATTTACATTGAATTTCGATCTAGCTTAATTGCATTATGTCTTTGGAACTATTTATATGCATGCTTGTACTATTTTACCACAAACAAATATAACCATATGAAGTTAAATACATTTTTAAAGTATATGTGCTCTCACTTTAATCTATTAATCTTGATTGCTCAACAAATATAATGCTTGTTCAGAGTGAATGGTAAGTGTTAGTTAAATCAGGAAGTCTGCACAAAATGTAAAGAAGATTTCTTAAATAAATCAATCTTGAGCACTGTATCAATTGAAGATTTATTGATTGAGGGGAGATAACTTAATTTGCTAATGTTAAACATTTATCACATGGTTACATCCCTTGTTGAAACTTATGTAAATCTATAACCAATAGTTTGTATTTCTACTTGTTTCAGTTCTCTGCTAGCTGTTGGTGCAGTACATCACCATCTAATCAAGAAAAAGCTGAGACTGAAGGTTGGACTTATTGCTGAGTCTGGGGAAGCCAGGTTAGTACATGTCAATCATAGATAATTAAAGAATGGTTAAATATATTAAAAATAAAAAGATTATGACTAGAAAAGCTCCAGATATACTCAGATATGAGCCAATTTTTACATCATAAAAAAGAAAAGAAAGAAATCATGCAGATCATCCTTTTATTTAAGACATATTCTTTTTTATGGCCTTGTTAAACAAAACTTTTGTATGATGTTAAATTATCCTAAAATTATCAATGAACAAACATTTATTATATGGATGTAATCTTGTGTATTAAAATGATTTTAGTTGTATTTTATGAGGTTTATATTTCGTGACTATTTCTATTTGTCACAGAGAAGTTCACCACATGTGTACACTACTGGGTTATGGAGCTGATGCAATCTGTCCATATTTAGTATTTGAAACGATAGCTAGATTGAGGCAACAGAGATTGTTGGACCCACCACTACCCGATGAGGAGATATTCATGAACTATCGTGCTGCCTGTGCTAGAGGCATCTCCAAAGTGATGGCAAAAATGGGAATCTCGACCTTGCACAGTTATAAGGTAGGTGTTATGATTGTATTGCAAACAATTACCAATATGAAGATACAATATTTGTTCTTCAAATTTTAGTTAAAGATATTTAAAGACATAAGTTTGAGTTCAGATTGACTAAAAGTCTGTCCATTTTAGCTAGCTCTAGGTTTAAGAAGTCATTGCTATTTCATTCATATTGACATTTTTCCATATGTGTGAAATTGTTTAAATAAAAAAATGGAAACTCCCTTATCAGTCAATAAATGTAGTCCTAGATTAATTTGCTTGAAGTAATATTGTTAATTAAACTGTTGAGACCTATTTTGTTTTACAGGGAGCCCAGATATTTGAAGCTGTAGGTCTAAGCAGAGAGGTGATGGATCTATGTTTCTCAGGATCAGCATCTAGGATTGGTGGTGTAACATTTACACATCTTGGACAAGAGGTAAACTCTAAAATATTCAACTTCCAGTAGTTTTATGGTCTGTCTGTTTGTATTGGGTTAGCTCTTTGGTTTTGACTGACAAGCCCCGTAAAACTGGTAGATATGTTTTAACATTAGAATTTTACAAAGTTAACTTACAGATTATTATCATTTCTAGTCAGATGTTCACTGATTCTTGAAATAATGCTTGTGATGTGAAATCCTTGAAAGAAAGTATTGTTACCTTACAGATTGAACAACATGTGTATGATGTCAAAGCTTGCTACCCATATACTAGTATAAGATACTGATAAAAATGATTATACTGAATGTTCTGATTTTTCAACATTATATTAATTTAATTCTGCAGAGATTTGACCGTCACTCGCTTGCATACTCGGAGAGAGAATGTGACAGTATGTTGGTGATGAACCCTGGTAATCTCCACTTTAGAATGGGAGGAGAGAAACATGTGAATGAACCACTCTCTGTGGCTAATCTTCAGGTAAGACTTAATGTCTAAAGGCTGCTTACACTGGCTTCTTTTTCCTCAATTTATGTCCAACAACTAAATTCTTTTTTCTCTGTAAAACCCCTTTCAAGGACATACACTTTAGGTGGTAAAGTTGTAACATTCCTGGATGGCAACATTTTATGATTTCATTATTTGGTTAATGAGTAAAAGGAAACTTGGTTAAGTATTGAATCATTATAAATTTTCATCTAATGGTTCATTTTGAAATAAATCATCACTTATCACTTAAAGTAAACTTAGTTAACCAATTAACATTTTAAGACCAGCTTCAGTAGAAAGTTCTTAAAGTTAGACACTAAGTAATATTCAAACAATCATCTTACTACCATTGACTACCAAATTGTTGTTTCATGTCTTGAAAATCAATGTCCTGAAAATCAAGAACTTGACTTTATAAATCATGCTGTAAGTGAAGTCCATCACTCAAGTTTAAAAGGAGAAAGAGTTTGAATATATATCATAATATTGTGTGTTGTATTAACAGGATGCAGCCAGGACTAACAGTAAGGATTCCTACGCCAAGTTTGCGGAGATGGCATATGAAGGCAATAAGAACTGTACATTAAGAGGTCAAATAGACTTCAGATATGCTGATAAACCTATAGATCTGTCCGAGGTGGAGGACGCTGCCTCTATTGTGAAAAGGTTCTGCACAGGTAATCTATTGTTTGGTTTAAATGTGTCTAGTATTGGATAACTTTTGTAGTCAGATGCATGCTTTTAATCAAGGTACAGGTCTGAATAAAACTGTGTGTGAATGGGCAGCTGGCCACATCTCTGACAGTTACCAGATGCCTTGAAATTTTCTGAAAAGCATTTTGTGAAACTTTTGAAACGCTTTGGCCTATGAGACAATGTGTCATGCATGAGACTGATGATTGTATATGTAAGGTCAAAGTCATTCTGAAGAGGTCAAAGCTGATTAAATTTAAGCCTTTTCCCTTTCCACTCCTACTTAGTCAGTCCTTGGTGAATTTTGAAATTTATTACTTGACACAAATATTCACATGATGTGTCATTTGGAGGGGCAAGGTCACAAATTTAAAAAAAAAGTCAAATTCAGAGATCTAAGGTTAAAATTAACAATATTTGTATTGGGTTTTGAATCAACAAAAGTCTCTACTATTATATTGATATCATTTTGATTTTTCTGTTATATTTTAAAAGATATTTTGCTCTGTTAAAAATGTTTTGAATATAGATGTATATTTTCAGGGGCTATGAGTTTTGGAAGTATCTCTATTGAAGCACACACAACTCTGGCTATAGCTATGAACCGTGTTGGTGCCAAGTCTAACACTGGTGAGGGTGGAGAAAATGCAGAGAGGTACATGAATATGGACCCAGAATTCAACAAAAGGTCAAAGATCAAACAGGTCAGTTAATGACTTAACCTTTAATGAATGAGCTTACCTTTAATGACTTCAACATCTGATTTTTGAGATTTATATAAGCGATCAAGCTTGCAGGTCTACCTAGAGTAAAGGTTTAGTTTTATTACAACAACTGTAAGATTTCGAAACTTTCATGGATGTAATAACTTTTGTCGTTGTCATGTGCTGTGCTTTTGAAATATGAATGTTTTTTTATTCTCTTGAGTAAAATTGAACTTGTGCCCTCAGTTTAATTTCAATTCTGATGTACTTTAAGACTTATAGCTAGAATTATATCACTTTGAATTTGTAATTCATTGAGAAAAAAAGCAAAAGAATTGATAAATTGACCTTATGTTCTTGTGATATTTGTACCATAGGTTGCCTCAGGAAGATTTGGAGTGACAAGCTCGTACCTAAGTCACGCTGATGAGTTACAGATTAAAATGGCACAAGGAGCCAAACCAGGTGAAGGTGGTGAGCTACCTGGTCATAAGGTAACTATCTGACATTTTTATCTTAAATTCATTCCTGCTTCAGTCATGAAATTTGATAAATGAGCCACGTCATGACAAAACCAACATAATGGGTTTGCGACCAGCATGGATCCAGACCAGCCTTGGCATCTGGACGCAAACCCATTATGTTTGTTTTGTCGTGACGCGGCTCAAATTAAGAAACATCCATATATATTAAGGTTTGTAACTATTCTAGAGATGTAAAGAGACTGATAATAGTAACTCTTGAGAAATGTTGCTAAGCAAGCATTCATTTAAATTTTTTTAAAGAAATACACAAAAAATTATAGCTCTTTGTAATTGAATTTTGTTTTCTGTATAATATTTTTCTTGAAAAGTCTGAAGTAAAATGTTTAAGAAACAAGTTAACTAAATGCTTTCAAACTTTAATTTTAAGTATGTTTTTAAACTCTGAAAGAAGGCATCCCACCTGCTCTTTTTTGTCTCATTCATGGCTACTATCTAGTATTTTCTAAAGTGAATATGATGTTATCTAATTGATAAACCTGACAATTGGTCATTCACATATCATTTAAATGTTACAGGTTTCTAAAGATATTGCCAAAACTAGACATTCTATACCAGGTGTAGGATTGATCAGTCCACCACCACATCACGATATCTACTCTATTGAAGATTTGGCTGAGGTATAGCTTTGTTTTTCTTAATAAATTAAACATTTTCTGTTTAAATATTTTGGACCCCCCTTAAATATCTGTTTGAAAAGGAATTATTTGTAGTACTTAGAAATACCGGTAATGAATGACATCCAGGGATTTAGAAACAAATTTTACATTACATTCCTTTGAAATTATGTATTATGACTTTGATATTCATCTTCTCCTATAAACGTTTTTGTGATTATTCCTGATTTTTCTGATTTTCAAAAGTCTCCAGTAACTCACTTTTCTGTAAATAAAACTATCTGAATAATGCTTAATTTCAGGATGTAAGATCTTTCCAACTTTAAGCTATGTAATACAGTTCATGGGGTGAAAGAAATACACTATACATAGAAAAATGAAGTGATATAATGTTATATTATCGTTTATTAAATTGTTTACAGTTGATCTATGATCTGAAGTGTGCTAATCCTGATGCTAGGATCAGTGTAAAACTTGTATCTGAAGTTGGTGTTGGTGTTGTTGCCTCAGGTGTTGCTAAGGTAATGTCACTCTCATGATTATGTAGTAATTTTCCTTAAATCACTGTTTTATTATCTTTTTTTTAAAGCAAATGCTTCTTAGTTTTTTTTACATCTGCAGCCTCTTGTGTATCAGGCTTTCAATGCATAATGTTACAAACATTCTTGACATAGGTCTGGACAACAATGAAAATAATCTTTGTTTTTAGAATCAAATAATAGAAATTATATATACTGAAGAATGCAGTTATCATTCTTCATCACTTAAAAGTTTGTAATCAAATGATAAAGCCTTGAAACATGAAAAAAAATCTGCATTTTGCATTTATTGTGCTTGTTAGTTTAACCAAATACTAATGCACATAGTTGTCATTAAAATGTTTAGTTTTCTTGTGATTTGAGGTGATCATTACATGTTATCCCAATACAGTTATAAAGGTTAAATACTAGCTCAATGTACTTTCATAATACAGAAAAAGGTCATTTTGATTACAAAATTATGTATTGTAAAGAATTGTGTTTGTAAGAATTTTGCTTGTAAAAGTTGATGTTTTGTTACGTATTAAAAATAAATGTTTGCTTCACGGCAACAAAAATTTGTGTTGTTTATTTTTTAATAATAATTTATAGGGTAAAGCAGAACATATAGTGATTTCTGGTCATGACGGTGGTACTGGAGCCAGTAGCTGGACTGGTATCAAAGGAGCAGGGTTACCATGGGAACTGGGAATATCTGAAACCCATCAAGTGCTTACATTGAATGATCTGAGATCCCGAGTAGTTCTACAGGCAGATGGTCAGATTAGATGTGGTGAGTAGAACTTAAGATAAATTGTAACAATATCATACATTGAAATCACTTGAAGTGGTTACTTTTTCTTCCCTGTAATATGTGTGCTAATTTTAGAAAGATAGATATTGTGAAGTTAAAGTACTGTGGTTTTCTACAACAAACTTTTTATGTTATACTTTCATGCCTTATGTACTTTGCATCAAAAACTGGTCTTTACTTCCTTAAAAAAATAAGAATTGTGTACATTTGCATCAAAAACTGGTCTTTGTTCCTTAAAAAAAAAGAAAAGAATTGTTTACATGTATATTCAGTTATCTCCATGGAACTGAATGTTTAATACTCTAAAATTGGGAAGTTCCACAATCAAATATTATGTAGGTTACTATCTACAGTGTAGAGAAGCAGTGGCCCAAGAGTAAGAATGTCTATCTCTTTACCAAGGAATTATGGGATTGGGCCTTACTCAGGTTAAAATCATATTTTCTCAAATGATACCAGTACTGGTTAGTTCACAATGTGGATACCAAAGTAATTATTGATTATTTGATGTACGGTTTAATTTTAACCCTTTTCAATGTTGCACCAGGTCGAGACATTGTTGTTGCTGCTATGTTGGGGGCAGATGAGTTTGGACTTAGTACAGCACCACTGATTGTTCTAGGCTGTACAATGATGAGAAAATGTCATCTCAACACATGTCCAGTTGGAATTGCTACACAGGTATATCATTTGAATAGCAAACACTTATAATATTTCATCTTAATTTTGAATACTCAATGTATTACTTTTAGAAGATATATAACGGTACTTAAAAGAATTAAGATTTACAAAATAATAGACTAAAAATGCAAAATTTTCTGATTCATAAGATCATAGTTTCTTCATTTTCATCATTTTATGTCACGCCTAAATGTTCCAGTGTTGAAAATTGTTAGTTACTACACTCCATTTCTAAATATTTAAACAAGTCAGTGACAATTATGAATCTTAAAATCTTCTCTATGACATATATTTTCTTTTATATACATCATTGTGACAAATTTTACGTTAATTTCTTTAAGGATCCTATTTTGAGAGCCAAGTTTGCCGGTCAGCCAGAACATGTGATAAACTACCTGTTCCTGTTAGCTGAAGAGGTAACCATTTAAACATCATTGGTCTTTATACTAATGATAAATTAAATTAAACTTAAACACACTCCCCTTACTGAGTATAATCTTTTCATTGCTTTCTTAGTAACATCAATTTACTCAGAATCTGTCAGCATTATTTTTTTTTGTGTGAAAAATTTTAGACTTAATATGGCAAAATTTTATTTTATTTATTTTTTTATTGGAAAAAAATATAACAGCTGAATAAGCATAAATTTTTATAAAAATAAAAATAATTTTTTTCCATTATTATGGTACATGTACTATATTTTAGGCTAGAGAATTTATGGCAAAAATGGGCTTCAGAAGATTCCAGGATTTAATTGGAAGGACAGATAGACTCAAGTTTGCTCCAAATCCTAAAAACCCAAAGGCAAAACTGCTGGATTTCTCTGCTATCTTGAAGAATGCCCTAGACTTGAGACCGGATACAAACATAGTGGGTGGTAGTATACCACAAGATTTCCAACTGGAGAAAAGAATAGTAAGGATAATGTTTTCTTTTATTTTAGTGTTGTATGCATTTTATGTCTGTATCATCAATATGAAACCTGAATTGTCAACTCATCATTGCATTCTGACTTAGTTGTATTGTTTAGCGTGACTATTCAAGGAAAAGGGAGAGCTACTGTACTCATTCAAGCTTAGTTTTTGCACTCAAGTTGGTATCTCCAAAACTACTGAATGGAATGAGTTGAAACTTCACCCACTTATTTGAGGATAGTAGGAGGTCTCTTGTCAAGGGCCATTTTTCGACAGAATTATGGCCCTTTTTTAACTTAGATAATTCTACATTATCCAAGCTCTTATTTTACTATCTAGCAATGAGAATAGTTGAGCACACTGTCCTACAGACAGCTCTTGTTACATATGGACAATTTAAAGCAGATAAATCAAATAGGTATATGATTATTACCAGTAAGATGATATTCATGTACACAGATCAATGTTTTGTTTAAGTGGACATTTTGCACCCTGGAAATGTAAATAAAATCACAATTTCTGAAGTTATGAGAAATTTCATGTGTAGAAATCTTCTCAAATCCATAAATGATTTTTTGCCTAAAATCTAAATGCTACAAAAAATACTTATCCTGCAAAACATACATATGTTAAAACTGAAAAGACCTCAGTATCAGCTGGCTAATATTTTTGCTATTTGAGTAAGTGGAGAAAACTTCAAACATGTCCATGTTCTGACTTTACTATAAATACAGTAGTTTATTAAAACCCAATGCAAAAACTGCTGGATTTTCTGCTATCTTGAAGAATCCCTAGACTTGAGACCGGTAGAACATATGGTTAGATCCAAAGATCAATTGGAGACATGAATATGAAGATATGTTTCTTTATTTTGTGGTATGCAGCAAGATGTTCATTTTGAAAATGATGAAAAAGCAGTTTCGGTTAAACTGGTATTGTTTAGTTCCAGATTTAGTTTGACTTTCACAAGGCTTGGGAGACTACAATTAATCTTCAGCTTAGTTTTTGCATGCAGTGGTACCCACAAACTTACTGAATGAATTAGTTGAATACTTTACCATTATTTGAGAGGATAATGGAGTCCAGTAAGCCTAATTCTCTTACATGGGAAGAATTTGGCCTTTTGTTGAACTTGAAACTACTGTCAAGCTTCTACTATTTAGCAAAGAGAATAGTTGAGCATGCTATCCTACCGACAGCTTATGGTACATCAGAGAAATGAGGATGAACAATTTAAAGCAGATAAATCAAATAGGCATATGATTATTACCAGTAAGATGATATTCAAGTACATATATCAATTTTTTGTATGAATGGACATTTTGCCCCTCAAAATGTTAAAAAAATCAAAATTTCTGAAGTTATGAGAAATTTTAGGGTGTGAATGATCGGAAATACGAAATGTAATCTTTGACTAAACTAAAGCTACAAAAATTACTTCAGGCAACTAGCTACATATGTTAAACTAAAGACTTTCAGTATCGCCTTTCTAATGATTTTGCTTTTGCTAGTGCAGAAAACAGGAAATTTCCTTCCCTGACTTTAGTAATACAGTGTTTAGCACTCATGTACGGCCCACATGGCTTGATTGTAAACATAATGTATATCATGAAACAAAAATTATGCATTCGATTGATTATTGTTTAATTCATCTTCTATTTCTTGTATTTCATATTTCAATATTTTAGATTATACTCAAGTTGTTTCTATTACTCAACAATAATTTTAGGTGGAATTTTATAGAGGAATTTATGAATAATTTTAGGACTATGAGATTATCAAGGAGGCACAGAATGTCATTGACGGTAAACAAAGACAGGTAGTAATAGAGAAGACTGTTACCAATGAGGACAGGACATTTGGTGCTACACTCAGCTACTATATCTCCAAGTAAGATCTTCTCTTTAATTTAGCTACTCTTTGAAACCATTTCTTTTGGTAAGACCTTTTCTTTAATTTAGCTACATTTTGTTACCATTTCTTTAAATAAGATCTTCTCTTTAATCTTTTAACCTAGTTACACATTTCTACCATTTCTTAAAGTAAGATCTCTTTAATCTAGCTACACTTTGCTACTTCATCTCTAAGTCAAAATAAGATAACAATCAGGTTAGCTCAATAGGTAGAACATTGGACTGTGAATTGGAAGACTTGGGTTCAATTTCCAGACAGCACAGATCACTTTTGTTGTGATTGATCATGAAATCCTTTCTACAGTAATTCGCATTGTACCTTTGCTCTGGTATGCAAAGAAGTTTCAGTTCCTTGCAAAAGTGAAAGCAACTATTACGGGTAAACCGACTGACAGCCTGACCAGGAACGATGTGTTGGCTGAACTGTGCTCTGGTAAATTCAATGTGGCTTACTGCCGTGATCCGGAGTGAAAACATCCAACACCACTACCAGATATGGTTACACTTAGTTTATACCTTAGTTAACCAAACATAGTAGAACAATAGAAAAAAATATTTATTATAGATACATAATTTCTATGAATGAATAGAAGAATTGCAAATAAAAATAATTTTGTTTTACAGGAAGTATGTAGAAGAAGGGTTGCCAGATAAGAGTATAATTATTAACTTGAAGGGGTCAGGAGGTCAAAGTTTCTGTGCATTCATGGTGAAAGGTGTACATGTGACACTGGAAGGTGATGCTAATGACTATGTTGGAAAGGTAATGCTGATCTTGCTGATCAATTATGACTTTATTGTAATACATGTAAAAATCAATTAAAAAGAATGTTAAAACAAGTATAATTACTTCATTATGACATAAACTAGCTGAATTTTCTGAAATGGACTTGTCCAATTTCTTTTTTGACTCAATGTTTGCATCACAGAGAAATTTCTTGGCGCTAGAGGAGCCAACTTGCAACTCCTGAATTACAATTTCGATATGGATTTCTGAATGTGGAAATTTACATTGAAAATCAATGAAACAAACTAAAGATTAAAACACATTTACTTCAGGGTTTGTCTGGAGGGGAGATTGTGATATTCCCACCAAAGGACATGCCAGCTGAGTTCAGGTCTGACCAGAATGTAGTTGTTGGTAATGTTGTACTGTATGGCGCAACATCAGGCAAGGCTTTCTTCAGAGGCCAGACTGCTGAAAGGTTCTGTGTGCGAAACTCTGGTGTTACTGCCATCAGTGAGGTATGTAGTGAAATGTTGAATCATTTTGTATTGCATAATGTTTTAATTATGATTATAGATAATAGAATCTGCCATTTGTGAGCTTTGTAACTGGAGAGTTATAGAAATGGTAATCAATGAAGGAATCTTAAATTATTAACATTAATTAGCCTTATTTTGCCTGCACTCCAAGTTTAAGTGTTCCTTAAATGATGAAAAGTTATTAGGAAGCATTTTAAGAGTGATAACCACAACAGTCAATATCTTAAGGTACTATTCAGTGTTCTTAAAAAATATACTGTATAAATTTTAAAAAATGAATTTAAAAATGGAGGTAATTAAAACAACATAAAAATAGATGAAGATACATTTATAATAATCCTTTTATTATTTACCTCTAAATTTAAAAGTTATACATTCAACCATAAAAAAAAATGGTATTTCTTCATTCTAGATCACATCTGTGTGTAATACAGATTTTCTTTCTGTAACATCTGATAAATGCTATAGATATAGAAAAATATGTATAGGTGTGTTATAATTACTGTTATTATTTGAGCCGCGTCACAACAAAACCAACATAATGGGTTTTTCGACCAGCATGGATCCAGACCAGCCTGCACATCCGCACAGTCTGATCAGGATCCATGCTGTTCGCTATCAGTTTCTCTACTTGTAATAGGGTTTGTAAGCCATCAACATGGATCCTGATCAGACTGCGCGGATTCGCAGGCTGGCCTGGATCCATGCTGGTCGCAAACGCATTACGTTGGTTTTGTCATGACGTGGCTCATTTATATGTTTGTATTTAACCAGGGTTGTGGAGATCACGGTTGTGAATACATGACTGGAGGACGTGTGGTGGTACTGGGCAAAACTGGTCGTAACTTTGCTGCTGGAATGTCTGGTGGAATTGCCTATGTTTATGACAAGTAATTTATATTAACATTTCTTTCATGCAAGGAGAAATAATTTCTGCCAACCATGTTGCTTATCTAGGCAGACATATTACTGTTACTGAGACAATTATGTGTTTTGTCGAGATATTAAGACAGCAGATTGTTGATGTTTCAAGTATGCTGATCACCTAGGTAGATTTAGAACCTGAGGAGGTGTCAGGTCACATTCTATATTGATAATTAATGGTACTTATTTAAGAAAACTTGGTTTGTGGACTGACAGCAAAAATATGACCAAAAAAGTGTTTAAATGGCAGAAATAACAATGAAAGAAAAATTCAGTCAAGATAGTCTATAATTGAAAGTTGGAGGTAAAAAAAACCCAAAGATTTTGTGCTAAATTAGTGTCAGAAATCAATGGCAATTGCTTTTTTGCTTTTTTAAACTATTGTTATTTTGATTATTTAGATTCAGTGATTTTGCTGACAAGTGTAATCAGGAGTCAGTAGCATTAGAAAGCCTGGAGCTGTCGGAGGATATAAGTCTTGTACAAGGTATACTGAAGGAGTTTGTAGAAAAGACAGGATCTATCATTGCCCAGCATGTCCTGGATAACTGGCAAGGGGAGAGGAAATATTTTGTCAAGGTATCACACATTTTATTCTTGTATATAGAGAGTTTAGTGCAAAATAATTCATCTTATCAATCTATTGCACATGAATATAGAACATCTTAAAGGCTGATTGTCCAGAGGCAATTGATGAGACCGGTTTTTATTGGCAAATTGATTTGTTTAAACTAGCTATATTTAAATCTGTATTGTGTATATTGTATAGGTGTTCCCGCATGAATACAGGAGAGTGTTAGAGGAGCAAGCTAAGGAGGCTGTTGTTGTAAAAGAAGTTACTCCAGTAGTGACACCTGTAACAAATGATGTGGAGAACGAGGCGACCGGTGAAGACGAGGATGATGAAAACACGGAAGATTTTAAAGAGGAAATAATTAACCCTTTAGAGGATGAAGATCCTAATAGAAAAGAGGTAATATTTAATTTATCATATTATTGTATCTGTTTTTTATGGTGTAGGGTATATACATTTTAGTAGTCCCCAATCAAACTTGAACGAACCTTGAACCTTGGTTGAGAAGTTGTCAATGTTTTTAAATATACTGTAATTCTTCTAATAAAAGCCCGTGGCCAAGCAAAATACCAAAAGGGTTCTTTTATTTGAGAGGCAATTTACCTGTTCAAGTGCAAAACAAATAGGTAGGTAAAAGTGATGTTGCTTTGGGAGCTTGCTATGTCATCATTTTGTATAAGGAGAAATATGGTTTATCCCATTTGGGAAATATAAGGAAATATATAGTGTTTAACTAGGCATGATGATATATTAGGAGAAATATGGTATATTTCTAGGCATGATCCAGTTAAAAATGGGTTTTAAAGATTGCTTTGGAATTTATATTTTGCATGTTTTCATTAGTCTAAAGTTTAAACCTAAACTTAAGAAATCTAAAAATTCTTTTCTCTTGTATTATTTGTTACATAAGTACAGACTGATTACACTGTAGTTGGAAAAATGCTGTAATCACAACTACACATTGAGTGAAAATTTATCAAAAAATGCTTACAAATAAAAAAAGCATTATATAGATTAAATTTTAGATATTTTTTACAATGTATAGAAAAAAGTGTCTAGCCTATAAAGTGTGTTATTCCTTGATTGGTAAGTTTTAATGTTAATTTCAAGGGCTGTAACTTGAGAGCCATATGTCAGCTATTGTCATAAGAGTGAAATATTTTGGCAACTCATTGGTAACATATGACAGATATAAAATGTGAAGCATAATAATTTGCTTTGATAAAATACCTTATAATTTCACAAAACATGCTCCATGTTGAATATATTTGTTATGTTTTTATTTTTGCAATCAACAGAGTCCACTTGCAGAAGAGGTACAGTTGTGCTTATTAGAAATTAGTGTTATTTTGACCACCAAATTTTCTTTTATGCATTATTTTTTATGCCACTAACTTTCTCTGATCTCTTTATCTTTGTACGGACAATTAACAAGATTGTATTTAAGATTGATTCAAAGCTTGTTATATAGATAGATGTCACTTTATATACATTTAACAATGGACATACATACTTTTGATACACACAATTATGCATTTATATTGTTTTGCCATTTTAGAAAGAAAAAACTCACTTGTAATGAAATTTCAACACAATTATATGCTTGATAAAAATTTTTGCTTTTATTAATAAAAATTGCTAAAGTGAAAGTACATGTATCATACTTTTAAATAGCACATCTTGACATTGGAGGAAAATGTCAAATTATGAAAGAATATAGGGGAAAAAACAGAACATAGGATGTATAAGGAAAAATAAAATATTTAAACCTTGTCCACTTCTTTAAGAACACAAACCGATTTTGTATTTGATGTGAATTTTCATTTGCTTTGAGTGTCAGCATTTTATCATTTATTTTCATTTATAAATGAGCAATATCTACATGCAAACACTGGCTGTTATGATGATGATATCTTTGTTTGAAGGTTTTCCATCCATTACTAAATGATGCTGAAATAAATAATTCAGATAATTAAAGGGAGATATATGACCTAGTGATTAAGGAGTCTTTGTTTTGACCCATAGATTATAGGTTAGAGCCCAACTTTGATCATGACAGTATTTCATCTTATCCAACTGAAATTAGTTACATGTAATTGCTATACTGGTATTTGAATTGTACCATGATGAGACTGTTCAATTTATATGATATATTTGAAACTGTTGTATGGAATATATCCTGTATTAAATAGTTGATGAATATATGTAACCAAAGGAGATGATAATGATTTGTAAGTAGCCTAGGGGAGGATAATAAGAATTATTTGTATGAAATCAAGTTGAATAATTATGACTTGTAGGTAAGTTAAGAGATGATTATGATTTGTATAAGGAGACGGCCCACTGAATTTTCGTACTATATATCCTATAGTAAATCCATCACATCTAAGACTAAATTCTGAACACAGCATATCCCGTACAGGTATTTGGTGGCTAAAACTTTCAATAACAATACTATTCAACTAAATTAAGCACAAAAAATAATACATTAGCCCTTGGACTTTTTCTGCAGCTTTTAATTTGTGTAAGCACTATCAAATAAACCAAATAACAACTGGGGTCTAGACTGGCGCATGGTACCTTCCACCAAGAAATGAAATCCTGCAAAGATACACAAAAAACAACATTCAAAATACTCAGAAATGAAACTTTATGCACACATTTATAAAAAATATACTTAAAATGTAATCAGCCTTACCAAGGATGACTTGAAATGGGCCACTTCAAAATTTAAAAGAACTACTTCTAGACTACAACAGGCACAGTCTAATTCCGTACCAGGGTCAACTCTGCTTGGTTTATCTAGGCAATATCTCTACAATGTATATCTAAGTCATACATCTGTTATTGTAATTTTTGTTAGAACTTTCGTCAGCTATTCATGGATGGAATTCCTTCACTATGCTTGATAACTTGCTTCTAAAGGAAATTAATCCGTAATTTCTTTATTCTTGTGATCTTTTCAAGATTTCTATAATTTATGTATGTTACTAAGCACTTTTTAAGCATTTTGAAAGCTTTCAAGGTGTATATAGACTCACTCTGTAAGCACAAGATATACATGCATTACTTATATATTGCAACATATGTAATGAGGCTTTTATTTAGATGATACATTTATTTATATGAATTGAGAATTTGAGTGTAATAGAATTTATAATGTTTCTAAATGTTAGAAGGATCTACAGGTGTGTATAGTGGTTTCATATTATGTGTGGTTTGAAGTTCTTGCGTAAAAGGCTTTGACTAATTTAGGTTTGAATTACTGGCTATAGGAGGATCTGTTGAACATTGCTTTCTTAATACGACTTTTTTATACGACTTGTTATATGACTTGTATAACAAGTTATTGGTCCCAATTGTGTTAAAGCTATAATTATAAAGTGTGTTAATTTTCTTTCTCAATGGATTTTGATTGAAGAAAATTGGCAAAGATATTTCTGTATGAACTACCATCTAGGTTCTTTTAAGTAGATCAACACAAATTTCATTTTATAACAACATTTGTCAATTTTTATAATAATAATAGAGGTTATAGTTAAGACTTCAGTCTATACAAAGGTTATGAAATGTTTTTTAAGCTAGATGTTATTTCTTTATTAATGTTAGTTGTGATTTTCAAGTTTTAACTGCAGCTTTTTGTATTGATGCTTTTTTTTGTTAATTGTGTTGTTTGGTTTCAAAGTTTTGTTTACCATTTATTAAATGTGAATAATGTAAGAAAAAAATAGCGTTAAACAAGATGATATCATAAAATTACATTGGAATGTTTTAGTCTGCTACTGTAATGAATATTTTGATATTTGTTGTATTTGTATCGAGTTTCTTGTTGTAGGTTAAGACACAAGTTTCAATCAAGTTCTTAGCTATTTACAAACAATAAATGGGTGAAAGAACTGATTAGAAAAATGATATTAATTTTGTCCCAACATAGCAAGTATATTTTAGTTCATATTTTCTGAATGGTATCTAAGCATCGAGGCTATCATTTACTGAGAGAGCAATGAATTGAAGTTGTTTACATATTTGCTTATGAAAACTGGTTGCTGAACTTTGTTGTGGGTTTATTATTTTGTCTTTACTGTACATTTAACTTTACTATACACTCACTATCTCTAAGAATCAGACTAAATTGAGAATATATAATTAACTAAGGTTGCTATAGAAGAAGATGATGAAGGGGCATCCTCAGAAGAAGAGAAAATTAAAACTGATGTCAACAAAGAATCTGAGAAGGTAAAAGAGGATATACCTAAAGAAAAGAAAAAGAAAGAACCTAAAGTTGTAGATATAGAGGAAACTGTTGCTGATCTTGCCTTGGAACAGAAGAAACTAGATAAACTTAGGTTAGTTAGTTCATTGATTTTGATACTATTACAGATTTTGAAAGAGATACTTTTGGTCAATATCATTAGGTTATAATTTTAAATACAATCTCTGAAAAAGTAACACTTACATTAAGATCAATTTAATGAGTAAACCCTTTAAGTGCAGATAGTAGTATTAGAAAGCCTATACTTCTTCTTTAATACTTGTATAGCCTTGAGTTCAGCAATTTTGGTATGTTAGTAAATTAATTATAAAAATTGTTTAGGTTGTGTAATTGTTATATGCATGTTAAAAAAAACTTATCAACATATTATTAAGATATTATGTTGAAAATAAGGGAAGTCATGTTATACAGCTATGACTAGTAACCACACTATGATTGTAGGGGTTTTGTGAAGTATAAGCGTGCCACATACCAGTACCGTGATCCGAATGTACGTCAGAAAGACTGGAAGGAAATTTACAACCATCGTCAGGTGACGGAAGGTGTGAAGTTACAGGCTGCCAGGTGTATGGACTGTGGTGTACCATTCTGTCAGTCTGACCATGGATGTCCCCTAGGAAATATCATACCTAAATGGAATGACCTAGTTTTCAGGGTAAAACTTAAATTTTGTTATAATGTACATCTCGGTTGATTTTTTTTATGGAAACACCAAAGAGAAGCTATAAAACTACTTTAGAAGATTGATATTTTAGCATAGCAATGTAGAGAATGACATAAAGTTGATGTCATATTTTAGCATAACAAAGTATAGAATGAAATGAAATTAACAACATATATACTTCAGCATATTTTACATTTATTATGGCTATTTATCTGACAGGGTAACTGGAAAGAAGCACTAGCTCAGTTGTTGCAGACAAACAATTTCCCAGAGTTTACAGGACGGGTATGTCCAGCTCCATGTGAGGTCAGTATTTTTAATGTGCTAAACTATGACAATTGTTTTACAGACTACTTGTTTTGAATGAAGACTTGTCTGTAGTTTGCTTACATATATGTTAACAGTGCATCTTTAATTTCATACAGTGGTCATATAAGCACAATAAAAATTGCAACATTTGACGCTGATGCGGCCCAGCAGATGGTTATCATTTCTGCTTTTAGTACTGAATGATCCTATTATTCTGTTTAAAGAGTTTACAACTGTGGAAAAGTACCACCATTGTTCATTGGTATACAGGTGTCATAAGAAATATGTAACAGGTGACAAAAAAAACAATTACAAGCTGTAGTCAAGCAGTCTTGAACTTTGGAGAAAATTGAAAACATTGTTAATGAAGACACGATCAAAGTTTTGCCGTATCTCAAAGATTTTAGACTAATAAATTAAGTGTGCTTAAAATTTCAAGGAAATTTCTGTATGTTTTGTGTAAGAAGGTGGCATCAGAAGTGTATCCCTTACAGAGGTGATACTTTGAAAAGGAGAAACATTGGCATTATGTCATGTAACGTAATTATAATGTTACAGCATGGGCCGCATTGCGTTGCAAAGTACTCTTATAATCAAATTATATGATTTCATTGGTTTTTTGCATTGTCTCTCAGCAATGGTGTAATAAATTTTTTTATAGAAGCTAGTTGAGTATTTTGTATTTAAACCTTGACGTCCATGACTTATTTGGACAGTACCAGTACATATAAAATTTATACATGTATGTTATATACACTTACAGGGAGCCTGTGTATTGGGTATCAATGCTCCAGCTGTCACTATAAAGAACATAGAGAATACAATAATTGATTATGCCTTTGAAAAAGGTTGGATCGTACCGGAGATACCAAAAGTGAGGACTGGTAAAAAGATTGCTGTTGTTGGAAGTGGACCCGCTGGCCTGGCAGCAGCTCAACAACTTAATAAGGTAAGTTTAAATTTTTATTTTTTCATCTGAACAACATGTAAAAGAAAGAAACCTAATTGTTGGTTTTGAAGAGGTTCATTAAATGTTTGAAACTTTACTTTTGAATCAGTCACTATTCTTGAAAGTTAAGATATTTGCTAAGCCTATATAAGAGAGTGAGAAAAATGTCCAGTTTGTCTGGAACTTGAACCTGGACCCTTAAAAATACTATTTAGCAACTTTACTGACTATACAGGCCTCGACACTAACTTTTTTAGCAGGTGGTACGCCGGACCACTAGATTTGAAAGTTAGGTGGTCCTTCCAGAAGTCAGGTGGTCAGGTTAAGTTAATATGACAAATTCTTAACTCTTTTAACTTGCATAAACAAAATTTTAGCGACTTCAAATGAAAGTTATTGATGACTTAAGAACTTCTTTAACTAATAAGAGATTAATGAACCATATACATGTACATCGGGCACATGATTTTAAACCAAATTATATCACATGTTTTTGACCAAATCGCCATTCTCCCAAATGAATCTTGCATCAACCAGAAAATTCAAGTGGTCCGACGGACCAGTGGGTTTTAAAATTAGGTGGTCCTTGCCAAAATCAAGTGGTCTCGGACCAACGGACCACCGCTAATGTCGAGGCCTGCTATATACCGGCTACTAAGACATCTACTTCTCACATAGTGAAAAATTTTACATTGTGACCCATAAATAATGACAATGCTCAAAGAGGTTCACATAGAGCCATTAGTATATCAATATGATGTAACCTAAACAAGGGTGTCTCCGGTGAAGAGGTCAGTGGTGCTGTTTGTTAATTTTCCCTTTCACTCGTGGAATCCCCCCCTGAACTTTTGTTTTTTTTCATGTTGGGGTAGATCCCCAATTTTGGGCAAATGTCATTTTTGGGGTTCTTCTCAGCTCAGTGTTCATTCTAAAATTTATTATTGCTTTGGGCCCCTTGGGGAAATTCTTCACATAAAGCTGTTAATCACCTTTAAAACCATTATAGTGTTTGGGTTGAATTAAATCCCCCACATTAAAAAAGTTTTAAACTAAAATTTTATGTATAAAATTAAATGAACAAATGATTGTGATTTAGGCAGGAATTTTTACAGTATATAGAGAAATGACAGGTTGGGGGGACTTCTCGATTGGTTTCCACAATGAAAAATTTCCCAAAGGTAAAATTTATTAATCATTAAAATTTAGTTCTTTACTCCCTTTCCTTAAATCCACTTGTTTTATATTTCATCAATTTTTTTTATAAAAAATTTCACTGGTTGTGCTCAGTCATTTCTCTAATACATTTATGCGAGGCAGTTTCTTTATAAAAATTTTCTTTATGTTTTTTTGGGGGGTTTATTTTTCTAAAAAAATGTCTGTTTCTTATATCTTCTCAAATTTTTGGAAAAAGTTTATTACATTGCAGAATAATATATTTTTATTATGCCCCCGCCATGTAATGGCCGGGGCATATAGTGTTACCCTCTTCCGTCCTTCCGTCATTCTGTCATTCCGTCATCATCAGTTTCCGTTCATTATTTTAGTAACGGTTGCAGGCATTCAACATATTCAAATTTCACATATGGATATGTCATGAGGAAATACAGGTCAAGTTCGAATTTGGTCATGGTTCGATGATTTTTGGCAGAGTTATGCCCCTTTTACTTTAAAATAATATGAAATTTTCAGTTTCCGTTCATTATCTCCCCAATGGTACAACACCTTCAACTCAAACTTCACATATGGATATGTCATGATAAAATACAGGTCAAGTTTGAATTTGGTCATGGTTCGATGATTTTTGGCAGAGTTATGCCCCTTTTACTTCGAAAATAATATGAAATTAATATGAAATTTTCAGTTTCCGTTCATTATCTCCCCAATGGTACAACACATTCAGCTCAAACTTGACATATGGATATGTCATGAGAAAATACAGGTCAAGTTCGAATTTGGATATGGTTCAATGATATTTGGCAGAGTTATGCCCCTTTCTCTTTGAAAATAATATGAAATTTTCAGTTTCCAATCATTATCTCCCCAATGGTACAACACATTCAACTCAAACTTGACATATGGATACGTCACAGGAATGCGCAGGTCAAGTTCAAAGTTGGTCATGGTTCAATGATTTTTGGCAGAGTCATGCCCCTTTCACTTTGAAAATAATATGAAATTTTCAGTTTCTGTTTATTATCTCCCCAATGGTACAACACATTCAACTCAAATATGGATATGTTTTTGTATGGAATTTGGTCATGGTTCAATGCATTTTGGCAGAGTAATGCCCCTTTCACTTTGAAAATAATATGAAATTTACAGTTTCTGTTCATTATCTACCCAACAACTCAAATTTGACATATGGATATGTCAAAGGCATGGGCAGGTCAAGTTGGAATTTGGTCATGGTTCGATGATTTTTTGGCAGAGTTATGTCCCTTTCACTTAGAAAAATAATATAGATACATCTTAGGAATAAGCAGTTTAAGTTTGAATTTGGTCGTGGTTCAATGATTTTGGACAAACTTATCTTTCTTGAATGTTGGAAAAATTTTGAACTTTCACTTTCAGCACTGAAATGTATGTAGCCATTATTTTGGCTACAAATATGAAATATGCTATTTTCAAAAGGTTTAGACTGAATAATTTCAGTGCCTTGAACATTGTTTGAAAATGGTTTGTGTTAACATTGAAAAGTTTTAAGGGCTTTGAACTTAAAATGAAAAAAATAATTTGTGCAAACAAATTTGGAACTAAATATTATAACATCTGAAATTTTGGCTGCATGCGGGGGCATCCGTGGCATGATGACACATTTCTAGTTGATCCAGTTTTTAGCTCGACTATTCGAAGAATATGAGAGCTATTGTAGTCGCCCCGGCGTCAGCGTCCGCGTCAAATATCTCAATTATTGCTTGAGATATTCAGTTGAAACTTACAATACTTATTTATAGTAACAAGGTACATCAGATTGACAAGTTGGATAACTCTGCCTACAATATTGACAGAATTATGCCCCTTTTTAACTTAGAAATTTTGGTTAAAGTTTTTTGTAAAGTCAAATATCTCAATTATTTCTTGAGATATTCAATTGAAACTTACAATACTTATTTATAGTAACAATCTACATCAGATTAACAAGTTGGATAACTCTGCCTACAATATTGACAGAATTATGCCCCTTTTTAACTTTGAAATTTTGTTTAGAGTTTTTTGTAAAGTCAAATATCTCAATTATTGCTTGAGATATTCAATTGAAACTTACAATACTTATTTATAGTAAAAAGTTACATCAGATTGAATAGTTGGATAACTCTGTCTACAATATTGACAGAATTATGCCCCTTTTTAACTTAGAAATTTTGGTTAAAGTTTTTTGTAAAGTCAAATATCTCAATTATTGCTTGAGATATTCAATTGAAATTTACAATACTTTTTGAAAGTAACAATGTACATCAGTTTGCAAAATTGCATAACTCTGCCTGCAATATTTGCAGAATTATTTGCCCCTTTAAAACTTAGAAATTTTGGTTAAAGGTTAAAGGTCTTCAAAGACATTTACTTGAAACTTTACATATGAACTTAGGGTCATAATTTGAGGGTCATAATTGTATGTCACTGACCAAGTTCCATAACTCTATCTTGCATTAAGGCTGATTCATATCCCCTATTCTACTTAGTCTCTAGGTTAATGTTTACATGCAAGTTTTACATATCTCAATAACTATTAAAGATACTTATTTAAAACTTCACATATGCATTTAGGGTCATAATTGTAGGTCACTGACAAAGATCCATAATTCTATCTTGCATTTAGGCTGATTTTTCTCCCCTTTTTCAACTTAGAAATTTATGGTTAAGTTTTGCTTGTAAGCTGTTATCTCCATAACTACTGAAGGGTTTGTGCCTTTTTTGGGACAATTTTATGCATTCATAATAATAAAGCAGTGATTTACTTGATAAAACATCTTAATAAAAAGCCTTTGTACCTTTTCTGTCAATTTTATGTATTCATAGGTAATTAGTATTATTATACTCAATAAAACACCCTTGTGACATTACCTTCCGAATAGTCAAGCCAATACTGCATAACTAGACTCTCTCTACGGCCTATAACATGAATTTATAAAAAAGAATTAGGCCTTTTGTGAACTTAGAAAATTTAACATTATCAAGGCTCTTTTACTATCAAGCACTTAGAATAGTCGAGCGTGCTGTCCTACCGACAGCTCTTGTTAATATGAAGTAAAGATATAGTGTTTGTTGTTTTTGAACTATACTTTCATTATTTTAAGACTGAATTAATACAAAACAATTAAAACAAAAAACCTTAACTTTTGATGCATTTTATTCATCCATTATATCTTGTACTCTATAATCCATATCAAGTCAAAATTAAACATTTATAGGAATGGCATTATTTGACTGCACTGATAAACCAAATATTAATTCCACTGGTAATCAACAAGTGCCATATGGAATTTGATACCCTACGCTGACAATTGAATGGTGCCACCTTTAAAAATTTAAAAATATGGTATTTATTATGACTTTCAGTTTCAGTCCAAATATTCCAGTATTAGATAATAAAAATTCCATTTCCATGATATCCAAAAATCCATTTCCATGATATCCAAAATCCATTTTCCTAATATCAGATATTTTCCATTCCATGATATTCCATTTCCATAATATCAAAAATTAAAAATATGCTACTTAAATTGATAAATACTAAAGAAACTATTATATATCTCCGCAATATGCCCACCTGTTCCGAGCAGACTTAAAGCATGCTAATTAAAAATAAAAGAAATTATAGGATATTGTCCCTCCAAAATTGGTTTTCTGAACAATAATGTCAGCCATATTCTGAAGAGAATAAATTCATACCTTAGTTTAATATTTAAAACATATTAATTCTTTAAATTATTTCTAAAAAATAGAGTTGCACCATTCGATTGTCAGCGGCCTACAAATAAAGCTCTTGTTAATATGAAGTAAAGATATAGTGTTTGTTGTTTTTGAACTATACTTTCATTATGTTTCTTTCCCAAACATTAACAGTTTTTATGATACTAAAATAGCCGAATTAAATAAGACAATGCATTAATATATCACTAGGTTGTTCAGCGTCGTGTAAATCTAATGGAACAAGAGGGTATAACGTTTGTAAGTGGTGTAGAGATTGGTAAAGATAAATTAGGATCCGAGCTGACTAAGGAATATGATGCCATGTTGTTATCTATGGGAGCTGCTTGGCCGAGAGATCTACCTATACCTGGTAAATATTTATTGAGATCTTGATATAGTTTTAAGTAACTCTTGTTTAAGAATACACTTTAATTGCTTTTATTTTGATTTATGTTCTTTGATATTTTTTTTAAAGTACAGGTATATAGTTTGTAAAAGGGAAAAAAAACTTATATCTCAAGTTAGAGCAGAATATATGTACATATGTAAGTTACACTTTTTTATTTGTGAGAAATTATTAGTTGTTCCTTTAGGGTTCATATTAAGTGATAATAGAGGTGTCATCGATAAGGATTTTTGTATCGATATATCGGTAATGAATTATCGATTGCCAGGCTAAAGTCTTTTTAAATTAATGTTTCCTGAGGACACTGACAAAGCAGTTATATTAAGACAAATGCAAAAAAGATAAACTATGAAAACCGAATTATTTGTTCTTTTTTAGCTCACCTGAGCATATGCTCAGGGTGAGCTATTAGAATCACTCTTCGTCCGTCGTATGTCGTACGTCGTCCGTTGTCCGTTCACACTTTTCAAACGACATCTCCTCTGAAACCATAAGACGGATCATAATGAAACTTCACAGGGATGTTCCTTGTGTGAAGCCTTAACAAAGTTGTTCAAAGAATTCCATTCCATGCAGAACTCTGGTTGCCATGGCAACCAAAAGAAAAAACTTTAAACATCTTCTTCTAAAAATCCTAAGAGCTAGAGCTTAGATATTTGGCATGAAACATCTTCTAGTGAGTGTCTACCAAGATTGTTCAAATAAAAGCCCTGGGGTCAAAATTGGCCCCGCCCCAGGGGGTCATTGATTTTCCCTATATGCATATAGTAAAATCTTAAAAAAATCTTCTTTTAAAGAACCCAAAGAGCTAGACCTAAGATATTAAGCATGAAACATCTTCTAATGAGTTTCTACCAAGTTTGTTCAAATCAAAGCCCTGGGGTCAATATTGGCCCCGCCCCAGGGGGTCATTGATTTTCCCTATATGCATATAGTAAAAACTTAAAATCAAATGGCTGCATGCTCTGTGGTATTTTCTGATCTTTCCTGTATAAGTTTATTTTATATACTATTATTCATCTTACGCAGCGACTGCGTTTAACAGTTTGTGATTGATACATATGGAATTTTGCATGCCTAGAGTTGCATCAAAAATCATTTTTCATTTTTTATTACAGCCACACTTTATCCTTGCATTTCGTGGCTACTTCCTTAAAAAAGACACTTCAAAAAAAATGTTGCCTCGACAAGGATTTTAACCTTAGGTCTCTCACACCCTAAACGAGCGCGCTACCTCTGCACCACAGTGAAGTAATACGTATGTAGCGTGAATAAAAACAAATATATTGTAATTCTAAAATTGAGAATTTTCATTTCGTATTTGTAATCCTTATTAATTTCGAGGTATTTTGTTTACGATAAACCTGTTGTTAAACACTGATGAAAATAATTTAGCGAAAATCTTCTCGCCAAAACAGTCCGACATGTATATATTCCATAACTCGACAGTCAGATTTATTTAAGCACTACGCTCTGGAGTATTCGGTAATCGACACAGCTAAAAATAGCATTTTCATTGATTAAGCTTTACGGAAATAGTCGAACATTTTTCATTGGGTAAAAAAGATATTCATCCGCGAAATTTGTGATTGTAACCTCATATTTCTATTGACTAATGTAAACTTTAAATGCACTGTAATTCGTTTCATGCCTACATTAAAAAGTATTCTTTCTTTTAAATTGCTGGTTTTTAAGCAGTTTTGAGTGAGAACTACTTTGCGTTGTTAGGTCTGTGAGGAAATTTTGTGTTAGACCGTGGATGTTAGCTATGTATTTACTGATCTTGCGATCAGAAAATACAAAAATCTTCTTCTAAAAAAACCAAAGAGCTAGAGCTTAGATATTTGGCATGAAACATGTTCTAATGGATGTCTACATTTCTAATGGATGTCTACCAAGTTTGTTCAAATAAAAGCCCTGGGGTCAAAATTGGCCCCGCCCCAGGGGGTCATTGATTTTCCCTATATGCATATAGTAAAAACTTAAAAAATTTTCTCTTAAAGAACCCAAAGAGCTAGAGCTAAGATATTTAGCATGAAACATGTTCTAATGGATGTTTACCAAGTTAGTTCAAATAAAAGCCCTTGGGTCAAAATTGGCCCCGCCCTAGGGGGTCATTGATTTTTCCTATATGCATATAGTAAAAACTTAAAAAAATCTTCTTTTAAAGAACCCAAAGAGCTAGAGCTAAGATATTTAGCATGAAACATCTTCTAATCAGTGTCTACCAAGTTTGTTCAAATAAAAGCCCTGGGGGTCAAAATTGGCCCCGCCCTAGGGGGTCATTGATTTTCCCTATATGCATATAGTAAAAACTTAAAAAATCTTCTTTTAAAGAACCCAAAGAGCTAGAGCTAAGATATTTAGCATGAAACATCTTCTAATCAGTGTCTACCAAGTTTGTTCAAATAAAAGCCCTGGGGTCAAAATTGGCCCTGCCCCAGGGGTCATTGATTTTCCCTATATACATGTAGTAAAAACTTAAAAATCTTCTTTTAAAGAACCCAAAGAGCTAGAGCTAAGGTATTTAGCATGACACATCTTCTAATGGGTGTCTACCAAATTTGTTCAAATAAAAGCCCTTGGGTCAAAATTGGCCCCGCCCCAGGGGTCATTGATTTTCCCTATATACATAGAGAAAAAACTTAAAAATCTTCTTTTTAAGAATCCAAAGAGCTAGAGCTAAGATATTTAGCATGAAACATGTTCTAATGGATGTTTACCAAGTTTGTTCAAATAAAAGCCCTTGGGTCAAAATTGGCCCCGCCCTAAGGGGTCATTGATTTTCCCTATATACATAGAGTAAAAACTTAAAAATCTTCTTTTAAAGAACCCAAAGAGCTAGAGCTAAGATATTTAGCATGAAATGTTCTAATGGGTGTCTACCAAGTTTGTTCAAATAAAAGCCCTTGGGTTAAAATTGGCCCTGCCAGGGGGAGGGGGGGCAAAAGTCATTGTTTTTCATTATTTGTGTATAGTAAAAACTTAACATCATGAAACATCTTCTAATGGGTGTCTTCCAAGTTTGTTCAAATAAAAGCCCTTTGGTTTAAACTGGCCCGCCCTGGGGGCCTATGTACAGGTGAGCGACCCCAGGGCCATCATGGCCCTCTTGTTTTATCATAGCTATGAATGAAAACTAATGACTAGTAACTATAAAGTTTAAAGCCTTTTCCATTTTACATTTGTTGTTGTTGTTGCTATTACGTAGTTACTGATCATGCTAAATCCCGTCCTTGCCGTTCCAATTAAGCCGAGTTTAATTGGCAAATTATAGTGTTTAGAACCTGAATAATTATTAAAGTTTAACATTTTGTAATCATAATTTTTACAAAGAAACACTGACAAATTTTTCTTGGCATTTTCCCTTTTTAAAATCTGAATTGAGGGGTCTTGACATCCACTTAGCAGACGTGCGAGATTACAACGAAATTAGGCAGCATTCGTTAGAGACACTGGGAGGTAACTTTGGCATTGATTTCCGTTTTCATTTTAGAAAAAAAATGTTTCTGGCTTCCATAACTTTATATGTCGCTTTTATTTTGACGTTTTGCGACAGTAAACAGGTCTATCAGTTCTATAAAACCTGTTCGCTGAAGTCTCTTTAGCTAGAAATATATGTGCATTCGATATCCGATATTTAAAAAATGGAATCGATATCAAATCGGATAACAAAGATCGTTGATACACCGATATCGATTGAATCGATGACACCCCTAAGTGACAAATTAATTATCCCCTGCCGATGGAATCGGGAGGGGGATATAGTTTTGGCGTTGTCCGTCCGTCCGTCCGAATTTTGTTTCCGGAGTAGTTCTCTGCAACAACTGGCTGGAATTCAACAAAACTTTAGGGGAATCATCAATATCAAGAGGAGATGCACACATCCTCGGCTTGTTCTGGTCAGACACTTTAACTCAGAGTTATGGCCCTTGCTTAGTTATGTAGTATGCATATAGAGTAAAAATTGTTTCCGGAGTAGTTCTCTGCAACTACTGGCTGGAATTCAACTAAACTTTATGGGAATAATCAATACCAAGAGGAGATGCGCATATCGTCGGCTTGTTCCGGTCAGACACTTTAACTCACAGTTATGGCCCTTGATTAGTTATGAAGTATGCATATGGAGTAAAAATCGTTTCCGCGCCACTTCTCTGCAACTACTGGCTGGAATTCAACGAAACTTTATGGGAACCTTAAATACCAAGAGGAGATGCGCATATCGTCGGCTTATTTGGGTCAGACACTTTAACTCAGAGTTATGGCCCTTGATTAGTTATGCAATATGCATATGGAGTAAAAATCGTTTCCGGTGTAGTTCTCTGCAACTACTGACTGGAATTCAACGAAACTTTATGGGAATCATCAATATCAAGAGGAGATGCGCATATCGTCGGCTTGTTCCGGTCAGACACTTTAACTCAGAGTAATGGCCCTTGATTAGTTATGTAGTATGCATATAGAGTAAAAATCGTTTCCGCACTACTTCTCTGCAACTACTGGCTGGAATTCAACGAAACTTTATGGGAACCTTCAATACTAAGAGGAGATGCGCATATCGTCGGCTTGTTCCGGTCAGACACTTTAACTCAGAGTAATGGCCCTTGATTAGTTATGTAGTATGCATATAGAGTAAAAATTGTTTCCGGAGTAGTTCTCTGCAACTACTGGCTGGAATTCAACTAAACTTTATGGAATAATCAATACCAAGAGGAGATGCGCATATCGTCGGCTTGTTCCGGTCAGACACTTTAACTCACAGTTATGGCCCTTGATTAGTTATGAAGTATGCATATGGAGTAAAAATCGTTTCCGCGCCACTTCTCTGCAACTACTGGCTGGAATTCAACGAAACTTTATGGGAACCTTAAATACCAAAAGGAGATGCCCATATCGTCGGCTTATTTGGGTCAGACACTTAAACTCAGAGTTATGGCCCTTGATTAGTTATGCAATGTGCATATGGAGTAAAAATCGTTTCCGGTGTAGTTCTCTGCAACTACTGGCTGGAATTCAATGAAACTTTATGGGAATCATCAATATCAAGAGGAGATGCGCATATCGTCGGCTTGTTCCGGTCAGACACTTTAACTCAGAGTTATGGCCCTTGATTAGTTATGTAGTATGCATATAGAGTAAAAATCGTTTCCGCACTACTTCTCTGCAACTACTGGCTGGAATTCAACGAAACTTTATGGGAACCTTCAATACTAAGAGGAGATGCGCATATCGTCGGCTTGTTCCGGTCAGACACTTTAACTCAGAGTAATGGCCCTTGATTAGTTATGTAGTATGCATATAGAGTAAAAATTGTTTCCGGAGTAGTTCTCTGCAACTACTGGCTGGAATTCAACTAAACTTTATGGGAATAATCAATACCAAGAGGAGATGCGCATATCGTCGGCTTGTTCCGGTCAGACACTTTAACTCACAGTTATGGCCCTTGATTAGTTATGAAGTATGCATATGGAGTAAAAATCGTTTCCGCGCCACTTCTCTGCAACTACTGGCTGGAATTCAACGAAACTTTATGGGAACCTTAAATACCAAAAGGAGATGCGCATATCGTCGGCTTATTTGGGTCAGACACTTTAACTCAGAGTTATGGCCCTTGATTAGTTATGCAATGTGCATATGGAGTAAAAATCGTTTCCGGTGTAGTTCTCTGCAACTACTGGCTGGAATTCAACGAAACTTTATGGGAACCTTCAATACCAAGAGGAGATGCGCATATCGTCAGCTTGTTCCGGTCAGACACTTTAACTCAGAGTTATGGCCCTTGATTAGTTATGCAGTATCCATATAGAAAAATATTTGTTTACTCGCTACTTCTCTGCTACTACTGGCTTGAATTCAATGAAACTTTATGGGATACTAAGAGGAGATATGCATATAGTCGCCTTGTTCCAGTCAGATACTTATAACTCAGATTTATGGCCCTTGATTAGTTATGTAGTATGCCTACATCTCATTGGCATTTCCAGATTTTACTATTTAACATAAAGTTATGGCCCTGTTATTGCCCTGAATATTTATCAAGTTCAAAGAATATTACTGTTTATGCCATGATTAATATATAAATAAAGCCTTATGTCTTCAGTTGTTGTGTTAATAATAACCAGTACTCGGCGGGGGATATAAATTCAACGAATTCGCTTGTTTCATTGATTATTGTGACATTTTATTTACAGTTAGAAATTATTGTTAAGAGCCCAGTCCATATAAGTGTATCAATCTTAATAAAATTAATAGAAATATTCGTAAGAGACTATAACAGTGTATTTTTTAGCAAACAAATAAAGAAATAGGCTAAGGAAACTGAAAAGTATTGTTTAATTACAGGGCGTCAATTGGAAGGTATTCATTTTGCGATGACATTCCTGGAAACATGGCAAAAGAAACAGGAGGGTAATGAGCTGGATTACTTAAAGGTCTTTGCTAAGGACAAGGACGTGATCGTCATAGGTGGCGGAGACACGGGCTGTGACTGTATAGCTACTTCTCTCAGACATGTATGTATACATATTTCTAATGACAGCTGGTTTCAGTTGTCACTTTTGGCAAAATCAGTTCTCTTAAATATGTGAAAATTCTGTATAAATATTACAGTATGTAGTGATATCACATGCTAAATTTCTTATATTATTCACTTGTAAGCTAATATGTTGTGAAAGCTGTTTGAATCTTTAATATACATGTAGAAGTTAAAGGTTTTAACCTGTTTTCCTTTATTATACATTTTCGGAGGCTTTTCTTTTATTTGTAGAAGTAATTGAAATTGAGCCAGAAAAAATCTTTGCCAAAAATGAAGTAAATATTATAACTTACCTTTAAATTGAATGAAAGATGTATTTTACCAAAAATTGACTATTTATATCATTATACTACAGGGAGCTAAATCAATTACATCATTTGAGATTTTACCAACACCACCAAAGACAAGAGGTCCTGGTAACCCCTGGCCTACATTCCCTAGAGTGTTTAAATTGGATTACGGACATGAGGAAGTTGAAATTAAATATGGACGTGACCCAAGGATCTTCAACATAGCTAGCAGGGTAAAGTTTATCTTTTCTTACATTTTTACAAATTAAAGGTATCAGTTATACTGGTGAAAAACTAGTCTTATTAAAAAGTGCCTTCTTGTTTAACCTTCTTGTAGTCTTAAGCTATTGGTACAAAATACTTGAGTGAAGTTTTATATAAAGAATGTATATTCCAGACAAAACACGCATTTTATGCTACCAAGATTCAAACATGCATTTGCAAGATAAGAGCACAAATGGTCATTTTTAGCTCACCTGTCACAAAGTGACAGGGTGAGCTTTTGTGATCGCTTTTAGTCTGTCCGTCCGTCGTCCGTCCGTCCGTAAACTTTTACTTTAAATGACATCTCCTCATAAACCACTGAGCCAATTTCATCCAAACTTCACAGGAATGTTCCTTTGGTGGTCACCTTTAAAAATTGTTCAAAGAATTTAATTCCATGCAGAACTCTGGTTGCCATGGCAACTGAAAGAAAAAACTTTAAATATCTTCTTTTAAAAAACCATAAGAGCTAGAGCTTAGATATATGGCATGAAACATCTTCTAGTGAGTGTCTACCTAGTTTGTTCAAATAAAAGCCCTGGGGTCAAAATTGGCCCCGCCCCATGGGGTCATTGATTTTCCCTATATGCATATAGTAAAAACTTAAAAAATCTTCTTTTAAAGAACTCAAAGAGCTATGGCTAAGATATTGAGCATCAAACATGTTCTAATAGGTGTCTACCAAGTTTGTTCAAATAAAAGCCCTGGGGTCAAAATTTGCCCCGCCCCATGGGGTCATTGATTTTCCCTATATGCATATAGTAAAAACTTAAAAAATCTTCTTTTAAAGAACTCAAAGAGCTATGGCTAAGATATTTAGCATCAAACATGTTCTAATAGGTGTCTACCAAGTTTGTTAAAATAAAAGCCCTGGGGTCAAAATTGGCACCGCCCCGGGGGTCATTGATTTTCCTTATATGTGTATAGCAAAAACTTAAAAAATCTTCTTTGAAAAAACCCAAATAGCTAGAGTTAAGATATTAAGCATGAAACATCTTTTAGTGAGTGTCTACAAAGTTTGTTCAAATAAAAGACCTGGGGTCAAAATTGGCCCCGCCCCGGGGGTCATTGATTTTCCTTATATGTGAAAACTTAAAATCTTCTTTGAAAAAAACCCAAATAGCTAGAGTTTAGATATTAAGCATGAAACATCTTCTAGTTAGTGTCTACAAAGTTTGTTCAAATAAAAGCCCTGGGGTCAAAACTGGCCTGGCCCCAGGGGTGTCATTGTTCTTAACTATATGTGTATAGTAAAAACTTTATCTTCTTTTAAAAAGCCCAAATAGCTAGAGCTTAGATGTTTAGCATGAAACATCTTCTTATGGGTGTCTACCAAGTTTGTGCAAATAAAAGCCCTTGGGTTAAAATTGGCCCTGCAACATTGGGGGGTGGGGGTGGAGGGGGGGCCTATATACAGGTGAGCGACCTCAGGGCCATCATGGCCCTCTTGTTCACTATTATGACCAAAGATAAAGGTATAAAATAAGACCAAAATTATGTTTGCTCTTGTTCTTACTACACATGTTTGAAGTGTATAGAATCAACAGATACTTACAGATTGATATTGTTTTGAATTTTGATTTCTAATTTTATTGTTTAAACAACTTTAATGGATGAAACTTTTATAATTTTCGATTGATTTTTGAATTTGAACAGGAATTTTTGGATGATGGCAATGGACATGTAAGTGGAATCAAGACATACCTGGTTGAATGGACAAAGAATGAGACTGGTCGCTGGGATATGAAAGAAGTTCCAGGTAATAATATTGATTACTTTGTAAGAGAATTTCCTGACTATATTGTAAGATCTCATAATTTTCTACCATTTAATAGAATATTATTACCCCTCACTATTTTTGTAATGTAATGTTGGGCTGATGCCTCAGGTAACAGTATTTTCCTTTGGATGATAATTTTACTGGAACTCCCAAACCATTTACGTGTTATTTATATACTGATTGTCGGGCTGAAAGATTAAATTACATTAAAAAAATTTACTAGTTCAGTATAACCAAACAGCAACGTAATGTTATGTTTTTAAATGTATATAAATCACACCATATGATCTATTACAGGCTCTGAGAAGATATACAAGGCAGATTTAGTGTTGCTTGCCATGGGCTTCCTCGGACCAGAGAAGAAAGTGATTGAAGAAATGACATTAAAGATGGACCCACGAGGAAATATACAGACACCAGAAAATAAATACTCCACCAGTGTACCTCATGTTTATGCAGCTGGAGGTATCATTGTTTTATCTTGCTTCTGAAGGCATCATGTTTGCTAACCAAACAGGATTTTTAATTTCACTAATTTCTCTAGTGAAGTAATGGCATTTTAAGTGAAGTTTAATGTAAAATGATTTAAATTAATACAAGTACAAGTAATGCCAACTTTTGTCACCCGTTTAAAGTTATAATTTTATTGTTGAAACTACGTCGTAAAGTATTAAGTTCTTTACCATTAACGACTGTATGCCAATATAACTTATGTAATTACCATTTCTTTGCTTTGAGCGTAGGCTGTATTAGAGGTCTTTTATTATGTATGGACTAAATAAATAAAAAAATTCTAAAATTTGTAGATTTTAAACACAGAAGTTTTTATCTTCAGATTGTAGACGGGGCCAATCTTTGGTAGTGTGGGCAATATCTGAAGGTCGTCAGGCAGCTAGACAAATTGACCTTGACCTTATGGGTAAAACAGCTCTTGCTGGACCAGGTGGTATAGTGTACCAGCCAGAACTGCAGGCTTGATGTAGAAAGAGAACATTTGACAGTACACAAGGGAGATTTACCGTCAGCAGGAGATGTTGAAGCTGAAATATACACAATGGGAGAATATCAAGTTCCATATCAATTGACTCATAAATGGTGTTTAAAGAAAATCATACAGGCGTAATTATTGTATGTGTACTTAAAATATATTACAGTAGGCCTATGATAAAATTAAGCAAATTTTATTATTCATAAAGACAAATAGTAACTATTTAGGCAATTAGATAGAAAAAAAACAAGTGTCAACTGGGAAAAATAAAAATAATTACCCTGTCCATGGAGATAGAGGTAAAAATTAAAAGAGAAATATTGAATATTGATAAAATACTGGATACATCCTAGCCAAATACTTAACTTTAAGAAAAGAATATTAAAAACTTTGTAGGACTAAAATAATGTCATTTAAACGATCTGTTTTTTGTCTGGTGTAAGTATTCTTTAAGGTTCAGAGATGACTGTTAAGGATCAGTAAGTTTGTCATATAACCATGAAACTTGGTTTTGACAACATTTTGGATACAGGTGTCTTTGTATTTTCACTTTCTGTCCAACTGCTTGCTTAAATGTAGATTGTTGGCTATTATTATTTCACTAGACACATAACTAAATTTAATGTTAAGACTCACTTGTAGTTTTCATTGTCATTGAAATACCAAGATAGCTTAGTTCACTCCCAGTCTCAATTGTGCTGATTTGATAATATGTCTGCTAAAACTGTTCACACAACCAAATTGCATGCAATTGCCGAGCCAATTTCATTACTTTGCTTTTATACTTTATTAAGCTTCTTTATTATTAGGAATCAGAATTCTGTTTTTTGATAAATGAAAAAAAAGATGTTCAAGTAACTTTATTTTATTATCTTATTGGAAAGAGGAAAGGCCTGAGCTGTAATTTAATTGGCTTGTTGGAAAAAGTAAAGGCCTGAGCTGTAATTTAATTGGCTTATTGGAAAAAGGAAAAGCTTGAGGTTTAGGTACACCTTGTTTTACATGTATATGCAACTTTTTCAAAACCCTAATTTAAAAAGATTTATATGAATATTGTTTGTGGTTTGTCACATGAAATATTTATATGTCATCACATAGAAGAAAATGTCTCATTCACCAATAAGAAGCTTTTGTAGTTACGTATGTTTGTTGTATTTTTTGGACCAGATATACCTTTGCTTCAGTAAGCTTTACCTGACGAATATGTGAACTTCTTAATATCAGTAAATGAGCCGTGTCACGACAAAACCAACATAATGGATTTGCGACCAGCATGGATCCAGACCAGCCTGCGCATCCGCTCAGTCTGATCAGGATCCATGCTGTTCGCTTACAAACCCTATTACAAGTAGAGAAACGGATAGCAAACAGCATGGATCCTGATCAGACTGAGCGGATGCGCAAGCTGGTCTGGATCCATGCTGGTCGCAAAACCATTATATTGGTTTTGTCATGACACAGCTCAAATGATAAAAGATTTAAACAGTTATGTCATACAGAAGTTTATACACTAGGGAATGGTAACATGATACCATACTCCTTAATAAACAGATTGAAGTCATTAACAATAAATGTCATTGTTAACTGGCACTACTTTGACAAAATATATATGTATAAACCTTATCAAATTGTGTTAAAATCAGAACTATTTAGACACAATACTTTACCAAACTTTATGCAACAGTAGTAGAATCTGTAAATAACTATTGTGAGAAATAATGATAAACTTTTAGATACTTAGATATTGGTCATAGTTAAACCTGGATATAGCATCTAGATATATACTGTAGGTTACAAATATACTTGTATGTGACAACATGTAAATATAATACCGCTTGTTGTGATAGATTATTTGTTTGCTTATTGTTAACATATCATATATAGTTTGTATTAGAGAGGATTTTTAAACCATTGTTGCTGTTAGATTATTGTTATTAAATAGGCTGTTGACGTATCACAGGATTTTTGGTGCATTTTTTGTTAGTTACATAATATTATATGTTCTTTGTGTTTTTGTGATTGTTTGTAAAAAAAAGAAATTTTCGGTACATTGTGTTTGACAGCATTATAAAATCAGGCAAGTGGGGGTGGCATAAATTTTAGGGATTTTTTTGGCCAATTTGGAGCCGGGGGGGGGGGTGTTAGGGGTTATGCTAAACTGACCTGTGACCAAGTCTGATATTATTTAGTAAGTTTCATCTCTTGATTTTAGTATTCAACATTTATTGAACAAGATTTAAAAAGTATTGTATTTCTAAATGACTTCACACATGGAAAAAATCATAACTATATATAATGATAATGTTCTATCTAGGTACCAGAATAAGCCACAAATAATGCATCATGGATGGTACAATGTTATTTATTATGTACTTGGTGTCCTATAGATTAGTATATCCTAATAAAGGAAAATAATGTCATAAAATGATAGTTTATTTTCATCAGTCTGAATTTTGATACTGTATCATTTTCAGGAAGGGTATCATAAATATTCTTATTAATAAGTAAAGCTAAAGTTATGTTAAGATTTATGTTTCTTCTTAGTGTTATTATGTGTTATTATGTTTGTCTTGTATCTATTCAAATTATATCTAAAAGAATCTCTCTCAAGTATTTACTTGACTTTTTATTTTGTGTGATTTTGTTTGTTTTTTCACATATGAACAAATATTATGTCACTTTTTCATCAGCAGAACAGCCATTCAGATATAATTTATCAGAAACTCAACTGCTGGTGACATTTAAAGCTTTCTGCTTACCTTGTGTTAACTTGTGACTTCCAGGCTTTAATACATGTTGCTATAAAGGCAAATACAATTCTGAAATAAGGGTAATGCAACAACCGCAAAGAAAATAACAAATAGAGAAAGTAGATCGAAAAAAATAAACAGGGGTGTGTTTGTCCGATATATACATGTATATACAGTATATATAAGTTGAATGTATATGTTGTTTTCCATCTTGGCAGCAGGTGCTGTCTTTCCATCTATATGTAGTTAGTATATATCTATTGCTGTATAATGTTAATAAATAAGGGTTAAAGGTCATGAAATTGAGTTCAGAGCCCAGTCTAATATCTGTACAGGATGGGTGTATCTAAACCATTCACTGATGATTTGATAACATGTTCTATAATACTAGGCTCATGACACTTTATGTATCACTGTGAAAAACAACCCACACAGAATAAACCATTTCAATCTTATAACAACATACATGTAGTTAATTTGCAGTTACCATACAAAGTAATTGCAAATAAATATACACTTAAACGAGATCATTCACTCTGTAAAGTATGTTTGACTCAAATTGATCCATAGTTTAACCTGATTCTAAGATAACTTGAATGTGCAATTATATACAAGCACCCCTTTTGATCATTGGTTAGAAAAACTGCTGTGCCATACAGTACGATATGGAGCATGCCACTGATCAAACCATGAACCATACTGTATTGTTAAAATAATTACAATATATTGTTTTGCCCTTACTGTACTACATACTGTAGACAATAGTCATGTTGCTGTCTTGACTGGAGTCTTTTTGTATCTATAATAGAAGGATATACCAGTCTAAGACTAGTCACTGGTCTTTGGGCTCAAATTCTTGGACTTCTTTAATCCTTGAGCTTTGCTTGAATGTAGTTAAGCATATTTATTCAAGAATTTGTTTTTTATTATCATCAACTTTTCATCATTTTGATAGTTATTTATGTTTAATGTTTAGAAACAATCTTTTTACCATTGTTGTATAAATCTAGTTATAAATGTGTATGTGTAAGATTTCAAAGAATTTAAACTTAACTCTTGTCCCTCTAAATATCTTAATAGTACTTGTCCATATTTCAATCTGGATAAAACCATTCTTCATTTTTGTAAAAAAAGTTCAAAATATTAACTGATAAAATAATGATCAATGAAAACCATGATCTGACTTGCAGCTGATTTTAGCCTGCACTGATTGCATGGATAGATTCTGTTGCTTTCAGCTACAATGTAAGTTTCTATTGGCATTAATAGGTTATTGACAAAAAATAGCATAGTTATCAAGCTTTATAATATGAAATTTGATTTGTCACAGATATATTTAGAAATGACTATAGTATGGGAAATGTAATAATTGATATTGTCTAAGTCAGTGTTAAAAGATTTGATTTTCAAGACTTTAATAACAGCTTCAACTAATAACTGATGTTACTGTAAATTTAACCAGGGCATAGGTGCACAATTTTAAGCATGTTCCTTGCTTCATCATTTTAGAGTAGAAATTTTTCAAATCTACTTTTTCTTTTGGATTTTTCTTCATTTCCGACTGTTTTTCCTGTTTATAACTTATTTCATCAGCTTTATTTATGTTAGATGTTTAAAGAAGTACAAGATTTTGTTATTCAGATTTTAAGATTTTTATGGAAAATGTCACCTCACAGACATATTGACATTGTTTTGATTTATATTTTCTGAACTTTTTTAAAAATTCACAGTTCACTTGCCTTTGCCACCAATATAGAGCTACACAAGTTTGTACATCTTTAAAGTCTGACCAGCTATCTTATGCTGAGTCACTTATTTTTTTGACAGAGCAATTCCTTGTTGTAAAGTTGACTGTATTTTTTATAGATTGTTCTAGTAATTTGAATGCCATTTTTGAGTTTTGGACAAATGATAACTAAAATCTCTTATTTGTTAATGTTTTTAGTTGAATCAAGCTTTTATTGGTATTTTAAGTATTTACAAAAAATATTAATTCCCTTGTTGACTATATCTACACAATCTGCACTGAAAGAGAAAATAAAATTGATTTGTGAAATATGGTTGCTTTTTATTGAATCCTACTATCTAAAACTCAAATGTTTCAGCAATGGGAAAAGTTGTAACTTCATTTAAATTGCAAGTTGTACTTACTTATGCTTTAATTTTAAATTTAACTTTGTGGTTCTAGAAGAGCTTAAACTCAATATACGTGTACCAGGTATTTAGGGGAATGCATCTTCATCAAGCAATTCTTCATTTTTGCATGCTATGTGTATAACCCAGATAATTGTCTATAAACACGGAGATCATTCACTTGCAATGCTTTGATTAAACTATCATGTCATGGACAGAGATAATAATTTTGTTTCAATTAAAAACAAAAACAAAAAAGCAACAGGAAAATAAGAACAGAATGATGAATTGCAGAATGATCTTTTATTGGGAGATAAAAGTTGTCCAAAGCAAGTGAGCCGGTTACAATTCATCAAGAAATTCCAATTAACAGAAGGTTTATTAAAATGATTTCAAGAAAGTCAAGTTCCTTCAAAGAACAAATTATTCTGACGGAAATACAGTCAGTTTCAACAGAAGAATGCACAAGAGCAACATTACTGCATATTCCCTCGTCAGTTACATGTATTTGATGCTTTGTATTGGTCAAGTCAGTAGGTCATGTATGTGTATCAAATGATATGCTTATTATGCCCCCCTTCAAAGAAGTGGGGGTATATTGCTTTGCATTTGTCTGTCCGTCAGTCCCTAGACAAAATGGTTTCTGAGTGATAACTAAAGAATGCTTAGGCCTAGGAACTTCAAACTTGGTATAATGATTGTTCATGACCAGCAGATGACTCATATTGATTTTGGGGTCAAAGGTCAAGGTCACATTGACATTGTAGGTAAAAACGGTTTCCGATCAATAATTAAAGAACACTTAGGCCTAGGAACTTCAAACTTGGTTTGATGATTGTTCATGACCAGCAGATGACCCCTATTGACTTTGGGGTCAATGGGTTACATGTCAAGGTCACGTTGACCTTGTAGGTAAAAACGGTTTCCAATCAATAACTAAAGAATGCTTAGGCCTAGGATCTTCAAACGTGGAATGATGATTGTTCATGACCAGCAGATGACCGCTATTGATTTTGGGGACAATGGGTCAAAGGTCAAGGTCACATTGACCTTGTAGGTAAAAACAATTTCCGATCAATAACTAAAGAATACTTAGGCCTAGGAACTTCAAACTTGGTCTGATGATTGTTCATGACCAGCAGATGACCCTTATTTATTTTGGTGTCAAAGGTCAAGGTCACATTGACCTTGTAGGTAAAACTCTTTCCGATCAATAACTTGACAACCCATTGGCTATTGACCCTCATACTTGGTAGGTGCATTGGACTTGACCAGAATATGACCCCTATAGTGTCAAGGGGTCATAGATCAAGGTTGCATTGACCTTGTAGGTAAAAACAGTTTCCGATCAATAACTTAACAAGCTATGAGCTGTTGACCCTCAAATTTTGTAGGTGCATTGGTCCTGGCCAGTAGATGACCCCTATGGATTTTGGGGTCAGGGGATCAAAGGTCAAGGTTGCATTTACCTTGTATTTCAAAATGGTTTTCTATCAATAACTGGACAACTCATGGATCCTTGACCTTCAAGCTTTACAGATGCATTGCTTTTGGTCAGAATATGACCTCAATAGTTTTGGTGTTAAGGGGTCAGAGGTCAAGATCACATTGACCTTATTAATAACAACGCTTTCTGATTAATATCCCAACTCATGGGCCCATTTCCTTCAAATTTCACAGTTGCATTGGTCTTGGCCAATAGATAACCCCTATTGATTTAAGGGTCAATGTCATATTGACCTTGTATGTAAAGACTTTTTCTGACCAATAACTCAACAACTCAAAGTTGCCTTGGTTGATATCTTTTTATTAAACTAATTTTTGGTATACACATTTCAAGGTCTTATGTAATATAACAACTTGGTTGTGTTAATGAGGCCTACATGATTCATAAAATTTATGCATATATTATTTGGTAAGATTTTTATAACTTTGCTGCACACAACCTTTGCGGTCACAATTACCTAGTGACTAGTCATGACCAGCAATTAACCCTTATTGATTTTTTGGTCACTAGGTCAAAAGTCAGTCATAATAACCTGATTGCATGACTTATTGGCTGCCGATAGGGGGCATACATGTTTTATAAACATAATTATCTTGTTTGAAATGTATATTATTAGTTGTAAAGATATTTGACAGGTTATATGGCCATATATAAGTAGTTCATAGGCGAGGGTTATATTGCAAACAATTGTTAATATATGGCAATATAACCTCTTAAGAATCTTTATAACAAATTTACAATACAGTCTACTTCCTTTAGTTAAGAAAAAAATGGAATTAATTCGTAAATTGACAGCAGCCATGTATAAAGTTTATATGCACATCATGATTTTGTAATGAAAAGCAACATTTCATAAGTGTAGTATTTTAGATGGATATCTATAGCACATTTGGCAGATGTGTATGATAACATGAAAATAACAGGAAGGTGGCCTATACTAATAAATTGTAGGGCCTCATTTATAGAGGTAATTAATCTCGCCCTCTGGGCTTAACAACTCTAGCCCAACAACCCATCAAATAGCACACTTGCAGTATACTCTTAATTTGTATTGCTAAATAACAAGGGCAACATTGTCGTAAAATACGCCCGTCACAAAAGCTTTTGACAGAGATGTAGGCATTATAGATATGCATATACGAGATATGCTCTGGACAATATCTGGACAATACCTGGATATTTTATCATCTCTAGTGACCTTGACCTTGCCAATATTAACCTAAATTACATGTGTTACACTTGTAGTCCTGACAGTTTTCATTTTGTGTTACTATCCATCAATAAATGATGACTAAATGTTCCAAATACACAAATTCTAAATTTTGTCAATGAGATATAAATTTGCATCTGAAAATCTTAATAACCATATGTTTCACCATTGCAAGGTTGATTAGAGAAGCACCGATATTGTTCAAATTGTCAAACTTAAATTTAAATGAAAATTAGTATTCAAAGCCTATAAATATTGTAGGCTTGCTACCATGCCTTCTCACATTAGTGAATTTGTTGCAATGACATCATCTCAAAATGTTGTTGGTACTTTATACTGAACGGAGACACCAATTCTGAGTATTATTTTAGGTAATCATTATTCATTTGATCCATCAGTAATGTAAGCTACATAAATGCATATGACAGGACTAGAATCAACAGTGGTAAGGACAGATATGCAGCCGGGGACCATACAAGCACAGGAGACAGCAAAGCTCGACTCATAAAATACTGTACACAGTAAGGAAGACAAAACTATGAAAGAAAAATCAATTATGTATAATTTATTATGTATTAAGTTATAGTAAAAAAATAACATTGTTAACATAAATTCCAAAATCAAGGGGAATAATTCTGGAAATAGTCACGCTAGAGTTATGAACCTTAACACAACATGTGTGTAATGATAAGAAATATATGTTTGAAGTAGATACTTTAAAAAGTAAAGAAGTTATAATATTTCTTAAGAAAATTCTAAGTTCAAATAGAGATAAATCTGTAAATATTGCTTCAAGAGTTATGAACCTTGTCACATAAAATGTAATTGATGATAAGGATTAAGTATTTGAAGTTTGAGGTACATACCTTTAAAACAAAAGAAGTTATAGTAAAAAATAACATTTTTCCATTAAGAAAAATCTAAGTTTATTGAAAGATAATTCTTGCAATATTGATGCTAGAGTTATGAACCTTGTCACATAACATGTGGTTAATGATAAGGTACATATATTTGAAGTATGAAGTTGATCCCTTAAGAAATGAATAAGTAACAGTAAAAAATAATATTTTTTAAGAAAAATTCTAAGTTCAAGGGGAGATAAATCTAAAAATGTTGGTGCTAGAGTTATGAACTTTGTCACATAAGATGTGGTTGATGTCTTGATGATAAGGAACATATATTTGAAGTATGAAGTTTATCCCTTCAGAAATAAAGAAGTAATCGCAATAAATAGTATTTTTTAAGGAAAATTCTAAGTTCAAGGGGAGATAAATCTGAAAATATTGGGGCTAGAGTTATGAACCTTGTCACATAAGATGTTGTTGATGATAAGAACATATATTTGAAGTTTGAAGTTGATACCTTAAGAAATGACAAAGTTATAGTGAAAAATATTTTACTGCACCAAAACTTTAATCTAAAATCTGGACGCGGATTATGCCCGATGCCGGGGCGAATAGGACAGCTCTCTATATACTTCCTATAGTCAAGCTAAAAACAACAACACAGTATATGTATATAAATTAATTGTATTTTATTTATACATTATGTCTATCTATTTCTAGTGGATGAGATCTAGAAAAACAAAAAAAAACAATGTGTGATGTGAAAATTCATCAAATCTTACAAAATTTTTTACTTTCCTTACAATTTAATTTTTTTTAAATGCCTACTGATACAAGGTAATATTGTAAAGCTTTCATTAATTGTATAATATAATATGCAAATTTGAACAAAATACAAAAACAGGACTATTCTGAGAGATTTAATTGGTAACTGACCTTTCTACACTTAATATCAATTAAGTATTGTTCAATTTATTCTAATTCCAATAAACAGCAAATAAAACACATCAATTTATAGTTAATTTACCTCTAAGAAGATACAAAGTTATTGACATTCTTCCAAGATGAAGCAAATTAAACAGGTATATAAAGTACTCTTCTGAGGAAAGGTAACATGAAACAAGCTGACTGGCTTAAATCTTTGCATGAATTAAGATTACAAAACTTGTATGAGACAAGCAAATATTACAGGAATTATGGACTTGAATATTTATGACGCTTTATGAAATAAATGCATTTTTCTTCTCTTACAGGAAAATCAATTTTGTGAATAAATAACATATAACTATACTGCTTTACATTCAAACAACACGAATAATTTAAGAATGACCATACATATAATTTAAATGGTCTGTATCATAAACTGTCATATAATAACATCAGGTTGATCAACAATTCATTTCTTGAAAAAAATTCCCCTTAAGCCCTTAACCTGCTATAACTGAAAGTAATTAGCCTTTACCACCAGTACAGATCCAGGCCAGGCTGCATACTTTTGTCAAGTCTGACCAGGCCCTATATTGTTGGTGGCTAAATTTTTGCATTTTCAGCTCTTCTATACTGAAATCCTTTGAGCTTCAAATGGACTGTTCAAAACTCAAATGTAAAACAAAATTTAGCAGATTAAGGGTTAGTGTGGCAGGAGAAAAATTTAGTGAATTTACCTAAAGAAACATCTAAAAGGAATTCTTAGATCCCAATTTTAAACTTGCATGATAAGAATCACTCAAGGGTGTTAAATCAACAATTTAAACATATTGTTACATGTTGAGTCAGAAACCTTACATCCAGACTTTCTATTAGAGTGATTGTATACAATGTATATAAGTGCTAATGGTACAAAGAAATTGATAGTATATCTCATCTGAAATCGAAATAAAAAAAACCCTGAGATATAGAATCAAAATAATACAGTGTATTAATTGAGGCATTGTACCATTTACAATATCCCTGTCATTATATCTCTTTCTATTAATGTTAATGGCAGAGCTAATTTTGTTGTCTTAGTCTTATATAATGATCTCTCTTTGAATAATTTGGTAAAAGGCACTTCACTTTACTGGTAATAAGGATCAATATAACAGTGCTGTTGCAAACTTAAATAACGAGAGTAGCTAAGAGGGGGTTATATTGCAAACAGTCATTTATATTTGGCCAAATAGCCTATTAAAGATCTTTCAAACCAATTTATAATACTGCATAATTTGTTTCTATCATTACAATAGAAAATTGTACATAAATTTGCATCAGCTGGTAGCTGATTATCATTATTATCCGATGAAAATTGATGCTACAAACTGAAACATGCAGTATTATAATTACCCATAAAGAGAAAAAGTAGATAAATTTAGAATTCATTTTTGTAGTACTGTAAGTTAAACATTATTACAGCAGTGTGTGAAGTGGAAAATATATGAAAGATGTGTATGTTTATCAAATTGTAATTCGAAATATCGACTATTTCAACATATTTTTACTGAGAAACAAAAAAAACCAACAAAATAACAATTATCCTTACTGAAGTTTTCCAGATTATTCTAAAAACCATGATAGTCATTTTTTTATACATCATATACATTTACTGATACAGGGTTTAATAAAAACCCTCTATCTATTACAAAAAAGTACAAATGTAAATCTTAACATTATATTATGCCATAAATGACCTATATTAGAATTTGTTCAATCAAGAAACATTTATTATAAATAGTTACATGATTGTTTGATCATTTCTATTGATGTAAAGATCTATATTTATTTATAAATAACTAAATAAATAAATGAATAATGATATAAAGTATACAGTCTTCTATCAGTGAGATAAACATGTATATCTAGACTTTTACTGTATCTTAGTAAAACTTAATTATTTTCGCTAGTATTTTTTCAGTCCTGAAAGCTTGTTCATTTTTCTAAAAGATGTAACATTTGAAACATAAATGTGATTTTGTTCATATTCTGTGGAAATATTATGAATGTATCACAATGTAGCGAGATATATTTCATATTCAATCAAAACAAACACATATTCTCTATACTTTGCTATAACTAAAGCCACTTGTTTAATACTAGCTGATGTCAAAATAGAATTAAAGATATTTTTTCATAATATATAACATGTAATAAGATTTTAACAACTGAAATTAAATTAACAAAAAGATCACATTGCATTCACATGCAGGTAAATTAATAAAAAAAATGTGTTAAAGATAAAACAAATTGGCAAATGAAAATTAAAACTTTGGCATGTCAGCTTGTATACAAATATCTCGTAGATCTCTTTAAAGTAAAATTCAATAAAAACATAAAAAGTGCAACATCATCATGTTTTACAGACAACCCACTGAATACCACTGCACTGACTCCTGGTAAATTCCTTCAATATACAAAAAGGGGACCAGTCTCAAAAATGGAGCTTTACCATTGGCTGATTTCAAATATAATCTCTAAAATAAACCAATCACAAGGCTGAGATTAAAGGAGATCTACTGCTTTAACTCAGTAGATAAACAAGAGCTGTCACAGGAGACAGCAAAGCTCGACTAATAAAATACTGGACGCAGTAAGGAGGACAAAACTATGAAAGAAAAATCAATTATGTATAATTATGTATTAAGTTATAGTAAAAAAATAACATTTGTTAACATAAATTCCAAGATCAAGGGGAATAATTCTAGAAATAGTCATGCTAGAGTTATGGACCTTGCCACACAACATTTGTGTAATGATAAGAAATATATATTTGAAGTTTGAAGTAGATACCTTAAAAAATAAAGAAGTTATTATATTTCTTAAAGAAAATCCTAAGTTCAAAGAGAGATAAATCTGTAAATATTGCTTCAAGAGTTATGAACATTGTCACATAAAATGTAATTGATGATAAGGAATAAGTGTTTGTAGTTTGAGGTAGATACCTTTTAAAATAAATAGGTTAAAATAAAAAATAACATTTTTCTAGTAAATAAATCTAAGTTTATGGGGAGATAATTCTTGCAATATTGGTGCTAGAGTTATGAACCTTGTCACATAAGATGTGGATGATGATAACGTAAATATATTTGAAGTATGAAGTTGATCCCTTTAGAAATAAATAAGTTACAGTAAAAATAATATTTTGTATGGAAAATTCTAAGTTCAAAGGGAGATAAATCTGTAAATATTGGTGCTAGAGTTATGAACCTTGTCATATAAGATGGGGATGATGATAACGTAAATATATTTGAAGTATGAAGTTGATCCCTTAAGAAATAAAGAAGAAACCGTAAGAAATAATATTTTTTGAGGAAAATTCTAAGTTCAAGGGGAGATAAATCTGAAAATATTGGTGCTGGAGTTATGAACCTTGTCACATAAGATGGGAATGATGATAAGGTACATATATTTGAAGTATGAGGTTGATCCCTTAAGAAATAAAGAAGTATCAGTAAAAAATAGTATTTTTTAAGGAAAATTCTAAGTTCAAGGGGAGATAAATCTGAAAATATTGGTGCTAGAGTTATGAACCTTGTCACATAAGATGTGGTTGATGATAAGGAACATATATTTGAAGTTTGAAGTTGATACCTTAAGAAATGACAAAGTTATAGTGAAAAATATTTTACTGCACCAAAACTTTAATCTAAAATCTGGACGCGGACGCGGACGCCGACGCCGACGCCGACGCCGGGGCGAGTAGGATAGCTCTCCATATACTTCGTATAGTCGAGCTAAAAATCTGTTAAGAAAAAAGTGTTATGATTAAAAATGCTTTTAAAATCTTTTCAAATACATACTATAAATATAACTTTATAAATCAAGAGTTATTGTTACAATAGGTCACCTGTAAAACAACAATGAAATGTAAAATGTGCTTTACTAGATTCTTACATGGCACTGGACTAAATTTAACAACCAAAACAAAATAAAGGCAACAAAATATTTATAAAAAAGCTTACACAAATTCTTGTTTGTTTTCTAAACAGTTCTCAATGATTTGTGACATTTGGAATTAAATAATTATAATATACCAGTAATATAAATAAATAGCTAACCATGAAAATTTGGACGGAGTAATTGTAGAGATAAACCTCTGTAATATTTTGTTTATAAAATAATAATCTGAAGCTAAAATTTACTTGTAAGAAAAAGGTCACTTTATATTGCCTTACTACAAGAAGGATAAATAAAGTTTCTATTTAAGATTGCGTTTAAGTTGAACTAAAAGTATAAAGCACTTAAAACTATATGAATAATTTATGTCAATAAATATACAGTATGTAACATTAACTATATCTTATGATCATGATTCGAGTATACACATAATATGACATATAACTGTTTAAACATATCACAGACAGTTTGTAAAAATCACTAACATTTATTGAATTTCACAAAAATTTGACATCTCAACACTTTTCAACCAATCAGAAAGACTGTTACAAAATCACCTCCTCAATATCATCATCAAAATTGTCAATAGCATTTACTGTTGGTCGTGTATGAAAAGTGGTAGTCGGTTGCTTTGGTCTCCGTGGTAATGAGGCATTTGAATGAACTTGAGACTTACGTAAATCCTCGTCATTCACAAATGCACTTCCGCCTCCAAATAATGTAGCTGAGTTCTCACGATTTGTTTTAAACAATGAACCAGACTGTTTGCGATTTGAAATTCCATCGTCCTCCCATGGTAATGTACTATGTGACTGATTACTTTTCTTTGCTGGAGGTTTTGAACTTGAAAATATGTCATTATGTTTAGGACCATCATTGTCTTTAGAACCAAATAATTCTGCCATTAATTTAGATTTTTGCGCTGGTTTCGCTGGAACTGTGCTTGTAGTCTTCGAGTCGTCATCATCAAATAAAGAAAATGTTTTTGATGTAGAAGTAGAGTTTGCAACAGGACGTCTTTGGGCAAACGTTGGGTTATATCCACCAGTTTCAATACTATCAGTGTCCCTTCGACGACCCACATTCGTACTTTGACTTTTATTTACACCAAAAAGTACATTAGCATTATCATCCTTTCTTGCCGGTTTACCTTTATGCAAGTTTTCTATAGGTTTTGAGAAAGTGTAACTCTTTTTACTACTTGCCATTGAGTCCTGACTATCTTCCTTATGCTCGGTAACAAAGAAGCCGTCATTACTGAAAGGATCTTTCTTTTTATCTTTCTTCTGACCTTGACCACCTTCATCAATTTCACGTAATTTCTGTAATATTTCATCCTTTTTCTTTCTCTCTGCCTGTATAGAAACATCATCTTCAAATCGTTTTCGTTCCTCCTCCATTCGTTTACGTTCCTCTGCTGCCCGTCTTTCTTGCTCTTGCCTCTCACGTTCACGTCGCTCTCTTTCCTCTCTTTCTCGTTTTTCCTTCTTCATCCTTTCTCTATCTTCACGTTCTGCTTTCTCCCTCTCCCTCTGTTTTCGTTCCTCTGCATCACGTTTCATTCTGTCTCTTTCTTCTCTCATTCTGCGATCCTCAGCCTCGCGTTCTGCCTGAGCATTCATTTCTCTTTCCCGTTCTTCATATTCTCTTCGTTCCGTTTCTTGCATTTCCCGCATTTCTTCTTCACGACGCTCATCTTCCTCCTTCATTTTGCGTAGCTCCTTCTCTCTCTTCATTTTCTCATGTTGCTGAAATAAATATAATATATATTTGTTATTGAATGATGAATCAACATCTAATCACCTAATAACATATGTTTAACCCTTTTTACAATATATACATTATATACACAAGAACATTAATTGTATATACAAATTGCATATTCACACGCTGGTTGTTGAAACTTTTGCAAATGGTACTAAAGGTTTTTTTAAAGCCATAGCAAAAGCATTAAACATACAATACCATCATTTTATAGCCTTAAAATATTATTTCCCATTTGTATACAAATTTCTGATTTTTTTTTATTTTATTTTTTTTGTAATCAACAAATAATTTTTAAAAATTCTAATTACAGTTTGTTTTTCCTGGCTTTTATGCCGATTTAAAATAAAACTTTGGTAATAACTCAGTATCTCAGTAATATCAGCAATGAGAGACAAGTGACCATTAGACTAAAAGTCCCAGGTCATTGTCACAGAGATATCATGCATTGTCTGAGGTTCGAACCATTGACCCCTGGATTACTTATCTGATGCTCTACTGTTTGAGCTAAAAAGGGCAGACTTCTCATTATTGATATATAAAACATTAAAGTATGTAAACAGGAAAAATAACTGCATTTTTTGTTTTTTTTTAAACAGAAACAAAGTGACTAAATATTTAAGATGTTTCTTTCCATCAATTTCACTTTTAACATTCTTTATTGATATATCTGTCAGTAATGAAGACAGTTTCACATTTTGTGAATTCATAACTTAAAAAAACACAATACAAATGCTTAAAAACATACTTAAGGTGGATTACAGACACTTAAAGCAAAAATAATTTGCAAATTATGCCATATCAAAAAAAAATCAAAACACATGAAATTAACACAAATTTGATAATACACATGTAAGTATTAACATTCAATATCAAGAAAATAAATCACTTCAAAAAAACAATTATATGATAATCAAAACCTGACGACAAAAAGACAATACAATTGATCTTGTTTCCAGATTAGGTCAGTATTTGTTGTTACCAAAATTAGATCTCCAACCATTAGTCTCTGAAGATGTAATAATTATAAGCTAAAGAAGTTTTTCTATACAACTGTAGTTGGTTTTTCCCTTTATGGCTGCCAACTAGCTAAGAAAAGACTGTTTAACATAATTATCTTTGGTTTTGTTAATATAACTACAGAAAATCTTTTTATAAAAAACTTGTAACAAAACTGACAGAATGAATCAGTGTCACCAAAAAGAAACCTAAGACAATTAATGTCTTATTTTTGACCATATAAAAGTATATGAAACCCTGTCTAACAAACAAAAAGTGATTAGCCTAATTTGCCGTAAGTATAGAGCCTGTCCAGCCAGAACATATATATGTTTGTCAAGTCCAACCAGGCAATATACTGATGGTAGCTCTATGTATTTTGATATTGTAATCACCTAATCTTCAAATAGACTATTCCAAATTCAAAGCAGGGTAAACCATTACATAGATTTAACTGGTTAAGGGTTAAATAAAAGGTTTAAACCCAAGAATTATAATTCAGATATCAAATATACACAATACCATCCATAAATACCTGTACAACTCTTGCAAAATTGCCTTTTGGCTAACATACAAAAACATCTATTTTAAAAACACCCAATGCATCAAGAGTATAAGGTTAGTAAATATAAATATGTTTGATCTTTTTAAAAGATCCTGTAAGTTGTGATCAAAGTAGTAAACCACACTAAGTGAAATCTTTTATATGTACATAATTATGCAAATAAAACAATTTTCAAACATCGAAGCATATGTAAAATATATTCTGCAAATATTTGTGCATATTATATGTTATCAATATGCATTCATTTCTTATTGTAAAATTTGACTTAAACTTTATAGAAAATTTAAAAAATTTATTACCTCCCTTTATTTACATGAAGTGTTAAATTCAGTTATATCTTTATAAATAATGCTTTTTGGAACCTACAATATTGATAAATCTTAATTTGAGCATATGATTTAAAACCATAAAAAAATTGTGTTACAGGATCTTTAAGAAATATTCTACATTTATCAAATCTACTGTTAGTTAAAATAAACTGATGCAGTAAATATAGAAGACATGAATAAATACTATGTATATCAACCCAATACAATATTCCAGAGGTGTAAAGGTATTTATATATGGCACTGTACATTATGCATATAACATTGCTTTTCTATTTTTAAAAGAACATTATACCCATAGAATAGCATTTTTCCAATTACAAGAGATACTACTATGTTTTTCTACATCAAATAATTTGAAAATTTCATGCAATAAAACATCCCATATTTAGTCAAGTTTTCAACCTGTTCTCCTGTATTAGATATTTTCTACTTAATATGTAAATGTATACCATCTAATATATGAAAAATATTGAATGAGTGTAAGTTTAATTCCGAATTTATTGAACAAGTTGAATAAAACTACATTATGCTAGCCTCTGGCAAGCATAATACTGTATTATTTTTTTAAGAATTATTCAACAAGTTCAATAAATTCAGTAATGAATTTACACAAATTTAATATTCTATTTATCACATACCAAAAATAACGACCGTTTGAAGTGAAAAAATACCATTTTTGACAGCCGTGCAATACCATTTTTACAGAGTCACAAAAGCGGCATAGATAGGTGATAAAAAAATTTGAGCCGCGTCACGACAAAACCAACATAATGGGTTTGCGACCAGCATGGATCCAGACCAGCCTGCGCATCTGCGCAGCCTGATCAGGATCCATACTGTTCGCTATCACTTTCTCTACTTGTTATAGGGTTTGTAAGCGAACAGCATGGATCCTGATCAGACTGCGCAGATGCGCAGGCTGGTCTGGATCCATGCTGGTCGCAAACGCACTATGTTGGTTTTGTCATGGCGCGGCTCATTTCTGTTTTTCTGATTAACAAGTCAATATGAACAGTAACAACAAGACAGAACATAGAGTAAGCATGCTAATAATAGAGTGTGATATCTTACAGCTGATTGTTTGTCATCATAGTCCACAAATAGTCGTCTCTGATCATATACAATAAAACAGGGAAACCAATTATATATCTTCACTCTATTTAAACATCCTAGTCAGTTAAACAAAATTGTCTATTTTAATATCTTTCAATTTCAATATTAAGATGGGAGAGGAGACTCATAAGCTTTCAAAGCTTTCTGCACAATCCCAAAATATTGTTCATCATGCAAAATGTAAATATATCGAATGAATATGTTTAAACCAATATCAAGATCAAAATTAAATAAATCTTTGTTAAACCCATACTATGCTATCTTAAACAGACTTGTCCATTGTTCAATCTAGTACAAAATCATTTATCAATTCTATGGAAAAAAAAATCCCAAAAAGTAATGACTGAATAGCTAACAGTGCAGACCATGATGAGATGGCCTAGATGTGCCAGCTGATCATAGCCTGTACTGGTCACATGGGTAGGATCAGCTGCTGCAGAGTAAGGGTTACTGAAAAGTCTAAAGAATGTGTTGCAGTATCTATAGATCAACTAAAAATAGGGGAAGATAAATAAACTCATGAATGAAATGAAGAACTTTTATGTTAAAAAGTTAACAATCTAATTCCTAAAATGCATGGCTTTAATGTTTAAATAATTTATATATGTCATGAACATGTTATATGTACACACCTGTTTTAGTTCACGCTGCCGTCTCAATTCTTCACGTCTTTTGTCCTCCATTTGTTTTGCTCTGTCTCTCGGTGTCATTTTGTCAGTCTCTGACAAAGATGGTCTTCTTCTCCGTGGAGGGGGAGTGTTATGAGGCGTACCATTATAGGAGTTAGGAAGACGATGGGGAGGTTTGGCTGCACGATTTGCATAAATATTCTTCATCTGAATCTCTTTATCTTTTTCCTGTATAACAGAAAGTTGATATCCTTAATGAACTATTAATTACATAGAGTTTTTAAAAAAAGCTTTTCAAGCTTCCTACTTTAAATCTGTACAATTTATTATTTGTCAATTATCATGTAAATGAAATGTTTATAAATAAAATATTGTTTAAACTAACTATATAATTCATCAAATGCTGTTTTTATCAGTAAAATATTATTTATTAACACTATCTTAAATTCAATTCTCTTGAAGTAAGGGATATGCACAATACCTAGTGCCGGAGAAAGTTGAATACAGCCTAATGAAACACAAAATCCTAAACTAATTGTTTAAATCAAGCATTTTTACATAAAGAATATAATGAAAGAAAGCAATTAGCATAGAATGAAAAACACTGAATTTTCATTTTAATGTCTTGTGCAATTGTTTTTCACTTGTCTGCAAGCTACATTCTTTAATTCACTTCAAAGAAATAAATATCTGTTGCACACATAATTATAAAATTAGACAGGGAACAGAAGTCCAGGCAAACATTTCTTTAAGATTAGTCCTGGTAAAAGGCAACACAGGTCTATATTTACAGGTGGTCTCTGACATTATGTCAATTTGTAACAAGATATGTTTGTAAAACATGTATGCCCCCTATTAGCAGCCAATTAGTCATGTGAAAAGGTTATTAAGCATGACTTCTGACCCAGTGATCAAACAATTAATAAGGGTTATCAAGTATCTACTGGTCATGACCTTAACCTTTGACCCCTTGACCCAAAACTCAATAGGGGTCATCTGCTGGTCACGACCAATCATCATACAAAGTTTGAAGTTCCTAGGCCTAAGCGTTTTTAGTTAATTGATCGGAAACCGTTTTAACATACAAGGTCAATGTGACCTTGACCTTTGACCCCTTGACCCAAAATCAATAGGTCATCCGCTGGTCATGACCAATCACCATACCATGTTTGAAGTTCCTAGGCCAAAGGGTTCTTAAGTTATTGATTTGAAAGCATTTTTTTACCTACAAGGTCAATGTGACCTTGCCCTTTGACCCCTTAACCCTAATATCAATAGGGGTCATCTACTGGTCATGACCAATCACCATACCAAGTTTGAAGTTCCTAGGCCTAAGGGTTCTTTTAGTTATTGATCGGAAACCGTTTTTACCTAAGAGGTAAATGTGACCTTGACCTTTGACCCCTTGACCCCAAAATCAATAGTGGTCATCTACTGATCATGACCAATCACCATATCAAGTTTGAAGTCCCTAGGCCTAAGGGTTCTTTCGTTATTGATCAGAAACCGTTTTAACCTACAAAGTCAATGTGACCTTGACCTTTGACCCCTTAACCCCAAAATCAATAGGGGTCATCTGCTGGTCATGACCAATCACCATACCAAGTTTGAAGTTCCTAGGCCTAAGGGTTTCTTTCGTTATTGATCAGAAATCGTTTTTACCTACAAGGTCAATGTGACCTTGACCTTTTGACCCCTTAACCCAAAATCAATAGGGGTCATCTGCTGGTCATGACCAATCACCCATACCAAGTTTGAAGTTCCTAGGCCTAAGGGTTCTTTTGTTAATGATCAGAAAACCGTTTTTACCCAAGAGGTCAATGTGACCTTGACCTTTGACCCCTTGACCCAAAAATCAATAGGGGTCATCTACTGATCATGACCAATCACCATACCAAGTTTGAAGTTCCTAGGCCTTAAAGTTCTTTAGTTATTGATTGGAAACCGTTTTTTGCTTACAAGGTCAATGTGACCTTGACCTTTGACCCCTTGACCCCAAAATCAATAGGGATCATCTACTGATCATGACCAATCACCATACCAAGTTTGAAGTTCCTAGGCCTTAAGGTTCTTTAGTTATTGATCGGAAACCGTTTTTGCTTACAAGGTCAATGTGACCTTGACCTTTGACCCCTTGACCCCAAAATCAATAGGGATCATCTACTGATCATGACCAATCACCATACCAAGTTTGAAGTTCCTAGGCCTTAAGGTTCTTTAGTTATTGATCGGAAACCGTTTTTGCTTACAAGGTCAATGTGACCTTGACCTTTGACCCCTTGACCCCAAAATCAATAGGGGTCATCTACTGGTCATGACCAATCACCATACCAAGTTTGAAGTTCCTAGGCCTAAGGGTTCTTTAGTTATCACTCGGAAACCATTTGGTCTACGGACCGACGGACCGACAAGTGCAAAGCAATATACCCCCTTTTCTTCGAAATGGGGGCATAACAATTGTCAAACTGATTAACTGAGCTGCAATTGCAATCTTTTGAACACAATTTGTTTATGCAAACTCAATGAAAAGTTTCAGCACTTTGAGTGTAATGATTTGCTTGCGAAAAGACTTCATGCATATTGATAAAAAACAGATACATTGATTGACACACAAAATACAAATAAAAGCATACAAGGTGTATAAATGAAAGATCAGCCGTTTACTGACAAAATGACCATATAAAGCATTTGAAAACACACAATAAAACCATTTAGTTTTCAATTCATAGATGTTTAACAATCAGTGGACAGTAACATTAATTGTGGATTTGTGTGACCAACATATTGTTAATTTACAGCTTTGCGACATTATTTCACACACAAGCTGGCATTTATATAGGTTTGTTGACCGGCTTCTATAAGCTAGCTAAATAGCTTCCTACCTAAATTATTTCCCAGCAAGGAAGAAAAATCAATAGTCCAATGAGGGAACCAAAACCACGGCAAAAATAGACCATTGAAAAGAAGTCAATGATTGTCAGTCAGTGCTTTTAACCATTCAGTCATACAGGTTTGTTAACAGCAAATGTAGTAATATGTTTTCATTGATAAGCAAGACACATTTAGGAAAATTATCATACTTCATGTTTATTTACCTTAACTGTAGAATTAAGTTTTTCATTTTCTTCCCTGAGTTGTGTTAACTGTTGTTGAGTGTCTTTGTGTCTCGCTCGTTCTATACCAAGTTGATGCCGGTGATTCTTCTCCAAGTTCTGTATATGTCTCTCTAATTCCTAGTTCAACAATATAGAAAAAATAAAATGTGAGATTCAAAGCTGGACTTTAATTGGAGTGGAGTGCAGATATTAGTTGGAGTGGAGTGCAGATATTAGTTGATATTAGTTACCTGCACTCCAGAGCATACCCATTGATTGGCTCATTTTTTCTGGGGTTTACTTATTGTGACGGCAGAGAATGGGATAGCAATAGAAATATCATATTTAGATGGTCATTCATTGGTTACTTTTTTCTGGGGTTTCATATTGTGACAACAGGGAACGTGTTTATATTATTGTCTATGATACAAAAGAAAAAGAACATTAAAACACTTAGCAATCTGTTTTATGCCCTCTCATACAAATCAGATAGTCTTATGGTTTGATTCTTTTTCTATTACATGTATAATATGCAATGTATGTATAAAAAAATTATTGCAACAGTCACTTTCTTTACACAACAGGAAGTTTGTTTGTTTGTTTCATTTTACGCCTTTTTCCAACAGTATTTCAGTCATATAGGCGGGTAGTTTCCTAACCATTGTTCCTGGAGAGTTACACCAGTACTAGACTACCTTCCTCCGCGCTAAACTACCAAAGCATCTCCCGGGGATCGAACCCACACCAGAGAGGTAACTGAATTAGAAGTCATCGACTCTAACCCCTCCACCACAGAGGCGGTCACAACAGGAAGTAAAAGAAAATAGACTCTGAGTATAGACAACTTGTAAGAAATGTAATACATGTATACAATTACTTGTCATATATTTTCATGAACATTTTCACTTTAATATTGAATAAATATTCAACTGTGATACTGTTTTCTTAATAAAAAATTATCTAATCTGAAAATCTTTTCAGCCTTATGTAGACAAATCATTCATATCTAATCAATTTTTTACAGTTAATTTAATCTTCATAAGCTAACAGGTATAAAGTGAATTTGATAAATGCTTCTATACAAATAGCAAGTTAATGCAAATGCAATCAAAGAAGTATTTTCAAGTACAAAATACCATTAAACCAAATCTTTCAAGCGTTTTACCATAGAGACTGTCACCGTAGCCCTAAATCAGCTAAACTGGCATAACAAATTTTCTTGCTTAGAATTTGGAAAAGTTCAATCACAGCTTAAAGGCTTTTCAATATAGAAAATCAAAAATTGAGCTATCAACCGAATAGAGCCTCAGTTAAGTTGGCCTGGTGCTAAACTGGTGGGGAAGGTAAATCACTCTCAGTTCCATCAGGTTAAGGGTTAGGATGTTTTTGTTTTTTTTTAACAAGGGCAGTAAGTAATTTCAAGCAATATGAAGCAAACTATGTCTGTATCTGATTTCAAAAATTATAAAGTTACTCAACTATTGCCAATTCTAAACTATACACAGTATAATTTTTTTTTTATGTAATCTATACTATACCGCAAACAACCTTATATTTGGCATTATTAATATACATTTCAGTATCTGTTTAGCTTCTGATAAAACTTCCTAAGAAAATTTTCTTACCTTGACTTTAACATCTTTTGCTTCCATGTCAAGCTCTGCATTATGCAATTTTTTGTTAAGTTCTGATCTTTCTGGTAAATCTTTTTCATCTGCTAATGTTTTTAATTTTTTAAGTTTCGATTTTGCTTTTTCTAATTCGTCTTCTGCATCTCTGAGGTATCTATCAGTTTTTTCATATTTTTCCCGCCATTTTCTTATCTGATCTTTTAAACTCCTAACTTCATTATTTTGTCTTTGAATTAATTGAGGAAGGTCACTTTCCCTGTCCTCAAACTTTTGGAGGGCTTTATCGGCCCGATGTTGTGTTTTCTTTAACAATTTATTCTCATCCTTGAGATCTTTGAGCTGTAGCAGAAGTTCTTGATTCTGGTTTTGTATTTCGTTAATTTTGAGTCTGCGCGCAGAGAGAACACGTTTGGTGATATTGTCAACACGGCTGGTATCATGACTGTTACGTCCAAGCTGACTGAAACGTCCCTTTCCACGACCACGTCCACGATTTGATCGATCTAAAATATAATAGGTCATACCTTTTTTTAATACTGATTCTTAATAAAAGAACTAATTGCGGCAGTTTAAACCATAAACTTTTAATTCTTATTTGTTTCCAATTATTTCATTGTGCCAAAAAAAAAGCAGTAATGCTGACAACTACAAGAAGAAACTCAATATCAGATATTGCTATGGTAACATGAATCTCAATTAGCACCATATCAAGTCTGCAAAATAAACAACATTGTCCCGATTGGCTGGAAGTAACCAGGAAAATATTTGTTACCTAATACTTCTATTGAAATGTGAAAATTATTGGAATATAATAAACATCATGTTGTTTCTGTAACACTGCAACATCATTTTTTACTGATCATTTTAGAAACACCGTAATATTCTGAGTGTATCTGAACATATCTTCTGTACATACTAATCTACTATCAACATTTATTGCATAAAACTGAAATAAAAACATTATGAATGTCAAAATTTAAAAAATATAAAAAAACAAGGTTAGTTTATCTCAATATCAAAAGGACTGTGCTGGTGAGGGAAAGAAAAATTTTGGTGAAAGGTAACTAGGAATTGTGGGATATGTTAACCTTTATCTTTATCTAATCAAACTATACACTGACATAGAATCCTCCCAATCAGAAAGATATTTCTTATGTTATCATGATCAATCAATCAATCAATCAATCAAACAATCAATCATACAATCAAACAATCAATCATACAATCAATCATACAATCAATCAATCAATCAATGTATACATCTCAACATCATGTATAGGTAACATTCATTTAATATTTTTTTAATCTAAGCACCCTTGTTGTCAAAGTTGGTTTTTGCACATTTCCCCTTCTCATTATACATTTTGTTTATCATACTGGTATCTTTTATGATAAAGACACATTTTATCAATGTTTACATGCTATTTTGATGTTTATATCATACCATAATTATATGACTGATTGGCCAAAGAGTTTAAAAATGTCTTCTAAATACATCTTTTATGAAGCTTTTATTTTACACTTTAGTCTGATTCCTGGAACTTACTAGGAAGAAACATGGTTGTGACCACAGTAAGACTTAATTAAAAACATTATCCCTTGACAGGCAGACACCTAAACCACTAGGCCACTGTCCTCTTAAATAGGACATCTTAAGTCATTAATTAACTGGCTGCTATTGAATGTTAATAAACTCATTAATTATTTGACTCTCTTATATTACATTAATATATTATAACCTACCAGTTGATGGTCCGGTGTAAATGTTTGATACATCACTGATAATTCTTGAGGACAAATCCCCTGGGTAGGAACGCTTACTCCTCACCATTATTATATTTCTTCAATCCAATTACATCCTTAATTACATTTTTATTAATCTCCTATCATTTTAAGCATATTTTTTACTTCAGACAATATTACTGTCAATCATTTTCAATACTTTGGAACTCTACTCACTACAAACTCCTTTAAATCCAAGAAAACATTTTTTAAACCAAAACACAATAGTTTTCATTTATCTATGTAATCAATAATACCCCAATAATTTTCAACATTATCTTAATTGTACCCAACTTAAAACAGTTTAAAAAGATTTAAGTAATACCATAATTATGTCAAGAAGAAGTCCAATACACGTACATATAATTGTTGCATTATTTGCTATGCCAGAAAAATAGAAAAAAAAAAATACAATAAATAAAATTAATTGTTGGAATTGTTTAAAAAAATCTACACCACCTTTTTCATCTTTTTCAATTAAAATTATTTACTATGTACTTAAAAAATTCCATTCTCTTTCATGTTAATACATGTTTGATAAAGTATGTTAAAAAGTTAAAATCTCTGTAGATAAGTGAAGAGCTTTTAAAATGTCAGGCTTAATTCTGAAAAAATTGATTGATCACTTTGGATTTTCAAAATACCTAAAATGCCACTTAACATTTTATACGAAGATTCTAACATTACTCCTTTATAAGTGTATTTAATCTAGAAAATTAACCTATATAATTATCAAAATCACAATTAATCAATTTGCTTAACACTATATTAAAACAGTTTATATGGACCATTTGTTGATTAGATGCCAAAAAAATCTGTAAATCAATGAATGCTATATTAATAACAGGCGATCAAAATATTCTGATAAGATTTTAAGATGGATTAACAATGTTACACGCATGGTATGTCCAAAATTTAACTTTTGTTATAGATCATTAGTTACTAACCCTTTCACTTATCAGGGTACAATAAACTTACATGTGTCCCAATTACCATTTAATTGCCAATAGATTGAAAAAGATGTGTATACTTAATTTAAACTATTTATTTAATTTATTGATTATCAATATGGTATTTTTATCATATTTTGGTCTGCATTTGAAAGTAATCAATTTATATTAACTTCATTCATTTTTTCTATAGTAACACAAGTTTTTATATTGCTATACACATGAAGTAGAAAATGCACATCCATCTGTTAAATTAAATTCCTGTAATTCTTAGAGATATCCCAGGCAATTTATTGATATTTATACAATATTACAGTTTTTAGCAGTCAAAGGTTATTGAAAATATATTTTTTAAGACACAAAAAATATATCAAAGAATGCAGAAAATATTCCATGTGTAAACTTTCCAAAAGCAGCATACATTTCCTGTCTACTTTGATATCAGACATCAATAAAACTGTCCTTCATGAGTTGTGCAAGGCATCTCATAAACAAGTAAATCAATAACGAAATGAAAAGAGATACCATTCTTTTCACCACATTTCTGGCCGCAGCCAATAACTATATAATATACAATCATTAATTTCTGTTTCATTTCTTTGAATGTCAAAGCCTTTAAAGTGAAGTCCTACATGATGAAAGGATCCCAATATAACTTGTTTTCTAAACTTACTCTCACAACAATAGGCTTATCAGTTGTACAATGGAGTTAACGTATATGTCGCCTTGCCCTAAATACTCCAACAAATGACCCATTTTATTCCATGAGCACTCCAAAAATATCAGAGACAATTTTGAGATTCCTTTTAAAAACTGAAAATCATTAAATTCCGAAATCAATCTACTTCTGCTTTCAACAAATCCACTCAAAAGAATACAGTGTTTCAGTGCATACTATTCACAAAAGAATAAACTTGTGAAACATTTAACAACAAAGAGTATGTTATGAAAGAATTCACACATAAAGGGCAGAAAATCTATATATTGTACAATTAATTATTGTATAATTGACCAATTTATTATTACAGTCAACTCCGGTTATAACGAACTCACTGAGACATTAAAATATCATTCGTTATATCCGAAGTTCGCTAAAAGCCAAGTAGCAACAACTTGCTGACTTGTTTGGATGGGGAAATTTGCTGTGAAAAAGCCATACTTTTCACTGGTTACCGGTGTAACCGGTATTTTACTGCAGCGGTTATTTAATGCTTATTTAATGCGGGGCATTTTATTGAACAATATATTATGTACATGGTACATATATTTATTCATGTATTACTTGTCTATAAAGTGCTTACAATTTGTTTTTTGCTATTTGTTTATTATCGTTTGGTTAATATTGCAAACATTTGGTAATTATCGGGTATTTACAGCAATCAACTAAGGGTGCGAAATACAAATTTTCCGTAACAAATAGGAAATTATGTTGTGAGAACATTTTATCAGAATCTTTATTCCCTGAAGCCATAACTAACCTGTGCAATCGTTCGATTATATAATTATCGGATAGCGTTATTCATGTACTGATACTAATCGAGCGCATCCCGATATTTCAATTATAACAGTTTGTTATAACAGAGGAAATTTACATGTTTTCCGTCATTTGGGGCTTGAAAAAATAGTTTGTTATAGCCGAAATTTCGTTATAAGTGAGTATGTATTAAGCGATGTGATTCAATATAAAATAAAGAAGGAATCGGCCAGGGATGTCAGATTTAGTTCGCTATTAAGGATAATTCGTTATAAGCGAGTTCGTTATAAGTGGAGTCGACTGTATATTAAATGTAACATTCAAGCTGTACTGGTAGACATAATTATGATCCCCTATAGACACTTGAATTCAGGCCAAACTGGCCAAACTGTGGCCACAATTGAGAAAAGTAACCCATTTTTGTGCTCTTGTACAGCTTCCTTGCTCTCTATAGGAATCTAACTCACTACATATGGTGCAAGTGTTTTGAAGTCAACAAGCACTGTGAAACCATTAATTTTGTATATTGACAGTGACTGATAAAGGAAGTAGTGTAATGTATTGAAAATATGTGAAAAAAAAAAAAATGAAATTTGACTGTTAGCAACAATCACTTCAGTTGTAAGTACAACATCATTTTACAATGTGCATTAGTCACTATGAGTCGGTGATACCTTGTTTATAAATTGTGTAGCAGTTAAACAACATACACCAGTCATGTTTTTATTACACAGTCAAGGAAGTTTATTCTGGGACGGACTTTCAGGCACACATACAGACTTACAGAACACCTTTTTCTGCGGACTTCTAGACCCCGCCCCTTTAGAACGAGGTGTGTTATAGTACGTAGACGCAACGATGTCAGTACCCTGTTTCAGGGTATTTGCTTCAGTATACTCTGATGTGAGAGACAATTTTGATATTGGTGTATAGCTGCCATTTTTTCTTGAGGTTGGAGTGAGGTAGCCCGAAGCAAGGGACATTCCCCCTCGTGCTTTCCTGTAAGTGTTATCGCCTGGGTCAACATGTGGGCGCTTGGTGTCGAAGAAATCGTCAGTTTCTGATATTATATGATAAATGATTTGTAGTCTGTCATACAGAAGTATTTGTATCATCTTTTTAAAAAAAGATATTCTATGAAGGGACATGTTTACATTTAAGTCACTTTATCTATGACAAGACCAGTCCATAGGATAGCACACTCAACTATACTTAATCAAGTGTGATGGCAACAGGGACACCTTGGTGAATACAGTAGCTCTCCATATTCTTCAAACAGTCAATCTAAAATGATCTTTTTCCAATACACAAGATTGTTTGTTAATGTATAAAATAAATCACTCAAAACTATGTCATGACATGGCAGACAACTGAAACAATTATATAAGTAAATGGCCATGTTTAAGTGATTTGATATGTAGAACTGGGAGAGTGTATAAACTTTTCAAAGCTAAGTGTCTTAAAGTAAAATTTTTTCAAACATTCCATTATTTGTGCCTTAATTTATAGAATTGTGATATTGGCTACTGTTTAATAATGTATTCCTGAACATTAATTAAAACAAGAAAAATGCCCCTATTAAAGACTTCACGGTAGTACATGTTGTACATTACAGTAAGCATACATTAATGTGAACACACTTTTCTATATAAATTGACACTAAAAATCCAGTCAACAATACTCAACTGGTCTTGTTAGTCTTTTCTATGTAAGCATAAAAGAAATAATTATGCAATAATGGTAATATCATTCAATCTTGCCTTAATAAAACATTAAAAGTATCTGTAGCAAAAGTTTATGTTCTTTAGTTTACTTTCTACAAATAGTTTACTGTGTACAGCAGAGCAATTTATTAGCATATATTTACAAATAAAACCTATAAGAAAACACTCACAAAACATTTCTTTAGCAACTACAAACAGCAATAAATAATATAAAATACTGATATATTTTTGCATATCAGATAGGATATTATACTGTTTACACTGATGCTAAAACCCACGTTATTAATAAAAAGAACTGGCCCTCTGACAATGTTATAAGCTTACAGCAGGCCACTATAGCTAAAATATCAAATATTCTTGACTTAATAACTAAACCATTAACAATTTACTATTCAAACTGTTTCTTCTAAGTAAATTTATAAAGAAAATTGCCACATAAAGCTCTTGTCTAAAAAAGTGCAAGAAGTCACTATATTAAACAAAATCATAATTGTGTAAAATAAATCTGTATTCAACAATACCCAGTAGAAAATTCCTTGATGAAATTGTAAACATGCGTTGGTGTAAATCATTTACGCAATTTGAAACAACATAATAATCATTAAAACATTTTTTTTATTAAATCTTCTTAATAAAAGAAGCATTTTGTTCTTCAATATTTTGTAATAAAAAAAAAATAAAAATTAATATCATTCTCATAAATTATAAAGACAATATTTTACACATACTTTGAATATTTTAGCAACAATTTCACATTACAAAAAATGTTATTTGATATGAAAATGACATTTTATTTTGTACTAAAAGCAAAATACACAGTACATATCATGCATTATAATATCATGCAAAGAAAGGTTATTATATAGCTATTCAAATATAGACATCATAAAATATTCAAACTCTGCAAGCACTAGGATCTATAGTCATAATGTTTTCCGATAATGATATTGTACATTTATGTATACTTATTAAAGAGCTAGATGGCATATAGTGTACAGTAAGTATTTACTGTAATAATTTGATCTATATTTTATATCAAGCACGAGGGTTTAACAAGTGCCAATATACAGGTTCTAATACATCCCCATATTTGTTAGTGATAACAATGCTCTTGAATAAATTTTTGCTTTATATCATAATCACACTTTACTATATACAAACAATTTTGAAGTATGTTTCAACATAAATGAAAGGCTGATAATAAATTTGAAAGCCAACTTAATGAAGCTAATCTTGCAAAAACAAGTCACTTTTAATGCATCTCTAGCACTTCATATCTACCTTCAGCTATACACTCAACAAAATTTAATGAGAACAATCATGTAAATGTACCGGTAATCAAAAGAAAATATTTAGGAACACTTCCTTGTTAACACCAATAAGGAAAAACATTTTAAATCCCTGTGGTAACAGTAAAAAACAGATCCAATTAAAGCTTGGTGTAAGAGTCATGTTTCTTGCTACCCAACACCCATTCTCACCCATAACAATTCCAATGTCCATCTACAGACTTTTATTTAAGTTAAAATTTCTTCGTCATTACTTCACATAGAATTTGGAACCTACTACCAAATGTCATATTAGGAATGTGGCACAGATACTAGAGCAGTATGCAGTACACAATGAAGTCAGATTTATTACTATTGTTTCTCTAAAGACCTGCTATCTGATGAGGTCTTATGCTTGCACCATGTTTTGACACAGTCTTTATAGTGTCCTAATGTCAGGGAATAGCACTGTGCTATAAGACTATGCGACTAACCAAAATTAGTACCGTATATTCAACCCCTCCCATTCCCCACCCCCCCACCTGATATTTTTTGTTCAATGAATCACAAGAGGGATAAATTGATAGTTCAGAAACTGACTGTTACACCAAGATATATAAAGAAGGAGGCAGGTACGTAGCAGGCTACAACAATACCAACTTACTGTAAATATTACTATCAGAATTTCTGGAATCTTTTGGACGACGAACCTCATGACCTGATGCTGTTTTCAAGAAAATTAATACATTTTAACCTTTTCAATTTCTTGTGAGTATTCAAATTTATCAAAAATGTTTAATACAAGCAGAACATAAACAAGAGCTGTCAGTAGGACAGCAACGCTCGACTATTCTTAGTGCTTGATAGTAAAAAAAATGCTTGATACAGTTACCTCCTCCTGTTTACAGGTTGGGGTCATGATGGTGAACAAGTGTGCAAAGTTTCAAAGCCATATGTCAATGGACTTTGAAAATATTTGAACTATTACAAAAACTTTAACATAAATTCTAAGTCGAAAAAGGGGCATAATTCTGTCAAAATGCTTGATAGAGTTACCTCCTCCTGTTTACAGGTTGGGGTCATGATGTTGAACAAGTGTGCAAAGTTTCAAAGCAATATGTCAATGGACTTTGAAAATATTTGAACTATTACAAAAACTTTAACGTAAATTCTAAGTCGAAAAAGGGGCATTATTTTATTCTGTCAAAATGCTTGATAGAGTTACCTCCTCCTGTCTACAGGTTGGGGTCATGATGGTGAACAAGTGTGCAAAGTTTCAAAGCCATATGTCAATGGACTTTGAAAATATTTGAACTATTACAAAAACTTTAACATAAGTGGTTACGCCGACGCCGACGCTCGGGTGACTGCAATAGCTCTACTTATTCTTATCGAATAGTCGAGCTAAAAATGTTATAAAGTTATATACATGTACTACTTCTTAGATTGACTTGTTTGATTTCTTAGTTAAGTTGATCTGAAAAAAATGCAGATCAAGACCAAATTATCCTGTTTCATACCAAAATCATTAAGCAAAACAGAAACTTTCTTAATGAATTTATACCTGTTCTATTCAATGGAGATTTTGTTTTGTAGCGTTTAGTTCCGACATCTGTAGCATCATCATCAAAATCATCACTGTAGTCATCATCGTCATCAAGGATGGAATCATACGGGCTCTTCGCTCTATTACGATGTGTCATAGTGGATAGTCAGCTTCAGTACACACCAGTTATCTTTGGTCCACAAACTTGTCAATTCATCCTGTTAAAAAATATTATTCCAAAATATATAATGTTCGCTATAATAAACAAGAGCTGTCCGTAAGACAGCGCGCTCGACTTTTTTATTGCTTGCCAATAAAAAAAGTTTTTGCAGTAAAAGGCAATACAAGAATCTCTGTATTTTTAAAGTGAACAATGGCCATGAGCATTAAGATATTTAGTGAAGAATTATTTTACTGAATTGTGTGATACCCTTGAACACTGCAGCAAAGTTTGAAATGTTTAAGTCAAAAGAGGGCTGGTAAGAAAGAAAAAAAAACTGAGTTGAGCCTTAAATAAATTTAATAGTATTAAACCCACTTTGAGAGAATAAGGTATTTTTACGTCACTCAGAACACCTTGGTAAATGACATAATAACATAATTTTTCAAGAAATCTATGCCAAGGAAGCAGTATATTTTTTGTACAATCAGCATAATAGGGCCATAATTCAAATAAAATCTTTGACAGAATTACCTTTCTCCTGGACATGTTTGGGAATCATGATTGTAAACAAGTATTCCAACTTTCAAATTAATATCTCAAACAGTTCAGTCAAAAAGTGGACTGGTACTAAAAAACTTAACCAAGATTCTAAGTCGATAAAAGGCCTTAATTTTTAAAACAAATCCTTGACAGAGTTACCTTCTCTTGCGTACAGATGGGGGTAATGATGTGAAATAGCATTAAAAGTTTCAAAGCAATATCTCAAAGGGTTAAGGCAATAAGTGGATTTTACCCATATTCAATGTATTTTCTAAGTCAAAAAGGGGCATAATTCTGTCAAAAACCTTGACAGAGTTATGTCCTCTTGTCTGTTGATGAAGGTCGTGATGGTAAACAAGTATGGTCAGTTTCAAAGCAATACCTCCAATGGTTTTGAAATAAAGTGAGGTGGTACAAAAAACTTAACCAAGCTCAATACACTTTCTAAGTCAAAAAAGGCCATAATTCTGTCAAAAACCTTGACAGAGTTATGTACTCTTGTCTGTAGATGGAGGTTATGATGGTGAACAAGTATGGTAAGTTTCAAAGCCATACTTGTAATACTTCTGAAAAAAAAGTGGGGTGGTACGAAAAACTTAACCAAGGTGTGACGCCAACGCCGACGCCGACGCCGGGGCGAGTAGGATAGCTCCCCTTTTCATAGAAAAGTCGAGCTAAAAAGAATACCAAACATGACAACACAACATTCCTATACTAAATTTGTTGTTTCCATGATTAAAGCTTCCTCGGGTGCCTTAATCTTTTATTCACACAAATTTCCTTTCCACTATTTTGTACTGCTTAGCTATTACAAAACAACTGAATTCTATGTTATACATGTATATATATTAAACACCACAAAACAATTCATAGGAAAAGATCTAACATGAGACTTCTTATGAAAGCTATACAAAGGCCATTAAAATAATGCCAAAATAATGACATTCAACAATAGGCTACATGTATATAGCTATTATTAATCATGTAATTAATATATAGTTTTATTTATCAAATATTCAACAACATTTCTTCTTTAATTTCTTAAAATACAGTATACCCAAGATAATGTATTGTCTTAATCACTTGATTACAAACATATTTTCTCAGACCAAAGCAGTATTTGTTTTAACATGTGTTAATTAAGTTAATAGGTTGTATTCAGACAAGAAAGCGGATCATGCATGTTCTTAGCATTTCCCAATCACATTATTGTTTACAATCACAATATCAGAATTAAGTATTTGGTAAATCAATTTCAAAAAAGAAAAAGAACTGTCCAAGGAGCAGCATTTTTCACTTTTCTCAGTGATGTATAGTGAGCTGCACATTTTCTAAATAAAAAGATAATTTGATTAAAAGTTTAAATGTACATAGACAATGACATTTGTCCTTGACATGAAAATGGGCATGGCAAACAGATAAGATGCATAAACATACAAAGTTTGAAGATACTAAGTGAATGCCCCTTAATTAAATGGCAAGTTTTATGTTTGTTATTATAAGTCCCAGTGACCTTGAACTTTGAACCTGAAAATAAGTGTGGCAGGTAGAACTTGTAGAAGGTGCATTCGCATATCATGAAGTTTCAATGTATTAGCTTTGTAGTATTGGCGATAACTGAAAAACAAAAGGTTTTGCCAAATTGCCAACATGGACATGACATAAAATTTACAATCCATCAACTCTTCACAAAGATTATGCAATGTTCATGTGTAAGAATTGTCATTTAAGATATTACAGTCCATTTACATATAAAATAGGAGACAACATAAGGCATAGTACGGTTCAAGGTACACAATGGTAAAAATCAAAACACTTGAAGCTTACTGTTTTCAAAAGCAGACAACCATATTTTTGTAACATTTGACCAACCTCATACATGTATGAACACCTCAATCATCCAAAAACACTTGCATGTCATAAACAATTAGGGCTTTACTACAAAGACAATGTGCTGTAAACAAAAGCCTGGCATGACAGGCATCAAATTACAATTCTTATCAAAAGATTTTCTGTCCATGATTTTCAAGAGCAATGTAAAAGCAACAACTGGAAAACTAAAGACACATCTGATCATTATTTACCCCTACTTTTTATAAATATGACAAAATATACTTATTTATAATAATTCCATTGTTTTTATACGCCTCAAAGATAATAATATAAAGTATACTTTGTAACATATACAAATAAAATTATACTGAATGGTATTAATTATGTCATGTTCTTATTCATAGGTAGTGTAAGGGGTCTACCCTTATATTTAGGGAAAAAATAATTGTATTTTTGCAAAAAAGGAAGAAAAAACTTGATGTGAATAGTATTCTAGGGGAATATTGCATGATTTTAAAGAAATTTCCAGAAGAGAAGCAGCCTATGAATGGCCCCTGCTATAGAAAGAAAAAAATCCCTGTAATATCAGGGCTTTTTTTCCTTCTATAGCAGGGGCCGTTATAGGGCTGCTTCCCCAAAGAAAAATTCTTTAAAATCATGCAGTTTTCCCCCAAAATTGAATTTACATAAACTTTTTTTCATCCCCTTTTGAAAATATATGATGTAATTGTTTCCCAAAAATTAAGGGCTGGGCTGCTTCCCCAACCTGTGAAAAAAGCCCTGAATATGACAGTGAAAGTAAGATTCAGTTCATCATGTAACTCAACACATTAAAATTAATGAAAATAAATATGTTTCGAAGTTTTAGATGTGTGTGTTGTACTAAGATGATATATTGCATGTATGTATGTAATGCATCATCAGGTTACATTAAAAGATTAACAATTATGTTTAGTGGCTTTATGTGATAAAAGTATTTCTTGCATATCAGACAGGATTATCTACTGTTTACAACGGTGCTAGAAAATCCTGTCTTATACCCCCCATGTAAGACAAGTTGCTTGCTTTAAATGACCTCAATGCTGCGCGCCTTTTATGAATGAATTGCGTTCTTGGGATGACGTCATTTTACCGTTATGAATGAAGTTGTAAGTTCATACGCTTAGAGGTGTCATCAATAAGGATTTTTGTATCGATATATGGGTAATGAATTATTGGCGATACAACGATATATCGATTGCCAGGCTAAATTTTAGCTTTCAAGTCTTTTTTAATGTTTCCTAAGGACACTGACAAAGCAGTTATATTTAGACAAATGCAAAAAAGATAAACTATGAAAACTGAACAATTTGTTTCTTTTTTATCATATAGCTAGCTATAAATGAAAACTAATGACTAGTAACTATAAAGTTTAAAGCCTTTTTCATTTCACTTCAGTTGTTGTTGTTGCTATAACGTAGTTACTGATCATGCTAAATCCCTTCCTTACCGTTCCAATTAAGCTGTTTTTAATTGGCAAATTATAGTGTTTAGAACCTCAATAATTATCAAAGTTTAACATTTTGTAATCAAAATTTTTACAAAGAAACACTGACAAATTTTTCTTGGCATTTTCCCTTTTTAAAATCTGAATTGAGGGGTCTTGACATCCACTTAGCAGACGTGCGAGATTACAACGAAATTCGGCAGCATTCGTTAGAGACACTGGGAGGTAACTTTGGCATTGATTTCCATTTTCGTTTTAGGAACAAAATGTTTCTGGCTTCCATAACTTTATATGTCGCTTTTATTTTGACGTTTTGCGACAGTAAACAGGTCTATCAGTTCTATAAAACCTGTTCACTGAAGTCTGTTTAGCTAGAAATATATGTGCATTCGATATCCGATATTTAAAAAATGGAATCGATATCGAATCGGATAACAAAGATCGTTGATACACCGATATCGATTGAATCGATGACACCCCTACATACGCTACTATAAGAAAAAAGTGCGTAATGAGAATATCAGTTTTCGCAATTTCTGTTCTGAAAATAATTGATATGTAATATGCAAGAAAAAGAATCAAACACCAGCCGTCGGTACAGACAGGAATATCTAGCTCTTGGGTAACTGTTTAGCGGAAACTCAGCAGAGCCTCGTTACCACCGTAAACAGTTACCCTCGAGCTAGATATTCTGGTCTGTACCGGCAGCCGGTGTAAGATTCTTATAATATGTACTGCATGTATCGTGTAAATGTAAAGCATTCATATATGTACAAATATATATCTCTACTCTTACATCATAACTACCAAAATATTCCTTGTATGGACAGCAACAGTATTTAAGCTTTCTGCCTTTCCATCAAAGGATCATGGATCCAAACCCTATGATGGTATTCATATGACACCAGCACTGGCTAGTTCTCATTAGTGGTTCAAATTAACTTCTTGCTTTCATTACAACCAGGCCCGTCGTCACGATTTTGTGATTGGTACGGCCAATTTGGTAGATTTTAGCCAGAATCTAGGGGGATACGGGGGCATGCTCCCCCGGAAAATTTTTTATTCTAGGATGCTCTCAGGGGCGTTTTCCCATATATTTGGAACATTTTACAGCCTGTCGCTAGAACATGTTATAGTAAAATGTCAACAATTTTTTTACAGATTTAAGTGTGTCGTAAGTTTTAAGGATGAAATTATAAGGTTTGCATAACGGACGGGCAGGTGAACATAAAAGATGAATAGGCCTACATGTAATTGATATTTGGCGAATGAAAAATAAACATTCTAACACCAGAGATCTGCCAAGAATTTGAAAGTACTGGGCCCTGGGCCCACTTGGTCTGAAAATGATGGGCCATTTTTACCAAAGTATGGGCCTTGGGAAAATAAGTAAACATTGACCAAAATAACTGTTAAAAAGTTTGTAGATACATGTAATTGAATTTCCCCGGTAATAAAACTTAAATCATATTTTATGACAAGTGGTTCACTTATAATTCAGTACTTTACCAATAATTAAAAATTATGCCTACATGGTAACTTTCTAACTAATATTAATTGCAGGCAAAAAATGAAAATATTTTTTTAATGGCTGCTCAAAAAATTTGATATGCAAATTTATTCACATAATTGCTGGTTCTTACTTGTAATGTCTTATATTGTGCATTATCCATTTAATTGTTCCTACTTTGCACAAAATGTCCCTTACCAATGTATATTGACGAATTTTATTGCCCCTTGTATGCCTCTGTGTAGACAGCATACATCAAAGACATTTGCCGACAGACCTTTTGATCATGAAAAAAGTCATGCACAATGTTTCTCTGATTGGTTAATCACCCTGTCAAACATTCTGATGACGAAATATACATCTTTTTTTACACTTCATCAGACAAAACTTGCGTGAACTTGAGTGACCTTAGGGTTGATCAAGTTGAACACCTGTCAGATTATACTGTAACTTACCGCATTTCTTAAAATAGCAACACTTTTTTTTCAGTTACCGATAATCATTTTAAATATTAAGTAGTTGTATAATTTGTTTGTTTGTTTTATTGGATTAAATTTACGGTAGTAGAAATGAGTATCTGTGTGGGAAAGGGATTATGAGAAGAAATGCGGTAAGTAGATAACATGGACAAAAGCTATAGGGGAATGGATAAACTCAAGAATAATGCGTAATTACAGGAGCATGGGTAACATGTTGCTGTTGGTACCAGTTTTGACTGGATGACTAAATAACCCAGCAGACAGTTTTGTTTTCTTATAAGTCTGGCACAGATTTTAGATGCGCCCATGGCCCTTTGCTGCCGATTTTCCTGCGCCATTCTCATTTTTTTAGCGCCAATGGCGCAAAATCGCGTCCTCGGCAGATCTCTGTAACACTATCGGAATTTTTTCTATATAAACAAAGAAGGCCCGAAGCGTGCATTATTCTACAACAATGCGCTCGCCGTTCTTATTATCTCCCTGTGTATTTTCACATTTATTCTTCTGAGCTCCGAGAATGTCCTTTCACTGGTAGCATTAGCAGCAGGCATAACTAACAAATTCTTTAACAACACAACGACCTCAGTTCTAGCACCGATTGTTTTGACACAAATTTCAAAGCGTCAGGTAGAGTAACAGTACTATTTTCTGATTTGTCAAAATGTGAACGTAGCAGCTGAAGCTATACCTCTAAGATGTCTCGGTTAATATCGTTGCCATATAAATCACAAACAAAACCAAGTTTTTTTTCTAGTGAACGGTCTTCAAAGGTTGTGCGGCCTAAATAAATAAATCCTCCACGTTCTGAAGTACGCGATATTTCGGTTGGTCAAATATCTCTTTAACACTGGCCATGGCAAGATCGATTGCTTCAAAATACTTTGGCCGGAACACGTCCTGCACTGTAATTATGTAATAGAGTAATTGAATGAGTTTAGTACTGAATTTATTTTAGGAGTTGAATATAAATATATTATGCGAGCCTCTGGCGAGTATAATATTTTATTCAACGAGTTCAATAAATTCAGTAATGAACTTACACGAATTCAATATTCTGTTTATTACATACCAAAAATAAATACCTTTTGAAGTGAAAAAGAACCATTTTTCATTGACGCCCATAGAAAAACGCTAACATTTAGTGTGTATAACGCAAATGACGACAAAATATATGCACGGCCGTGCAATACCATTTTCACGGAGTCGCAAAAACGGCACGAATATGTGATAAAAATATGACTTTTGAACGGTTGCCGTGTACAATCAATAAAATATTATCAAGTTCTCGGAGAATTCAGGCATACTAGTTCAAGATATTCATAATGCACATATAAATACATGTATATACGGTGAATTGTCAATTAACTTCACACTTTTAACTTCGTAGGACCCCTACATATACCTTGTCAATTAACAGTGTCCATTTGTTTCTTCGCGTCATGTTTGTATGTTACCGCGTATTGCATAAGGGGCCAGGTACGTGTCATATTGCTAATCAGCGATGCGTGATTTTTTTTATTTTGTATTTTTTTTGTTTTGATTTTGTTTTTACTCATTTTTGGCCAAAATATTGGTCCGGCCAAGGCCGGACCGGCCGGACCATCGACGACGGCCTTGACAACTGTTCTAAAACAATTAATACTACTTTACACATCAATCTCCCCATAAAGTCAAATTATCCATCATTTGAAAAATCTGTCAAAAGTGTACGAAAATTAAAGGAAGCTGTGTAAAAGTCATCAAAGCACTGTGTAAAAAATGTAGGCAATGACTCAATTGATTATTCTTTTACTAAAATAAGATTAAAAAAAATTGTATGGAAAGAATACAATAATAATAATTAATAATAATAATTCATCAACATCACTTTCCTATACTGGTTGCATTCAAATTCGGTTGTCTCAAATTTGAACATAAGTTTCACATCAGAAATATTCTGTTTAGATGGAGAAAAAAATCTGTACCCCACCATTCATTTCAGACTGACATTTCTGACATTTATTTTTACATTACAAAGCAAACTTTACAAAGCAAAGTTATCAAAAATACGCCAGCTGAACATTTTATTTGGCAAAATATGCCAGACAGTTTTAAAGAAATATACCTTAAATCAAAATATGACTGCTAAATCCCAAAATATTTATGTCGAAAGTAAAAAGACGTGTGTACACCGGTATGCGTTTGTTTACTTCCACAGCAACAAGACGACCTACACATTTTGTCGTGACGTCATACACATGCTTCACACCCGGAAGTAGAAATTCGTCATTGGTTCCAGTGTGATTGCATCTGTCAGTTTCTGTACTTCATCTTCGTTGTGTTTCAATCATATACTGCACCAAAATGTCCGACACAATGATTAAAGTGTATATGACATCAGTACCTAGTAACAACGCGGTAAGTTAGCTTCAACATTTCTAGAAAGTAGCCAGAAACATGCATGCTTATTATCATACATAGCTTGATGAGGTTATGAGTAGTCACTTCCTTATATGGAAAACACCCTAAATACTGCACAATTATTAAGCGTTGATATATTATTGATAGATATTTTTTACTTGAATAAATATATCTGTATTTGCTTTTCAAATATTTATTCATAAATTGTGCAAGAAGACTTAAAATGATTAAAATTATCTATCTCAACTCATTTCAGATTTCTGATAAATATTCATTATATTGTAACTGTTTCAGTGACACTCTAGACATAAATTTTGTTTGTGCATATATGCATTTGTCTTGTCAATAATTGTAAAATAATGCCCCATTTAGTTTGAAGAACAAAATTAGTACCCAGCACTGGTTTACTATAAGATAAATTGTGACCTGATCAACTTTTTGCACTCAAAATTATTTAATATTAACATATTTTCAAATCTACTTAGTGTAGCATGATGAGTAAACTGTAACATGATACTCTAGGTGCGTACAGCTCCTTTATAATAGAGAGTTCCCTAGATCTTAAGATACTACCATCGCGGACACTGATATGTAAACACATGTATCATAGAATATAGTTTAGATAATAAACGTAGATAGAGCAAAAAAAAAAATGTCACGTTTCATGTCGTAGACACGAATACCATCGCGGACACTGATATGTAAACACATGTATCATAGAATATAGTTTAGATAATAAATGTAGTTAGAGCACATATATATTTATGTGCTCTAACTACATTTATTATCTAAACTATATTCTATGATACATGTGTTTACATATCAGTGTCCGCGATGGTATTCGTGTCTACGACATGAAACGTGACATTTTTTGCGCACCCAGATGACTGGAATGCAGCACCTTTAACATTTCAGATCTGAGTGACCTGGGCATAACGATTTTTTCTCCTTTCATTATTAAACCATTAACCTCAGATAACTCATCCCTATAGTTCCAAAAGGCAGCAATTAACTGATGACAAGCCTTTTTGTACTTAGGCCAACCAAACTTTATTGTTTGTTGTAATGTACATAATTGTTCATCTTGTTTTGTTTGTAACCTGATTTCCTCAAGTTTTCTATCTGACACGGGTAAAGATGAGATAACCATGCAAACGTGTGCCTCAATACCCTCATTAAGTTCTGGGCTTGTTTCCGGACTGGCGTTTCTGCTAAGTCCATCTGCTAATGGGATTTTCTTACCGGACATGTGACGAAACTGAAACCTATATGGAGTTAATTTCAAGACTAAACGCTGCAACCTAGCAGGTATTGAATGCATAGGCTTTTTCAGCAATCCCTGTATAGGGAGATGGTCATTTTCTACAATGACATCACGGCCATAGCAGTACTGATGAAATTTCGTAAATCCAAAGACAATAGATAATAATTCTTTAGAAATTTGACCCATATTCCTCTGTGATTCAGTTAAGCTACGGGACGCAAATGCTATGGGACGTTTTTCCTGAAGGATTACTGCCCCTAAAGATTAGGAAGAAGAATCAACTTGCAATGTCAAGGATTTGTTTGGGTCATAATAAGCTAAACATGTGTCCTTACAAATGACTTCTTTCATTTTTTCAAAGGAATCACTTTGAGGCTTTTGCCACGTGAATATTGTGTCCTTATGCAATAACTTTCTCATAGGAGCGGTAATCTCTGATAAATTGTCAGAGACATAACGACTGAGATAATTAACCATGCCTAATACCACCTGTAGTTCACTTTTTGATGTGGGTGGTCTCATATCCTTAATGGCCTCAATTTTGGCGGGATCGGCCTTTAAGCCTTCTGCAGTGAAAGGCTTTTGCAAGTAGGGAAAGATCTGAAATTAGACAAGGCAACAAAAATTTGCCAAGAATTTGAATATGCTGCATCTCAAATAAAAATGTTCAATAACGTCCAAGAAAGTGCTCCGGTACATGCAGTATCAAGACCGAAGGGACGGATGGCTAGCCGTTCATCGGGCATCCAAGGTCGTTCGTCTCGGAACCCTTCATCGATGAATCCAGGCCGATATACAGAAACATCGAGCAATCCAGGTCGCATTGGGGAACGTTCACACAGTACAAAATGTAACAGGTGTGGAAATCAACATACTGACAAGCAGCGTTGTCCAGCAAAAGGCACACAATGTAACAATTGTAAAAAATGGAACCACTGGAGCAATGTTTGTAAATCTAGAACAGTGAATGAAATTTCAAATTTATGTTCTGAATAATACATTGACTGTGTAGAAAATGTGGACAGTCTGGACTGTGTAACAGTAAAAAAATGGACAGATGTTTACAGAAATATTAAATGGAAATAGTAAAAAGGCTGTGCAAATGAAGTTAGACACTGGCTCTCAGGTAAACATTTTGCCATTATCTACCTTTCAAGGTTTAGGAATCAAGGCACCACTTGAAAAGCCCACATCTAAATTGACCGCCTACTATGGCAATTCCTTGCATTGCAAAGGGCAAATCACTCTCCCTTGTTCTCATGCTGTTTCAGGTCAAGCAAAAAATGTCACGTTTCATGTCGTAGACACGAATACCATCGCGGACACTGATATGTAAACACATGTATCATAGAATATAGTTTAGATAATAAATGTAGTTAGAGCACATATATATTTATGTCGTTCATAAACCCATGACGTAACACTTAGTAACTTACACATATATATCACCTTTCTATCACTGTTAAAATACATGTTTTAAGATGTCTAACATCTTTCTTCATCAATAAAGTATCAAACTTAAGTTAAATAATTTAATAATTAATTACACCTGAATTGCAACATTGACATTTTCTTTTACAGAATTTTCCACAATCACCACAGGTTAGCGTCATTTTAACTGCTTAAATGAAATGATATTTATATAATCCAAACACATAAAAAATTTAATTCCTTTTCTTATATAAATGTATTCTGGAAGATATTCAAACAGGTTAAAACTGCATGATGACTTTTATAGACTGCTCATGTCATTTTTTTTTTTGTAGGTAAGGAAAAAACAGCAGCATATCTTTGATATATTAACAGCCAGAAAAGTTCTTTTCGAGCAAATAGATATTACTGCACCTACTAATGAAGAGGAGAAGAAATTCATGAGGGAGCATGCAAAATGTTCACCAAATACAAAAGTGCCGTTACCTCCACAGATTTTTTCTGGGGAAAAATATATTGGGGTGTGTATCATTCTGTTTCTACAAGAACTAAATTTTGTTTCATGTTCAAATTAAAAGTAAATAATCATAATACTGAAAATTATACTAAATACAAATCACAAAAGAATCCATAAAGTTCAATTTTGTTGCATAAAATCAGTTGGAATAGGTCTAGATATTTCTTCAGTCTGGAAATAAGTTTTTTTTAATTACTTTTTAAAATTGTTATGATAACTGATTATATTTTACATAAACTTTTTTCTGTATGACATAATGTGATGACAGATGAAGGTTGAGGAAATTATTGGACTTGTAAATTTTCAACAAAGTTAGACTCTGAATAATTATATGCTTCAGCTTGCTATATTTCTCGGGATTGGAATGGTGGATTAAGAATTTCGAATTTAATCAGGATTCTATTCATAAATAATTTTGTCTATTGTTCTGGTATCACTTGCCTCTCACAACTTAGTTGAATTGTTAATTATTTCAAATGAAAAACTAGTTTCATGGTAAAATCTACATGTTGCTATCCATCATTCAAGTGTTAATTATAACAAAATGATACTTTTATTGTATGTTATGTGCATGGTCACATTGGTGTGTTACATTTCAGGATTATGATCAGTTTTATGAGGCAGTAGAGGAAGATGATATTGATGTTTTTCTCGGACTTGCAACAAAGACAGAGGTGTCCCAAGCACAAGTGGAAGTAACAGGGGTTTGTATTTTACTAGTATATATATCAAGCATACATATCTTTGGCATAAGTGTCCATCTTGACAAGATTGGAATTTACTGAAAACACTTGTTCTAAAAACAAATATAAATAAAAAAAAGTATATCGTTCAAGAAAAAATTATTGATCCACCATTCAATATAATGTATAAATTTGAAAGGGATAAATTTCATGCTGAAATTGTATTCAGTTTAAGCAATTACAAAGTGTGATTTGTAATAGAAAGAGCACCGAAACACGAGGCTATCTGATTTGTACGAGGGGGCGTAGCCCCTGAGTATTAATCAGATTGCCGAGTGTTTTGGTGTTCTTTCTCTTTTGTATCATAGTCAAACATAAAAACACGTTCCCTGCTGTCACAATATGAAACCCCGGCAAAAATGAACCAATGAACGAACATCTGAATATGACATTTCTGTCGCTTTCCCTTTCTCTGCCGTCACAATATGTAAACCCCAGCAAAAATGAGCCAATCAATGGGCATGCTCTGGAGTGCGGGTAACTAATACCCGCACTCCAGTTAACGCACTGTGCATGTATATGTATACGATTTAACCCTGACACATTTTCAACAGAAAGGTCTCCAAACTATGATACAATAAGTGATCAATGCTTGTAAGGAGTTTTTTGTACCAAGTGTTGATACAAATATCTGATACCTTGCTATCCAACTGGAGGGTAAAATTATCTGTCTTTAAGTAACACTGACATTTTAGAGTTTTCAAATAAAGCATTGATGATTTAATTAATTGATTGGGTATAGAAAAAAATCTGGAAGTCATCATTTTGGAAAGAATGAGAGACAAGTCTTTGGGCTATTGCTTGTAGAGGATGACACTGTAAAGACTTAAGAGCAGTTTTTCTCCTGCTTTCAAACATCCCATACATACAAACTTCTTGAAAAAATAAATAAGCAAAAGATAGCCATTCCTTGCCTAATATCTGTCCATATTTTATCCAAATGTTAATAACCCTAACTTGACCAATATTTGACCTTCCCATGCTATTTTACCACATATTTAGGAAGAGGAAGAATCAGAAAACAAAAAGGTAGTTGTTTCACTCAGTGTTATCATGTTCCACATGGGTGACATTTATATACTCCGGATTGGCTTGGATTAACTGTATAGTGCATGAAGGAACACCTAAGGTCTTCCCCCCAGGAATCCCAAAATTTCCATATGGCCATATGTAGACATTGTAGACTTTACAGTCTGACTGAAAAATGAAATATATAAGATACATATTTAAAAGTCACTTTCATCGTTAGAAATTAATGAATGGGTAAATGGAACCTTTGTGGAACAAAACTGGGCTGAACTTTTGTGAAAATTACAAGTTTTGATATGCATATGCATGAACATGAACAAAATATTTTGATTTTAGTCATTGTCTCCTGATTGACATTTATGTGTATATCATACAAAAGTGTTAAATATAGCTTTATAAGAAAAATTCTCTATATATTAAACTAACAGTTAAGATTTACTCAGGACAAACATAAAAGTGTTGTTTATGTTCATGTACAAGTATGTCAAAAACGGTATAAGTAGATATGATTGAAAAAACAACAAGATGGTCTTGCCTGCATGATAGAAGTTCATTGAGCATTTATTTCCCACCCTTAACTGTTATGTTTAACATAAGGATGTTTTATTAAACAGTAGAATCCTATTAAAAGTCCATGCTCAACAGTAACTAATTAAACAGACTGTTATTGTAAGTGTTACATCTGCCATGTAGTTGAAATGATTTGTTGGTACATATCAGATATTTTGTGTGTTGAAAAATGTATTTATGCATCATGTTACCAATGACAAGTATGGATAAAAAAGGTATTTAAACTGTTCATAAGCATGTACAGCTTTAGGACAAACATATTTGGAAAAGATTTCCCAGGATTTCAAAAATGTGGAGAATTTTAATCAATAATGTTGATTAATAGAAACAACTTCAGTAGAATTTAAAATATTGTTGAGTTTTTAATGTGAAAGTAGTTTACTGTATGATAAAAAAGCTGACATTTATTGTTTGTTTTGTTGGGGGAATTTGTAAGACTTTTTGACCAACCAATAATAACAATAATAAATCCTTGAACAATCAACAAGTATTTGCTTTTCTAGTGATTATGACTGTACTAGAGAGATTCAAGTGATTTACTGAGATACCTAGTTCTTATTTATAATATATATAATAATTCTTGTACTAAATTGCTTACCCCAAAATTTGCAGAATTCTTAAATGAACTTGTCTGTCTTCTATGTTTGGAACAATCCATTATCAATTTTGGGATATGCAAGCTGACCTGACTTTATACTGGTGACAGAAGCTAATCACTTTTTAATCCACCAGATTAGGGAAACTGTCAAATAATAAAGTGATGATTGACCGAAAGGTATTCCAGGGTTCTAAGCCAGAACTGGTTTGTTTTGTAGCCAGTTACTGTCTATTTCACAATAGAAATCATAATTGTGAAAAAGTATGAGGGCTTGTGGCAAACATCTTTTTTGTCAGCCAAAACATGTGTGGTACAATCAGATATAAACTCATTATTTTTAGTATGTAACACTGAATACTTATGAGCAAAGCAGATGGAAAGTAGTCCAAAAACTGATATCAGATAATGAAAAATGTCATAGTGCTCTGTTTTTTAGCATGGTGTTATGTAAGTTTTCATTTCAGGAGATTAGAAAGTTTCCTTGCTATAAACAGTTGTTTATTTTAGAAGCTTTAAGTTTATAATATAAGAATGGAATTTGAACCTTACTAACCAAGTTCATGGCATGTATATAGTACTACAAGGATGTCAAGATGATTTGTATAAAAATTGAGAAAAAACTTGGTTGTCTTACTTGTCTATCCAAATGACTAAGGCTTTTGTTTTAGTTTTTCAATTTTTCAAAAGTTACAATTCATATCATTCCTGCAGTAGTTTAGCTGGACATTTGCTGTATGATCTACTACTTTACTGTATCAGTTTGACTTGAAATAAAATCTGAACAAAAAATAACCCCAGTCTGAAGTACCAGCTACATAGAATCATTATGGTTAATTAAAAAAAAATCTGTTTCATTTAAAATATTTGAGACATTCATATTTTTCAATATTGTTCGGAAAAAAGCTCTTAAACAGTGTCTTTCACCATTCAACTGTTTCTTTAAAAGAACAACAAACAACAACATAGTGCTTAAAAAAAATTGGGTTATTCAACAATATTTTTAGATGCAATTTTCATGCATGGGCCAATCGTTTTATCCGTGTTTTTGTATTTGTTGAATCCTACCTGCATGTGTTGATATTCATTACAAGTAAGTATTGTTTTTACGTAAACTTGTTTGTTCGATAACTTTTAACCTCTAATGGTCACATGTATTGTTGACTACTAATAAATTGTTTTGATTGCATATGCACAAGTATTAACTGATAACATTGAAATGTTGTGACAGATTAATCAATCTAATTTGATGGTGCATGCCAATTGAAATTTATGGTGTCCATTTTGACATATAGTTACAATACCCAAAATTGATTTTAGAAATTTATATAGTTAGTGATTAGAAAATTTGCAAAACTTAATTGAATTCAGAATTAATGTCAGTCATTCTGTCTTTGTGAAATTTCTTGTAAAAGATATTTAGAATAAATAAATGATCATATTTTGAAAATAGCACACTAAAATGCAGTACTTGTAGCTTTTAATAAAACTGAAGGGTAGCAAAATTAGTTTGTAGGATGCTGATGTGTAATTGTAATTTTCTATGCTTCAGGAGGATGAGGAAAAATTGAAAGCTGATGAAGGAGAGAAAGAATCTGAAGATAAGGACAAAACTATAGAGGAAGTTGCTGAAGAGGACAAAAAGAAGGAAGATGAAAAGACAGATGATGAAAAGAAAGCTGATGAAAAAAAAGATGAAACAGATGCTAAAAAGGAAGATGAGAAGAAAGATGATGATAAGAAATATGATGATGAGAAAGAAGAGAAAAAAGAGGAAGAGAAAAAAGATGATAAAAAACTGGTTTTTAAGATGAAGAAAGATTACGATGAAGATGAAGAAGACGATCCTTGGGGAGCTTTCGAAACTAAAGATGATGAAGAATCTAAAGATGAGACAAAAGAAGGAGAATCAAAGACAGAGGACAAGGAAGAAGATACTGAAAAGAAAGAGGATAAGGAAACTGAAGGTAAAAAAGAGGAAGAAAAGGCAAAAGAGGATTCTGATATTAAGAAACCTCTTGTATTTAAAAGGAAAACAGATTATGATGAAGATGAAGAAGAGGATCCATGGGGAGCTTTTGAATCAAAAGAAGATGAAGTTAAGGAAGAAACTAAGGAAAAGAAAGATGAAGAACCTAAGGCAGATGATAAAGAAGACAAAAAGGATGAGAAAAAAGAAGAAAAGAAAGTAGATGAAACCAAAGAAGAAAAGAAAACAGAAGATGCTGATGACATTAAGAAACCACTTGTTTTCAAAAGGAAAAAGGAGTATGAAGATGTTGAGGAGGAAGATCCATGGGCTGCTTTCGAGTCTAAAGAAGATGAAAATAAAGAAGCTGAAAATAAAGAAGAAACAAAGGAAGAGGATGTTAAAGAAGATGGCAAGGAGGACACTAAGGAAGAGAAGAAGGAAGAAGCAAAGGAAGACAAGGTAAAAGAAACAGTATCAGCCAAAGAAGAGGTGAAAGAAGAACCAAAAGCTGATGTAGTAAAAGAAGAAGAAAAAGAAGAGAAGAAAGATGAGAAAAAAGAAGATGATGATGATTGGAGAAAGCCATTGACTTTTAAGAAGAAAAGACAGGAGACAGAGGAAGAAGATTTGTGGGGAAATATTGACAATGATGAATCCACAGAAAAGAAAGAAGAAGACAGTTCTAAAGAAACGAAAGAAGATGATAAACCAGTAGAAGAAGAAACCAAAGAAGAACTAAAAAAGGAAGAGGTAAAAGAAGAGAAAAAGGAAGATAAACCAAAAGAAATAATAACAGAAGAAAAGAAGGAAGAAACAAAAGCAGAAGAAAAAGTTGAAGAAACTAAATCAGAGGAAAAAATTGAGGAACCAAAAGTAGAGGAAAAGGTTGAGGAACCAAAAGAAGAAGAAAAGAAAGAAGAGGAAACCAATGCAGATGATGGTGATGAGGAAGATTTCTGGGCATCTTTGGTAGATATGACATTTGTGCATGTACTAGATGTGCTGTGGATCCAAAAGTTTTATTTCATTAACAGTTCAATGAATGGTAACCTGGCTGAATTTTCAAGCTTTAACTGTCCACCCAGAATTTTTAAGTGGATTACTACACAGTTGAAGTACGATATAACTAACTGTACCGTAATATTTATCCTTATTTTGACATGTTGTTATGTGGATTGTTTGATATCTGTTGATTATTATTATCCCCCGCCGAAAAGGCGGCGGGGGGATATAGAAATAGTCTCCGTCCGTCCTTCCGTCCGACATTTTTGTCCGGAGCATATCTCTAAAAGTATTTGAGTAATCAACTTGAAACTTCATAGGTGGATAGACCACATTGAGGAGGAGTGCAGTGCACAAGAATGATAACTCTACCCTGCATAATTTTTGAGTTATTGCCCTTTGTTATTTTTCAAAATTGATTTTTGTCCAGAGCATAACTCCAAAAGCCTATGAGATATCAACATGAAACTTCATAGGTGCATAGATCTCACTCAGGAGGTGTGCAGTGCACAAGAATGATAACTCTACCTTTCATAATTTTTGAGTTATTGCCCTTTGTTATTTTTCATACTTAATTTTTCACCTGAGTGGAGCATAACTCAAAAGTGTTTGACATATCAACATGAAATGTCATAGGTGGATAGATTTTATTGAGGAGGAATGTGTGCGCAAGAATGATAACTCTTCCCTATACAATTTTTGAGTTATTGCCCTTTGTTCTTTTTCATGCTATTTTGTCCAGAGCTTATCTCAAAAAGTATTTGAGGTATCAACTTGAAACTTCATAGGTGGATGGATCTCATTGAGGAGGAGTGCAGTGCACAAGAATGATAACTCTACCCTGCATAATTTTTGAGTTATTGCCCTTTGTTATTTTTCAAAATTAATTTTTGTCCAGAGTATAACTCAAAAAGCCTTTGAGATATCAAAATGAAACTTCATAGGTGCATAGATCTCACTCAGGAGGTGTGCAGTGCACAAGAATGATAACTCTACCTTTCATAATTTTAGAGTTATTGCCCTTTGTTATTTTTCATACCTAATTTTTCACCCGAGTGGAGCATAACTCAAAAGTGTTTGAGATGTCATCATGAAATGTCATAGGTGGATAGATTTTATTGAGGAGGAATGCTGTGCACAAGAATGATAACTTGTCTCTGTATAATTTTTGAGTTATTGCCCTTTGTTCTTTTTCATACTATTTTGTCCGGAGCTTATCTCAAAAAGTATTTGAGGTATCAACTTGAAACTTCATAGGTGGATGGATCTCATTGAGGAAGAGTGCAGTGCACAAGAATAATAACTCTACCCTGCATAATTGTTTAGATATTGCCCTTTTTTTATTTTTCAAAATTAATTTTTGTCCAGAGCATAACTCAAAAGGCCTTTGAGATATTATTATGAAACTTCATAGGTGCATAGATCTAACTCAGGAGGTGTGCAGTGCACAAGAATGATAACTCTACCTTTTATAATTTTTGAGTTATTGCCCTTTGTTATTTTTCATACTTAATTTTTCAATTCAATTTTTTTCTCAAAAAGTATTTGAGGTATCAACTTGATACTTCATAGGTGGATAGATTTTACTGAGGAGGGATGCAGCACACAAGAATGGTAACCTACCCTGCATTTTTTTTCAGTTTTTGCCCTTTGTTATTTTCAGCCATCAGTATTCAGATAGGTTTCAAATCTGTAATCACTATAGCCATCAGTTTTCATAACCAAAAGACCTCTTAAAATGGAATTATTCTGCTGTACTACATATACATTCTTCCAATGAGCAAACACATTCGGCGGGGGATGGCCATGTTGACATGGCTCTTGTTTTATCTTATTTTATTTTGGTTTATCCACACTTTGTGTGATTTTTATCATTAGAGGAGTTTCAAGATTTCCAATTTAATACTAAATTTAACTGACCAAGATTTGTATGCCCCAACCACATTTGGTAGTACATATCATGTACCGGTAGATTTTACCATGTTGGTTCACCTGCTGTCATGCTGTCCATACATAGACAGGTTTTTTGTCATATGTTGGTCCAAAAATGTAAATACTAAATATATGGAATTTTTCTAGGAATAGTTGTTAGTATTTGTACTTAATTTAACGTATGCACCTCGGTAGTATGTAAATATTTGGCAGTTTTATTTACATTTTAAATTTTATGTTTGTTTTGTATTTGTTTATTTGGATGATATTAGACATTTTTTCCCTATACATGATGTATCTGTTTCAAATGTTACAGGGTATTCTAAACTTTTAAGAAGAATTTTCATTGAAACGTCATCAAACCATAGAATAAAAAAACAGCATCCTATTGGTTGATTCTCAGCACAGATTGGGAATTAGCCAATGGAAGATATGCTTTTTTTGGAATGGGTCAATAAAGAATTACCCTGATAAGATCTCATTTGATTTTGAAGCATGAACCTGTTTTCAGCCTGAAGTTTTCGAGTGAAAATTTTTGTTTTATTTCATATATTATTTTTGAGAATTAATGTTGCATGCTTCCAATAATAGGTGTGGCAGCATGACTGAATGGTTAAAGTGTTGGACTAGTAATCTAAGGATCGCTAACCATCTGGGTTCAAGCCCCATTCAGGGACAAGCCATTGTTTCCTTAAGAAAGAAACTTCTCACTCGTGCTCAGTACTGGTTGATTCCAGGACCAGATTCGAAAAGTGTGTCTATAAGGTTATAGCTTCCTACACAAACTAAAATAAATTCTGTAAGGTAAAGGTAGTCATTACAATTTCAGTTATGAATATTAAGTAATACAGAATCAACATTTTAAATGCCTACGATATTTCAGAATAGAAAGAAATTCTATCATTGTTATTTTTCTAACGGGTAAAATATATATAACTCAACAAATATTTGACCATTTAAAGTTACTGATACTTTCTAGTTTAATTTGATTGGATTTTTATTGGAGGCATGCAACTTTTCATTTAAAAATATTATGATAGTTTGACTTTATCCACTAGTGCATGGTATTGATAACTTTATTTTATGATAATGTACATTGTGTTTAAAGTAGGGTTTATTGATACAAGAAATTACTGAATGTGACTAGATGGTCAAGCCAGATTATAATTCAGTATTAAAAGAATCAGTAAACCCTTATACAAGCATGTCATGATTTGTTTTATGAAGAAAAATACACCTCTGTGTGAAACTATTCTACATTATATTACATATATACATTTATGTATGACATATGTAGTCAAGTATTTAGAGTCATACTATATTATTTGGTATGTACAGGTATTAATGGTATGATATGACATATATCTTACAAGGCTGTACTAATTTTATTTTAGTACCATAATTATGTAAGTTTGTTAGTCAGGTATGTAGCTTCCTATAGGCCATGGTGGCCACATCCTACATGTACATGCTACATGTTATAGACAGGAAAGTGTTAATGAAATAAAAGAGAGGGGGGTACATTTTAATGAAAATAGCTTTTTATATGTATTTGAAAATCTTTGGTTTATAAAATATATATATTAGAATGTTAATGATTTACTTGAATACCTGTAATTTCTGGGGGTTTGAAGGGGGGGCGGTAGTCCCACTCATCGCCAAGAGAACTTTGGACTTGTGAGAGGCTAAAAATGACCCCAGATCGATCATAAGGAAATGTGTAACAAAAGCTGAAAAGCATTTGACTCTATCTCAATCCATTGAGAAGTTGCAGCACTTTGAAATCAATTTTGATGGAAAAAATCAACGATAGTGATTTTTGGCCATTTTGAGATGTCCCCTCGTTGCCATGGTAACAGAAAATTTAAGCCTGAGCATGTTGTTACAAAGGCAATGGTCCAGTCAACATTTATGCCAATTTTGATTAGTATTGAAGCAGTTTTTATAGTTTTATAGCAATTTGAACTTAAAACGGATGACTTTTTAATGAAAACAGCCATTTTTCACAAAATGCTCATGAAGTAATGGGTTAAACAAAGAATCAGGGTATTAGGATCATGCTTTACCTCCAAAGGATTATTTAACTTCATCTGTGTGTTTGTTTATCATAAGAAGTAAATTTCATTGCTCTTTGCAATTTTGTTTGGTAATAAATGAATTGTTTGGTAATTAATGAATAAGTTTATGACTTTCTTGATGGATAGTAAATATATTTTTGAGCTGAAATGACAGACAATAGATCAAAGATCAGTAAACAATACTTACCTCGGAGGAATTAATTAGGCAATGTACTGTTGACCTTTATCATATTGAATATAATTAATACATTGAATTCATTAACTTATAATTATTAAGTAAAGAAAGGCAGTTTTCAATCTGATACCTTATTAAACATAACATGTATCTTAAGGTGTGTTTGTTTGTGATTTTAGTCATGACTCAGACGCATTGTGAATCATAAACTGCAAAACACCTGAAATGTTAAAATGCCTATAATGTCACATTAAATTTTCAGTGTATATCAGTAAATATTTTTCACCTGTCATGTACCTACCATGTTTCCTCGTATGACTCGAGTACTGCTTAGTTCATATGACAACAGTATTACTCTTAGTACCATAAACAGGACTCCAGATTTTTGGGTTTAAAAAGAGCCTTTTTTTCACTTTGATGTTAAAAAACCCGCACGCTTCCAGATTTGTGGGTTTAAATTTTTTATGAAAATTTTAAAAAAAGTATTTTTAAACAGGGATTAAAATTGTGGAGTTACCAAAAAAAATGGGAATTTACACAAATTATTCAATGACACTTACAACCCATGTAAATACCATAAACAGGTCAAAATATGCAAAAATAGCCCTTACTGCGTTAGTAACACAGTAGGAATATAATCATTGAATATTGAATAATCAATCATTAATTGCACATAACATGTAAATTATAACTAGAATTTTAAATATTTATATTTTTACTAAAATCTTAGTACATTTTTCTCATGTTTGATTTCATCGAAATATTTTTGCTTATCTGGAGGCGTGCATCTTTAAACCGAAAAACTTTACATTTTGTATTGAAATGTAAAATCAGCACAGATATTGAAATAAGGGATATTTAGGATAAGCCAAGCTTTGGTTTTATTGTCATTTAATGCATTATTAAATACACATACCTCTGTAATGGATTTTAGGTAAAGGGTTAAACAGTTTTTTATTACCTGTATGGAGAAATCATTAAACTCACATCTAAACTTGTTTTTTATCAGATGACATTTTAAGATGACATTTTTGTCACAAATTTCTATTCTTTTCCTGGTTGAGACAAATTTATGTGGGGTTATATCTATGACAAATTGTTATCAGAAAAAATTAATTTTATATATCATAAAGATGTAAGGAGATTTTATTTTAAGAAATATTACAACTAACAAAAGAAATATTATGACTAATAAATACAGTATTTTGTTGTGATAATATAAAAACTTACATCAATATACTATATAATATATCATGTTAAGTGCCGTACTTTTAATAGGGGGTTGATTCATTGTGTATTTTGTATGTGTTGTTTTCATATAAATTTATATGAATTGAAACTTAATACATTAATAAATATACATAAACAAATGATACATATTTGTGTTATTTTGTATCAATGTAATTATTTTGTATCAATGTAATTTAGCATTTTTGTCCAAAAACAGTAAAATATTATTTATTATTTAGGTTAATTTTGCTAAATGCAGCGCTGTTATATACAATCAGCAGAATTATAAACATAGTAATTAAGCTCTAAATACTATTTCTAAGTCATCGTTATTTTGTCATTAAATGATAAACAGTATAATTCAATAAGTATTTTTGTCTGTATAAGTGTATTTAGTTACTGAAACATGAAAAAAAATGTTGTTTATTCAGGTTTTAATAATTGTATTTTCTTCTTTTTCCAGGGTAAAGATTAAATAAACATGGTGCTGACATGACAATTTCACAAACATTCAGATGGTATGTTGACTTTTTGATTAATTATTAATAAAAAAAGTTTTGATATTTAAAAAAGAACACTATTGAAACATGAACATAATCACATTTTATGCTTATAAAATTGTTTATGTAAAATATTAGAGACTTCACATAATAAGTAATTGTGTATTGTTCAGCTTTTACATATTCTTTAAAATGCAGCAACTTTAAAAAATATAATTAATTTTGTTCCAGTCACACGCAATTGTTTTTATTTTGATATTTCAGGCTTACCATAGATATATAATATATATACAAAGGAGCAACTACACCAAATACAAGATTCTTGTATGACAAGGAACATCCAACCTAAAACCTCTTAACCTCTTCACAGACTACATACAGATAGAATGCAATCATTTGATTGGCTATTTTAAGTTAAATATAAATACCAACCAATCATAGAATGTGTTACATTTTTTTTGTGTAACAAAATATTGGATTGAAGAAGGTTTTTGATTGGTCTGTCAACCATTATGATCACATTTTCTTCAGATATTTAAAGTAATATTTAATGGGTCTAAAAATGATATTAATGTTCATTTTTTGTAGCCATTTAATAAGTAATTAATAGAATCATGCAGACTTGATTGCTAAAAATCCTCCTGATATTATATAATAACCATCTTCATTTTTACTTGGGGTTTTGCATTGAACAATTATTATTACAGTAAAATCAAATCTTTTTGTATCCATTTCACATAGATGCGTAAGATATGCTTGTATTATTTGTTATGTTCACTATTAGATTAATGCTCATTAAATTCATGTAAATTGTATCTTCTAAATAAGTGCCATTATTATATTTCGATATTTAGTTTCATGTCTATGAATGTGGCCTAATTAAAGGAAGAGAGCACTACACAAATGATTTGAAAGGAGAGAAAAAATGTTAGAGCAGAATTTTGTAAAATTTGATTGGTATTTTAAACATGCAAGATGGGTTTGTTTGTTTTTTTCAATCTACAAAACAAGTAACATTGTTTACAAATAAGTTTAAGATTAGCATTTTTGTTCAGAGGTAAAAATTAAGTTATGTAAAAACCTATACTTGCAAGCTAAACTGTAAAATTGTCCTTTTATTGTGTTTTATAGTTTTTAATCACAAAAACCTTTGATGTTGTTTACATGCAATTGAGACTGAATTTTGATGTTGAATATGCATTAGTACATACAGATGGGGACAAAAATAAATGAGATTCTCAATGTTATATTTAGTAAATGTATGTTGCTCCAGCCATGCAATAGTATTTTGTACTCAATCTGTGAATTTTTGTGTGTATTTTTATTACTTTTTTATCACTCTATATAATATGTATGATGGATTACCCAACATGATAAACTTACATACATGTATTTATATCTACGCCATGCATTTATGTATATATATGATATATGGTATTATTATAATGAAATGTATAACCATTATTATTATTTTCGAGGTGAAAGAATTTTGCTTTAGTACTTTGTTACATTTCTTGATATATGTTACGAGTGTAGGTAAATATTTTTGTTACATTATAATGTCAGATCTGTAAATGAGCCGCGTCACGACATAATGCATTTGCGCAGTCTGATCAGGATCCATGCTGTTTGCTTACAAATCCTATAACAAGTAGTGAAAGTGATAGCGAACAGCATGGATCCTGATCAGACTGCGCGGCAGGCTGGTCTGGATCCATGCTGATCGCAAATGCATTATGTTGGTTTTGTCGTGACGTGGCTCAAATGTTTTGCTATTGTCGTGAATGTCCCGACTGCTTAACCTTACCTGTGTTCTTCCCTGTTTGCACCTTAAATAGTCTTCTCACCAAAACAAGGAGTTAGGATAGAATCATTTGTTATACACGTTACTTAATGTCACAAGTAGATAAAAAAAATTTAGAAAAATTTAGTTTTCCACTGATTGTTAAATCACATAAATTCACTTCCTCGCAATGTTACTAGTCAGTGTGTATTTTACTTGTCACATATTAAAAAACAACAGGTTTTTAAAAAATAACCTAAATATTAAAATAGTTTGAATAAATTTGTTCGGTAAATTGAGTTGAATGCATAATAATTCAGTATGCAGTGTTCTAGGGATTTTTTTTTTCGACTCTAGAGATATTACTGGATACATTCTTTGCTGATAAACAAGTAATAGAACTGGATCAGGACTGGTTTATTTATTTGGTTCTGGTTTATTAACTTGGTTCTGTTTGGATTTTTTAGGGTTTAAGAAATTCGCATTTCTGCAGATTTTAAAATAAAACACCATTATAGCAGCATTAATTTTAAAAGTTTGTTTTGTTATGACTTGTTTATGTATACATGTTGTTGTTGTTTTTTTCTAATTTTTGGACAAAACTTTTTTTTTACTTCCAATACATCACAATTTACACAGTGATTATTTGTTCAAATCTGTTTATGAATTTTTTTTTGATAAAAATATTATAAAAGACGTTTACTTACAATTCACCATAGAAATTTTAGAGTGCATGAAATATCATATAAGGAAAGGGAAATAACTTGCCTAATATTCAAATTTTTTCCAGACTGGGTCCAAGGTTATAAAGAAATTCTCTGAGCTCATACTTTGGTCTCAAGAATTTGATTGGTCAGAAACTGCCACAAAATGTTAATTGACCAATGAAAATCCTTTGATTTGAGACAGAATTCAGAAAAAAACTTTTAAAACCTCCAGGTCTGGAAAATTTGAGTCTGGAAAAAAAAGCCAAAAACCAGATCAATATCTGGTCTGAACATGTGATAGAAATCATAGAATCAGCCAAATCTGGTGCTTAAGTATTTGAGAATGGTCTTCTATTTCAAGTTTTATCATTCTTAACCTTTATTTATCATACCTTCTTTTGAACCTTGCAACTTACATCAAGTCATGTTTTACTTTGCTACAATCACAGATTTAAGAATAGTTCTGAAATGAATTTGTTATATAAACTGTTCTCTTTGTGTGATCAAATAACAGAAAATACAACTGTATTTGTTAGTTTGTGCAATATAACCTCATTATTAACTTCAGATATAAATTAATGTTTCATGGTTCTCTATGTGAAAGTTGTATCTTTTAATACCAGCAAATATCATTCAAACTTAGTAAAAATTTGAAAATGCCCATCTTTGCAAACAGTAATGTCTTTCAACAACGATATTTAAATGAAATAAAGATACATCTTACAGTAATGCTTTTCTCCTGAAAACACTCTCAGATCATTGTGTTAAACAGTTATATAAAAAGCACTCACTTTTATAGCTCATCATTACTGTTGGCAAATGCTTGCCATTATATTACATGAAGATAATGGCAAATTAAGATATAGTTTACAATATAGGGAACTAAGGTAACGTTGAACTGTGCTTGCCATTACAATGTTGTCTAATCAGCAGCTATATGGACTGCCTTACATTACTAGTTTTCTAATTTCTCTCGGCAATATGTACAGTATATCCCATCATTCCATACCATTAATTTGTATTTACTCTCAAATAAAATGTGATAAATTGTTCGTGTGTTGAGTTTTCAAATTTTGTTTTGATAGAGTTATTATCCCCCCTTTCAAAAAGAGCACAGTATGATAGGGTCAGTTGATCATACATACATACATACATCACCTCTTCCTTGTCCTATTAATAACTTATTTTAGGTGGAAGCCCTGGTTAAGGACGTTGCCCATACCTATAGGTGATCACTATTGAGTTTTAGGTCAAAGGTCAACGTCAGCATGACATTGACCACTAAAGATGATCTGACTATTAACGTTGGTTTGGGCTACAGCTCTAAAATTAGGTCCCTTTTGATTTTGAGGTCACTAGCTCAAGGTCACAGTGTCATGAAATACTTTTATAGTCAAGAACAACAGTTTTCACAATCATACAGTATATGAAACTTCTTATTTCTGATTAGTTACATGTATATTTATATTACACTGGACTTTTATGAAATAAACCACTAACAGGAAATGAAGTGGAACAAAAATGTCCTATGGATAAATTTCTAGTTTATGTTAATTATTATAGCAGAAGAAAAGCCAATTCCATTCCAAGATTTAATTTGAAATATTTAACGGCATTTTAGAGCACCCTGGAAAGTACTGAATTTGATCAATTAATGTAACGTGTTGGCTTCAATGGGAATGTCAAATAATCAGTCAATTTATGCAAATACATCTGTTTACTTGCAAAAAAGTAACGAGTCTTTGATTCTTTGACAAACATGCGAAAGACTTAACTTTATGCAAAAATTACTTCAGTGTGTATTGTATTTCGTGTCGTCTGTTATCTTTTTTGTTTGTTTGTTTTTCCCCCACTTATCGTTGATTGTATTGACAAACACTCATCCTATAGGTAAAATGCTAATCAAAATAATTTATTTAATGTCCTAACGACATGACCTTCAACCCTTAATATATTCTCATTTTTTTGAGAGAAAATAAAAACAAGCACAACTGCTAGAACTTTATCAATTTTTTTTGTCATTTGTTTGATAACTTCCTTGTTTGGTTCTGAGCAATATTTACAAATTTTCAAAAATGACCAACCTCTTCACTAAATGTCTGCGTTTCTTGATCGTAATATAAGGAACATATATGTTTGTATTCTGTATACAAGTTCTGCTTATCTATACAGACGTAGAGAAAAAGATGCAAATATAGCGCCTAATATGTCCCTAATTATACAAGTCGACAGCCTGTGTCTGGTCATATATATAGTTAGGAAAAAATTGATATAAAATAGTTATAAAATCAAATATATCTTGCAAAAAGAATCTTACTATGATGCACCATTAAAACTGGGAAGGAGTGTATTAATAGAATAGAGAAAAATCAAACAACAACAACAAAAGAAAACTGCATTTCATTTACCACTGAAAGCTATATTGGCGTTCTGCTAAATGTGGCAATGATCAAAATCATTTCATCTTTAGTTTATTTGTTATTGCTTATTCACTTTCATCATTTTTATTATATTTTAAAAGACTTTTTAAACAAATATACTTTATTTTCTTAATCTTTTATTTACTGTACAAAGTCAAATGTAATAATTAACAAAATGTAATAATTAACACACTAGAATTTGAATGCACTAGTTCGTAACATCATCATAACAAATTCTCCTAGTTCCACCTCGGCGTTCCCGCTTGTGTCTGCTTCATCAAGCATTTCCTGTATTTGATTATTGGACAACGGACAGTCCACTTCGTCTGCTGCAAGCCGGATGTCACTAAACGTTAAATAACCTTTGTCTTCACGATCTAAAATTCTGAAGCACTGAAAATATAAGAAAATCAACATATAATATAGCATTTACATTTTTGCATCATGATGATTTTAAACAGAAATAAAAAGAAACAATCTATTGAATACCAGGAGAGGTAGAAGATAGAGAGTTTCATTATAAGCTTTAACAAAAAATGATAATTGCCCGAAATTTAGTGGGTTTTTTTTCATGTTAACACATGGCCAGTGAAAAATTGTTGCTTTGTGACATTTTTTATTTTTAGCTCACCTGAGCATATGCTCAGGGTGAGCTATTAGGATCACTCTTCGTCCGTCGTACGTCGTCCGTCGTACGTTGTCCGTTCACACTTTTCAAACGACATCTCCTCTGAAACCATAAGGCAGATCATAATGAAACTTCACAGGGATGTTCCTTGTGTGAAGCCTTAACAAAGTTGTTCAAAGAATTCCATTCCATGCAGAACTCTGGTTGCCATGGCAACCAAAAGAAAAAACTTTAAACATCTTCTTCTAAAAAACCCAAAGAGCTAGAGCTTAGATATTTGGCATGAAACATCTTCTAGTGAGTGTCTACCAAGATTGTTCAAATAAAATCCCTGGGGTCAAAATTGGCCCCGCCCCAGGGGGTCATTGATTTTCCCTATATGCATATAGTAAAAACTTAAAAAAATCTTCTTTTAAAGAACCCAAAGAGCTAGAGCTAAGATATTAAGCATGAAACATCTTCTAATGAGTGTCTACCAAGATTGTTCAAATAAAAGCCCTGGGGTCAAAATTGCCCCCGCCCCAGGGGGTCATTGATTTTCCCTATATGCATATAGTAAAAACTTAAAAAATGTTCTTTTGAAGACCCCAAAGAGCTAGAGCTAAGATATTTAGCATGAAACATCTTCTAATGGGTGTCTACCAAGTTTGTTCAGATAAAAGCCCTGGGGTCAAAATTGGCCCCGCCCCAGGGGGTCATTGATTTTCCCTATATGCATATAGTAAAAACTTAAAAAAAACTTATTTTAAAGAACCCAAAGAGCTAGAGCTAAGATATTAAGCATGAAACATTTCTAATGAGTGTCTACCAAGATTGTTCAAATAAAAGCCCTGGGGTCAAAACTGGCCCCGCCCCAGGGGGTCATTAATTTTCCCTATATGCATATAGTAAAAACTTAAAAAAATCTTTTTCTAAAAAACCCAAAGAGCTAGAGCTTAGATATTTGGCATGAAACATGTTCTAATGGATGTCTACCAAGTTTGTTCAAATAAAAGCTCTGGGGTCAAAATTGGCCCCGCCCGGGCTGACATTGATTTTCTTATATGTGTATAGCAAAAACTTAAAAGTCTTCTTTGAAAAACCCCGAATAGCTATATAGAGTTTAGATATTAAGCATGAAACATTTTCTAGTAAGTGTCTACAAAGATTGTTCAAATAAAAGCCCTTGGGTCAAAACAGGCCCTGCCCCAAGTGTGTCATTGTTTTTAACTATATGTGTAAAGAAAAAAACTTGACCAGCTAGACCTTAAATGTTAAGCATGAAATATCTTCTAATGGGTGTCTACCAAGTTTGTTCAAATAAAAGCCCTGGGGTTTAAACTGGCCCCGCTCCGGGGGCCTATATACAGGTGAGCGACTTCCGGGCCATCATGGCCCTCTTGTTTAATAAAGCTTTCAACTTAATCATGGATGTAATTTATGTATAGATCTGAGATTTTGTTTGAATATATTGAAGAAGAACTACTGCTTAAACCAAATACCAGAAATATAGAAATAATTCTTGAAAAAAACCAAAAAAAAAACCATCACTTTGCGGCGTTTCTTTAAAAGCTATGTATAAGTTGAACTTTCTAAGTTTATTTTGTATTTATGTATTATTTCAACAAAATCACAGAAGCGCGTCGCAATGACAAACCGCAATCAAAGTTATGGTTTTGGTAGCAATTTATCTTAATAACCTCACCTTAGAATCCATAAATGTCGGTCTATTTTAAATTAACTAAATACGAGTTAAACTAATTTGTACGGTGGCATAAAGAAGCCATTAGAAATATTTTATCTACCACGTGCGCACGCGTTAGCTAACACATGCTTACGGGATAGCTACTAGCGCGGACGTACAAGCTTATACGTGCGCACGTGATAACTATTACGTGCACACTAATGATTTACCAACGTAGGGGCTATTGTGTGCGCACATAGAAGCAATCGCGTGCGCACATAGTACCTATTGCATACCACGTAGTAGCGATCGCGTGCGCACGTGATAGATAAAATATTTCTGATGTTCCCTCTTTGATACCATAAATTTGAGCCGAGTTCTTAAAACATTTAAAGTTTATCCTTTACCTGCTGGGCCTCTTCAAAAGGGTCGTTTCCTTCCTGATGTTTGATTATAAACTCTAGAAATGTTACAAACGTTACCTTACCAGCCGGATCTTTGATGAAGGAATCTGAATAGAAAATAATCTAAAGCAAATGAGCGGTCATATTTTACACGTGCCTTTTAAGCAGTTTAAATGTGTATTTACATACAAAAATCTTTTTTTTTTACACATTAGCTTGGATTGTAGTACGAAAGTCTTTGTAATGAATTAATGATATATTCAGTGCGTAACGAAGAGCTAGGTGACATCTTAAAAAGGACTCGATTACTTTTTCCAACTTAGTTATAATTGAATTTACTTTAACATCGTAAAAATAATTCTCTTCCTTAACAAACTTCATGTAAATTGATTTCTACTCAATAGTTTAAGAAAAATGACATAGTTACATAATCTTCTGCATTTTTGTATAAATAATTATGTTCTAATCATTTTAACTTACCGAGTGTATTTTTTATTGCCTCCTTACTGGCTCTAAATCCAAGAATCGCAGAAATATTTTTCACAGCCTTTCTACTGATGTATCTGAAAGTTATGTTGTCATATAGAACTAAATCAATACACGTATATATCAAATCAGTTAATAATTAAGTTGAATATAAAGTAACATCGCAAAAGATCGTTTTATTTACAAAGCAAATCTTCTTTTTAAGGAAATAGTCAGCTATTTTTTTCTACCAAAATGATAGAAAATATCACGTAAAATCTTTATTTACTCAAGTAATTCCTTATAGATTTAAGATTCATTTCTTTACAAATAAAATGACACGTGTTCAATATTTGGATCCTTTACGTCATTCGTGTTTTGACATTCTTGAACCAAGAGACGAGCTTGAAAATGGAAATACTTCCTGGAGCCTTTCCCACCAGTATACTGTATAGCAAAGACAGCCTTCACATCCCTGCAGAACCGTCCGGATAGCTCAATAGGTAAAGTGTTGGACTCGGGTTCGATTCCGGAACGGTGCATGTCAATTTCATTGTGATTGATCATGAAATCCTTTCTCCGGTCATTCGCACTGTACCTCTGCTCTGTCATGTACAGAACGACAGAAGTTATCAGTTCATTGCAAAAGTGAAGGTAACTATACCATAGTACTGGTAAACTGCTTTGCGGCTGAACTGTGCTCTGTTAAATTCAATGTTGATTATTGCCGTGATCCAGAGTGAAAACTACCAACACCACGGGTTGCATATTGCTGATATCTTAAATTTTGAAAGGACTATTCTAAACTCAAAACTAAGCAAATATATTGCATTAATCCTAACAGTTGAGCGTTAATTAATTAAGGCAACACATAATCTCTGTTTTGTCTATCACTCTTCTTGATTAATATAGGTCATAATCGCATTATAAGACTTAACGCTATATATGTTGACGAATTTGCCTCCATTATTCGTGGTCTTATTATAAAACCTTTTAGTGGTCTAATTAAAAAAAAAACCTTAAAGCTTCATAATTCTTCCTGTCAATGAGGCAACGTTCACATTAGCTTACCCAGCACCAGCCACGTCATACATGTCAAATACTTTCTTTAGATCCATAATCTCATCAAGGGTTAACTCTCGTATCACTCTGTCTGGTAAACCGAACGTGTTTGAAGTCTTTTGAGGCGTAGCGAATTCCTCCGCGAGTTTCATCAAATCTGGGGCCTTCTTTTTCATATGTGTTCCATGCTTCATACTTATTTCATTTTTCATTTGCGATGTTTCAGCTGCAAAACAAATGTTAATTTTCTATTCAGAGTTTTTGTTTCTAAATTCCCAAAATAATCATAAATTAATTAAAATCGACAAGGTTGTTTAAACAAGCTAGCATATGTCTACCAAAGTGAACTTACCACTTTTAGCATTTCAGTCAGTGTAAGAGCTTTCATAAAACATCCAAAATATGGTAATTTAGTATTAAAATCACGCAAGTAACTCATACTATTAGACTGTATTGAATCGTTTCATGTAAACAATGAATAGAATTATTCTGGTTTTTGGCATTGATAGATTGGTCCATTTTGAAACTGAGAAACCGTTACTGGAAATAAGACATCGCCTATCAAAAGCATTCTGTGTGTCTCTATGATGAAGACCATCTATTGGGTCTTGATCTTGGTGTATTTAAAGAAAGACCAAACATGAAATATATTCATGTGTACCTATTTTTGCGATAAAATCACTGAACTGTGCTAATTACAGTATATAAAATCAGTAATACCTATTGCAACGACACATTCCATATTTATACATATATTTTACCTGCTTGTTTCATGAGATCTTCTTTCCTCAGATGTTTCTCTTCACCATGTAACATCTTCTTGATATCTTGTTTACTGAGCCTCGAGTCGGGTAACAATTGTAAACCCTTCTCACGTCTCTCCGCCTCCATCTTCTCTCGCATTTTACGAATCTCCTGTAAGAAATTTAAGTAGGAAAAAGTAACATGCAGTTGTAAGCTAAAAAGGATACCGATTTAAAAACTACTGTAGTTTCTAGTTATTTTTTTTTATAGAAAGTGATGCAAATCAAAACTGTGAAGTTTGAAAATCTCATCAAAGTTGCTAAGAACAGGGTATTTCAAATAGAAAGATTTCAGTTAGAATGACCAAACTTAGAAATGAGAGAAAATACTTTGGAAAATCACAAATGAAATACCTTTGGCCTGGCACTGTCCTTTTGTTAATTTTTTACTCTAGATTTAATAATGGAAATATAGAAATTTCATTCCTTTTTTATAAACTTTATATATACATGTAGAAATAAATAAAAAGATATATAGCAAGAGACGTGTGAGAAACCCATCAATCTAGAAATTGTCTGCGGCAATCTCAAAATTTAGACTTCGGCTTCATTTTTTATAGCTGAAAGAAATCCATCTCATAAATTGTCTTTCAATTCTTCGAGCTAGACTTTTTATTTATTCACAGTACTTAGATGTTTTTGTTTAATAATGAGCATCTTCCACAAAAAATGTAAATGACTTGAGACAAAAAAAAAACAAAACTTTTGGCATATTATCATAGCGTAAATCATAGGCACTTAAAATTGGTTTCGGTGTAAAAAAACCTTTTTAAAGGTTTGTAGAACTCAAATTTGATTCGTGTTTTTGTTTTTTGTTTTGTAACATCGGAAAAAGGACGGTTTTATAATCGAGACATCTACGTTAAAAAAATCGTTACATACAATCAAATTTGAGTTTTACAAACCTTTAAAATGTGTTTTTATCTCGAAACCAAGTGCCTATGGCGTAAATTCCCTCGAATGCTCCCAAGAATTATACAATAAGGAATTCGAGAATTCACAACCATATCTAGTGATGACTTTTTTTATACTAAAATGTCGGTCAAACCTGTTGTCTGTGTTCCTCGTACGCTCGTTCTTTTTCTTCGTCTCTTCGTCGCATTTGATCTAACTCGGCTTTCATTATGTCAAGACGCGTCTTAGGTTTTTCCACTTCCACAAAACTCACGCGAGACTTTCCTTTCTTTCCTGACCGTTTTCCACTCATTGTTATTTACTTAATATGCCAAAGATCTTGTAAGATTTGATTGCAGTGACGCAGTTTTTATAGTTTTCCAGGCTGATTAAACATAACACTGGTGTATTAATGGTTCCTTATTAAAGTCTTTTCATTATCAACTTGCACACGATCGATACATATTTTTGACAGTTTTCGCTGCTTTTCACATACATCAGCAACAATAATTTAACATGTTTGTTTATACTAATAATTTTAATTAACTTTATTCCGTTAATTCATAAAAAATAAAGGTCCATTTTTAATGAGACGAAAAATAACGGTCCAATTTTATATTTCTTTGTCGTCTGTCACAGACCAATGTAGTCATTTATAATTTGTTTAAGAAATAAAGATATACTGTATTAATCATTAAAACAATTATCGCACTTGGCGAATATCTACTCCTTGATCGCATACCTTCATGTAAAGTTCATTACATTGATACATTTGTTCTGTGGGGTTGACCAATCAATAGATATTGCAGCAAGAAACAAAATGTTATCAATATTCTATTGGCAGATTATATTTGTCATTCATCGTTCAAGTCTTTTGATAAATTACTAAACAATATACTGCCTATTTACGAACGGCGTAGTTTGTAATGCACACGACAAACAATATTATCTATATGGATTTGACTGGATCAGGTGTCTTTTTTATTGCTGGTAGTGTTCATTCTAACTGCCACTGATAACGTACGTCATAGGGCTGCTTTCACGAAGTTTGAGTTCGAGCTTATATATTTATACAAATTTCAATTCGTTATATTGAAAATGTTTTAAATATATACTATGCTCATGTTTGGGTAAAATACTTTTATTGCAGAAATTCATTTAAATCTAGTAAATTCTTCCTGAATATGTCTAATTTGAATAAGTAAATGTTTGGGAAGCTGGCTTCCCTATTACTTGTAAAATTTATTTAGCCTATTCTTATAAAAAACTGCCAGTTTTTTTCATGACGCTGTACTTTACATGATAGGGTTCAGCTAGGTTCTTCTCCAAACTAACACACTAGTTTGTTTATTTCTGATTTTATTGACACTTATATCTGAGGCTCTACAAGGAGGGTATCAAAATTACCTAAATTGTCTACACTACAGTACCATGTGTCCGGACAGATATGTACATGATGTGATTTAATTCAGATTAAAGCTTGGGGCTTTGATTTTTGATTTGTTACATGATATACAATATGTCAGCAACAAATGCTGAAGTTTTGGATATTCTATAATTTACTCTGCAAATGATTAAAGCTGGTATATGAGGTCAGGCATTGCTTTCTTGACCCCCAAATTTCAACGTCAACATTTTTGAAATATACATTAAAATATTACTATTTACGGAGACTGAAATAAATTTATTTACTTAATTTTAAAAGAAACCTGCACTTATTGTTGATAAAAAAGTAACTGACAACCACTGAACAAAGAAAATACTAAATTAAGCATTTTCGGGCTGTCCGGGTTTGGTGGTTGTCCGGTTTTGGTGGTCCCCAACCAGTAGTGTGTAGCGTTTAAAAAATAAATAGTTTTTTTCTGTATGTATTTACATTCCAAAAGAAACTGTATAGTAATAATCTTTTTTCACATGTCAAATGTGAGCATATTATATCTTTGAAGTCTGTGCAGAGATAAATTAAACATAATCTGCTTGTCTTATAACAGCAAATTACACCATGGTCATTATAAACGATTATTTCATTTTATTCCTTTATTAAAATCTAAATGTCAGTCCTAAACTGCGTTCATTAAGGGAGATGTATGAAATTATAATAACGCCAACGAAGTGAAGAATGTGGAGACTATTTTCATACTTCACTTTATACTTTAAAGTAAATATTTAACTTGCGTATTTTACGGGACACAGCTGTCGTATCAATTCATTCAAAGAATATTGTGAGATGTTGTTGATAAATGATACGCAAATGTGCAATGTATATACAGTGTATTCTATCAATTGAATCACCGACAAGCAAGTAGAAATATACATGTAACAAGTTGTAGAGATAATGTAACATTCTTCCATCTCAGTGAGATATAAACCACATCCAACCGTTCCTTATATGAGCCGCGTCACGACAAAACCAACATAGTGGGTTTGTGACCAGCATGGATCCAGAAAAGCCTGCGCATCCGCGCAGTCTGATCAGGATCCATGCTGTTCGCTTACCAACTCTAATACAAGTGGAGACACTGACAGCGAACAGCATGGATCCTGATCAGACTGCGCGGATCGCAGGCTGGTCTGGATTCAGGCTGGTCGCAAACGCACTATGTTGGTTTTGTCGTGACATAATCACATACTACATGTATATAACACAGAATAAATAAAGCATGTTTCATTTTATTTTATAAGTTTTATTTGAAAAATGTTTAATATAGACTAGAATGTATTTTAACCATCAACAATCCTTTCCCCCCAATAAAAGATATAAAGTACAAAGGTTATCAAATATATGAAATAGACAGGAACAATAGCCTCAGAAACTACATACAGGTACAAGTATATTCTAAAAACAAGACTAAAATTGATTAAAATTTCAATAGAGTTACTATGGAACTCAGCAAATGTGAAGTTCTCCCATCTAATACCAGTGTACAATTTAACATTTAGTAAAAATATCTATAATAAGCACAACACATTTAAGCACTTCATTGTAAACAGTAGTGCACCTTAAAGCTTTAATAAGAAAAGTTTGTACCGGATTAGATGGGTACGGGTTTAGATGGAGAAATCCCATATTTGCTGAGTTCCGGATAACATCTATTGTACTTCAAGTATCAGACCAGAAAAATGACTTTGAACAATTAAGTATAATACATGTATGTTTACTTATGAGTTTTGATATATCTCCTTTATAAATCTAACACAAAATCTACACTATAGGGAGCAAAATATTAAAACAATTTGAAATAATGAAGAAATTCAATGAGATACACGTTGCTAATTAGTTCATTTTTCCCATCAAAGATATATGTACAGAGTTCACACAAGAAATCATCATAAGATGTTGCCAAACAAATTTTAGCAATGTTCTGACACGCACCTTATTCAAATAGTCCCACTATAAACCTTATTCACTCATCTAAGATCCATAACTGATCACCCAGAACGGATTCAATTTTTGACCCCAAAGACATGTTTTGATCATAGAACGTTTGTAACAGTTTTCCAGGCACTGTTACTTGCAAAACATCTTAGATCTAGGACATGTAGTTTCAGAAAAGAACATTATTTGTGTTTTACTAGACAAGTCTTTGTAAGCTTAGTGACTCCTAATGGTGGGGGGCAATGACCTTGGAGCACAATGACCTTGGTGCATGATTTCTATTGTAAAGGGACAAAATGTGATGTTGTATGCCAAAATCAAAGCTCTTAGCATTGTAGTTTTTGAGATTTTGAAAGACTTTATTTTAAGCACCTTTGACCTACTTGATCATCCCTGTAAAGTTTGATGTTATTTAAATAACTTGAAAATAAAGGTGCACATCATGCTGTTACAAAAGCTCATCTGTGAGCACTTGGTACCCGACTGAGACCAAAAACACCATCTTAATCTGAATCAGCAGTGGCTGATAAGCAGATACTTATGAAATTCATTGCATAATGTAATAAAACATTCAAACAAATAATGTGATAATGTGATGTCAAAATATTGTAAGAGTATCAGCAACATTCGCTGTTTATATTAAAATAATTTTGATTTAGCCTGAAAAATATTTTTTCACAAACCAGCATTACCTGTAGTTAACATACTTCTTTGGTTCTATATCTATATGACATTTAAATATATGTATTACTTACTATTCCTTGTTAAATCAATACAACATAAAATTATATTACTAACAAGCTTTTCACAAGCTACAAAATATCTTATCATTTTCCCGACATTATATAAGCCCCGTTATATAAGCTCAAGATAGATTCACTCATTCAGGATGAAAAAAGCAAAAATATAAAGGACCTCACATATAACACAACCTATAGTTTAATTAAGAAGAGACACTTTCAATCAAGTATTAACAATATTTTCAAGTCTGTAAGTATTAACAATGTTACAAAAAGATGTTCTCAAATCTGCTCATTCATACCTAGATACTTTAAAATATAACTTAAATAATTTTGCATTGATTAAACCATTAAAGAGAAGTCTGTATATCTAGTGTATTTTGAGCTACAATTCATATACATGGTTATAAGCATCACACCTTTTTCAGGTAAAAAAGATTCTCTGACATGGTGAACTTGTTTGTCAATCTAGATGACCCAATAAACACCATTTTAACAATATAACTAAGCATATGTTTGGATAACCTTTTATTCAAAATGGGTCACATTTGTGAACTTTGAATTTTTAAAAAGCGTCACTGGTAATTGACCTTGTGGCCTCATTTTCACATTCAAGTACTTACTATCTTAAGATACCAAAGAAACAAAGATTCTTATAAACAAATGACCTAGATTTTGGGCACAGGATGATTGACCTCAAGCGTGACCTAGAGCTAAAGGTGAAGCATTTCAAATCACAAAATATCAAACTTACACAATATAATAATTATGGGGACAAACATTCTGGTTTTACATTATGAAGATTATGCTATATTTGTTCTCACCTGTATTTAAAGTTCACAATGCATAACAACAATCTTAACAGACTCATATTTACAAAACTCTTTCATTTACATCATTTTTAATACTACTAGAATGTGCTCTGCAGGTATTCTAAACATTTGACTTTTCAACTACGTAAACATGAATAAGCAGATTTAAAAACAACTTTCCAGGGCAAGTCGCTAAATCATTAGTAATGACAACAATTTATAAAATTTAAAAAACTTAACAAATGTTGAAACATTATGTAAAAAAAGAAGCTCAAACATTATGTAAAAACAGACAAGATTTTGCACTTTAAGATAAATATTCAAAGCACCATAATTCACATCATAATGATTATTTAGCGTATTTGGTGCAAAAAAAAAACAGTCTTAAAATACAAAATAAATTCATTATTCCTAATTTCTATTGTGAGATATGTTTCCTCTATTTTGAAGTGTTTCATAATCCCTTTTTTGTACTTTGTTCCTTTCAGATAACAAATACAAATGTATGTATTGTCCATCTGTTATAGTTGGAGCAGTAAATTCTTAATAGGGCTATTTTTATTACGTACAATTTTAAAACTGATCTATCACCTAATTTCAATGTCTCGGCTTTTCTTTGGAAAGTTTTAGCAAAGAATGTCTTTTAATATATATATTTTTTTGATGGGGGTTGGGTTTTACATCACACCAACACAGCATATAGGTCATGTGGTGACTTTCCAGCTTAACTGGTGGAGGAAGACCTCGAGTGCCCCTCTTTAATTCTTTTTATATATTTAACACACTTAAAATGTTTCCAAACAAAATATTCAACTACTAT